TTTTATTTCTAGGAGAGAGAGAGAGACAGCTTGAGCAGGGGAGGGTCAGAGAGAGAGGGAGACACAAACTCTGAAACAGGCTCCAGGCTCCGAGCTGGCAGTCAGCACAGAGCCCGACGCGGGGCTCGAACCCACGAACCGCGAGATCGTGACCCAAGCGAAAGTCGGACGCCCAACCGACTAAGCCACCCAGGTGCCCCCGAAAGATTTTACTTTTAAGGAATCCCTACACCCAACATAGGGCTTGGACCCTGAGACCGGGAGTCACGTGCTCTGCTGACTCAACCAGCCAGGCGCCCCTGTGATGTCCTTTTACGTGCAGCAGACAGGACCAGGCTTGGTGTGGCCCGGGGAGTCCCTGACCAGTGTGCCTCGTCCCATCCCCTCGGGGGCCAACCCTCGGGCTTGTGTGCCTCTCCCCTGACGGCTGTTCCAGGCCTTTGGTTTGAGCCTTCAGTGGGCAGCAGGCGGGCGCAGGGCACGGCCCGTGTGGAGATTAGCTGAAAACAGGCCAAAGGGCCAAGAAAGAAGGTCTGTTGTTTCCTCCTCCCCCGAGGTGAAGGACCCTTCTCTGGGTGCCGTCAGCCCCGAGGAGGCGCATCAGACCCCTGGGCCCAGCCCCTCAGCTCTGCCAGCGGCAGCGCAGGCCTGGCAAGGGCTGGCGACCTCGACACACCCTGCTGTGGCCTGTCCCCAAGTGGCTTTGCCTGCGGAGGGACCCCGCCCCCTGTGGCCTCCCCACAGGGCAGAGAAGGCTGGCAGGGCCTTAGGGCCACGGTCTCTGCTTAGTGGAGGGACCTTTCCTCAGAGCCCTGGAAGGTCCGGACTCCTGCAGGCCTGGCGCAGCTGCATCTAGCGATGCCAAGTGGCCCGTGGACTCCCTGGGGCTCTTTGTTGTCAATGGCTAAGTTCCGGTTTGTCAGGGGAGTCGATTTGCCCAGGGCCACGCAGTATACCAGAGCTCGGGGGCCATCGGGTCTCAGGGCGCGGCTGTGTGGCCGCGCGCGGGGCCCCTGCGCCCACCTCCAAGGGTGGCATACGGTTGAAAGAAGCCATTCATTTGAGGCGGTGAGCCCAGAATCTTCACGCGTTAAGTGTCCAGTACATGGAGCCGTGTGGTCAACAGCAACGTCTAGTCCGGAATCGCGCATCGGTAGCTTTGCTCCTGCGCGTTCCAGAAAGCCCACGGATTTCGGGATCTCAGCCCAACCCTCCTCTTCCCGCTCTTCCCAGAGAGGACCCTCATGCTGCCCCTGACAGAGGGCTCCCTGCATCTGCGGGCGGACGATGAAGACAGCCTGACCTCTGAGGATTCTTTCTTCTCTGCCACGGAGGTGACCTGCGGGGTGGGCGGGCAGAGGGAGGCTGGGGTGGAGTGACGCCCCGGCCCCCGTGTGCAGTCCCTGCACTGGGTCGTGGGAAAGGCAAGGCATTTCCTCTGACAGCATTTGGCAGTTACCAAGCACGGCTCCCCGGGGACTCCATGCACTTGCTGGGGACAGGAGAGCCTGAGAAGCCGGGCGTCATAGGTCCTGTGGATGACCATGGGTCTCCACCCCCCCGCCCCCCGGCTCCAGCCCACACTCACCCCTCCCTTGTTAGACTGCGTGCCCGTTGCTTGGCATTAGTCAAGTCCCACTGTGGCCATGCGTGTCAGGCCCGACTGTCCTGCCAGGCACGGGGTGGGGCGGGGGGCAGAATGTGGGCACCCGCCCGGCAGATGGTCCCTTTGGGAAGGGTCCCTGGAGATGGGGACGCTGAGCACCAGAGCTGGACTCAAATCTGGGCTTCTTGCCTCTTGGCTCGTTGTTCCCTCTGGCCTCCCTCTGGGAGGCTGGCCCCTCCGGTGTCCCCTGGGCAAGCACCGTCACCCCCTGGGATGCCGTCGACTCAGGCTTTGACACGACCTTCCTCTTCCTGCATGCCCTCCCCCCAGCTCTTTGAGTCCCTGCAGGTCGGCGATTACCCGATCCCGCTCTCCAGGCCCGCCGCCGCCTACGAGGAGGCCCTGCAGCTGGTGAAGGAGGGGAAGGTGCCCTGCCGGACCCTCAGGTGAGCGTGTGGGGAAGGAGGCGGGGGGCAGTGGCAGCTGGGGTGCACCCTGTCCCCCTCGGAGGCCGGAGAAGCCAGCAGCGCTCGGTGAGGACTCAGCTGGACAGGCCAGCCCAGGGCCCCGGTGCCGCTGACCCAGCCGTGGAGGGTGGAGGGCGGCCTTCGGCTCGGAGATGGGCAGGCCCGCAAGTAGCAACCACACACCCCTGTAACTAGTGAGATAACAATGATTCCTACTTAGGCAGAGTTGTCAGAGGCCTTGTTGTTGGCGGGCACTGTCTCTGAGCCCTGGGTCCCCAAGGACTCCCATCTCCGCAGCGGCCCTGAGGCCGGCCTCTGGGGACAGACAGCCTCGACTCTTTCCAGGCTCTGTGCCTTTTTAGCACATGGCCCTGGATCAGTTGCCTAACCTTTCTTGGCCTCAATTTTCTTACCTGTGGCCTCGTTGAGGTTTCTTATTCACCTTAAATTAATTTTGCTCAGAACTTGGCTTTGGGCCCTAACTCCAGATTTAAGTATGTGCCTTTTTTTTAACTTTTTTTTTTAATGTTTTATTTATTTCTGAGAGAGAGAGAGAGAGACAGCATGAGCAGGGGAGGTTCAGAGAGAGAGGGAGACAGAATCTGAAGCAGGCTCCAGGCTCTGAGCTAGCTGTCAGCACAGAGCCCGACACGGGGCTCGAACCCATGAACCATGAGATCACGACCTGAGCCCAAGTCAGACGCTTAACCGACTGAGCCACCCAGGCGCCCCATTAAGTATGTGCGTTTGAAGTTCACTGACTGAGGGGCACCTGGGGGCTCAGTTGGTTAAGCATCCGGCTCTTGATTTCGGCTCACTGTTTGGGAGTTTGAATCCCCTGCTTGGGATTCTGTCTCCCTCGCTCCCTGCCCCTTCCCTGCGCGTGCGCCTGTGGGCGCACACACGCGCTCTCTTTATCTCCCAAAGTAGATCAATCTTAAAAAGTTTGCTGACTGAAAAGCCTGGCTGAAGCCTTAGTGAGGGGGGTGAGGGGAGCCAGAATGGGCAGGAGCCCCCTGCCCTGGCACTTGGCCAGCTGGGACCTGTCGGGCCACTCCAGCCCCCTGCCAGTGAGGGGCCTTTGCTGCCTGGGGCCTGAAGGAGGCCGAGGTTGGCCCGACTCCTAGCGCCCAGCCCTGCCAGCTGCGCTCGGTGCTCCTGGGGACAGCATGTTCCCGGGGACCATCCGGTCAAGCCTCTTCCTTTGGTTTGGCAGCATCCGAGGTCTAGCAGAGGGCAGGCGCTTGCCCAAGGTCACGCTGCCCGGCTCCACCCTGACCCCCCAGGGGCGTCGCTGGACAGGGCCCGGGGGTGTGACTGTGTGTGCCTCCCCACAGGACAGAGCTGTTGGGCTGCTACAGTGACCAGGACTTCCTGGCCAAGCTGCACTGTGTGCGGCAAGCCTTCGAGGTGGGTGTCGGGGGCACCTGGCAAGGACGGGGTCGGGGCCGGGGCCAGGCAGGCGGGTCTCCCAGCCTGACGGCTCACCCCCACCCCCTGCTTTGCTCATTCCTTAGGGCCTTCTGGAAGACAAGAGCAACCAGCTTTTCTTCGGGGAGGTTGGCCGCCAGATGGTGACGGGCCTGATGACCAAGGCCGAAAAGGTAGCTCTTTTCAGGTGTTCTTCTCACCTTGTGTTTTTTATTTTGATTTTTGTAACTTTTATTTGATTCTGTTTAAAAAAAAAAAAAAAAAGCCTCGCTTGACATGAAGCTAAGGAGCTTTGACTTCATCCTGAGGCTCTAGAGGAGCCGAGAAAGGCTTGGGGGAGTTTCCTGGGCAAATTATTTTTTTTTTAATATTTATTTTTGAGAAAGAGAGCAAGCATGTGCGCGAGCAGGGGCGGGGCATGGGGGGGATTGCGGAAGATCCAAAGCAGGCTCTGAGCTGACAGCAGTGAGCCCGACGCTGGGCTCGGACCCACAAGCCATGAGATCATGACTGGAGCTGAAGTCAGATGCTCAAGTAACTAAGCCACCCAGGCGCCCCTCCTATACTAATTTTTAAAAATATGGACCTGTCTTGCTTTAAAAAATTTATTTTTTTTAATGTTAATTCCTTTTGAGAAAGAGAGAGAGACAGAGAACAGGCAGGGGAGGGGCAGAGAGAGGGTGTCACAGAATCGGAAGCAGGCTCTGGGCTCTGAGCTGTCAGCACAGAGCCCGACATGGGGCTCGAACCCACAAGCTGTGAGATCATGACCTGCACCGAGCCCCCCAGGCACCCCGAGGACCTGCCTTGATACCGAAACGCGGTTCTACACAGTTGAGTGACTCGAAAGCGCAAGCCATTGTCGTTGTCGGTACCCCGGAGCACCGTCGGCCAGAGTGAACCACTGCCACAGTCCTAGGTGCTTCTGCTCTGTGTCACGGACTCACCCTTGAACTCGGTTGTCTAATTTCCAAAGTTTCCTGCAAGCCATTGGGCAGCTTTGGTGGGTTGTGTAAGAGTGTATCTCGTCCATCTGTCCGGGTGAGCAGATACCATTCCTTTTGCTGATTGCACAGGAGTCCCTCGGGCAGGCTGGCATGGCTCTGATGTCCCCTGTCACACTGCCATTCTAGTCTGTCTGTCACAGGCCCCTCTTGGTACTGGTGGTTTTCTGAGGGGCAGAGCCCAGATGTGGCAAAAGCACGTCCTGGGCACAGTTAGGAGGGCCTCTCAGTTTGCTCTCTGAAATGCCCAGCAGCTTGATGACCGAAGCTCCCGCCGGTGGTGCCAGAGTGCGTCCCCTGACATCTCGGCCAGTGGTGGGCGTCAGTGATCCTTTTAATCGATTTTATCCATTCCTTCGCATTTCTGTGGTTCTGAAGAAGGTTGCTTAAGTTGTCGTGTTGTTTGGCCAATTGTCTGAGCAAAGCCCTTGAAAACTCCCCTCCCACCTCCCCACTGTCTGAGTAATGGTTCCCAAAACACATCTCTGATCTCGTTACCCCACTGCCTGGCGTGCTCCCTTGCTCCCACTGCCTTCGAGGTACAGACCGAGTCTCGTTTTTTGACCGGCTGCTTGTCCAGACTGCAGGGCTCGGGCTTAGGGCACAGCTCTTCCAGACTTTCTCCCTGGTCTAGGCCTTCGCATGTGGCCCCTCTATACCCAGAACCCTGATCATCAATGTGCTTATTAACTACGTTAACTACCGTCTTGTTTGTTTGTTTATTTCTGAGTGAGAGAGAGCGTGAGCAGGGGAGGGTCAGAGAGAGGGAGAGACATAGAATCCCGAAGCAGGTTCCAGACTCTGAGCTGTCAGCACAGAGCCCGACGCGGGGCTCAAACCCACGAACCTTGAGATCGTGACCTGAGCCGAAGTCGGCCACCCAACCGACTGAGCCCCCCAGGCACCCCCCTACCATCTTGTTTATACCTGAGGGTATAAAAATGGGCCTCTAGGATTTAATGAAAGGATGAACCCCTGTGTGCCCAGCACCCAGGGTAGGAGGTGGAACTTCTACCAGCATCTGGAAGCCCCCCGCCCCTCCCTTCCTTGCTCTTCCTTGCTTTCCCATCTTCTAAGCCCCTGGTGGCCGTCTCATCCCCCTGGAGGCCTTTGCCCAGAGCCCTCGGGCTCGGCCGCCAGCACGTCCATCACCTGCATCCGGTTTGCGGATCGCGCGTTCTCACTGCTCCGTGAGCTCTGCACAGCCCGGGGACCACGGCTCTCCCGGTGTAGGTATGTCCGGGCCCAGGGCCTGGCATGGGGCCGGGGCTCCTTGAGTGCCAATTATTACTCTCCCAGCAGCTGCTGTTTACCCAGCAATGAGCCCAGAGCTCTGTCCACGTCTCTACCTCCAGTCGCTCATTTAGCCTGACTACACTCTCCACTCAGTGGATATAAGAAAACCGAGCCCGAGAGGGGAGAGGGCCTGGCCCAGGTCTCTAAGCAAGGGAAGGGTAGCGCTGGCATTTGAACCCAGGTTGGCCTGATCCCAGCTGTTCCCTTGGCCTGTTCTCTGTGGCCTCCCAAGAGAGTGAAGGAATGAACAAGTGAAGGAAGGGCAGGTGAGGCTGAAGTGAGAGCCGGGAGCTTAGCAGCCGGCCTGAACCCTGTGGCCACTCGCTGCAAGGCCCAGAGGTGCAACTTGCCTACTGGCCTCCACGCCCGGGGCGGGGGGGGAGGCCTGGGGTGGGGGCTCCCACAGGTTTTGCGAATGGCTGGTTATCGGCTCCAAAGAGCAGAGGTTGCCTGTGCAGAGCCCCGGCGCTGGGGCAGGGACCCAGGCAGTCCTGTTGGGTTGTCACAGGCAGAGCTGGGAGGCTCCCAGTCCTGTGGGCAGCAGCCGGGCTCTGGACTTGAGAAATCAGGCCACTTCGTCACTGTGTGTTCACAAACCAGCCATGCACCCTCTCCCATGTGGGAGTGGGTGTGCCCCAGGGGCCTTGTGAGATGGTGTCAGACGTGCTTGGCCAGCCCTTATCTTCATTGCCCTCCTTTCCGTATGAGGAAACCGAGGCTCCAGGAAGTTAAGTCACGGTCAAGGTCATCCTAGCAACTTGTCTTTAAAACTTAGTGAAACTAGGGGTTATTTTCCCCCTTTTTTTTAAAAAAAATTTTTAATGCTTTATTTATTTCTGAGAGAGTGAGCCTGAGCAAGGGAAGGTCAGAGAGAGAGGGAGACACAGAATCCGAAGCAGGCTCCAGGCTCTGAGCTGTCAGCACAGAGCCCGATGCAGGGCTCGAACCCACGAACCATGAGATCATGACCTGAGCCGAAGTCAGATGCTTAACTGACTGAGCCACCCAGGCGCCCCCCTTTTTTTTCCCCTTTAAGTGAATATAGAAATACTCATGCTCCTTTTAGAAAAACCCAACAGATATGTAAGAGCAAAAAGAAAAACTGCCCCTCACTCTACCACCCTGTTCACATCTAGTGAATGTGTGTCTGATGGCTCCTCCACCCACGGTTTTTTATAAGGGGCGTCAACCTGCCTGCTCTATTCTGTGCCAGCTCCACCCCACCTGGCTCTTGGGCACATCACTGATCTCCCGCAGCCTCAGTATTCCTATCTAGAAAGTGGGTATACTACTGGCCCATTCCTCGCAGGACCGCGTGAATTCGCTGAGTTGGTCCCTGTTAGCACAGCCCCTGGCGTGTCCCAGCTTTCCCTGTCCTTAGAGGCACGTCCGCGTGTGACGTCGCATGCCCCAGCTCCACCTCTCGGCCCCAGAGAGCAAAGAGCCCATCCCGGGTGCCCACGGCAGCGGGGCTCATACACTATTTATCGTTTAGGCCCAGGCACCATGCCGATTGTGTTACGCGCCTGGGCTCACCGACTCCCTCCGGCTCGGCCCGTGAGTGTGGGCTGTAGCATCTCCCATTTCACCAGTGACAGCCAGGGTCGTGCAGATTCGTATCTTTGGCTGCTGGACTCAGCCTCCTGGCCTCACTCATCTTTGCACAGTGTGCTTGTGGTGCCGCATGTGTGCACGCGCACATGTGCGTCTCCCGGAAGGCATTTGGTGCTCCGTTGTGAGTTCGGGCTGAGCCGTTGCGGGGCGAGCTGTTGTTGGATCTCTCCCAGACGTGTGCCGGCGTGTGCAGAGGCACACGGTGGTGGGCAGAGGACGCTTCTTGCCTCATTTTCTCTGTGGCTGCTGCTCAGGGATAGGCCTCTGCCCTGCCTTGGCTTGTCCCCCATGCACAGGCTTGTCCCTGCAAATCTAGTCCAAGTGAGTTCTAGAGCCTCTCTCATGACCAGAGTGAGCCGTGCCTCTCCCCACAGAGCCCCAAAGGCTTCCTGGAGAGTTACGAGGAGATGATGGGCTATGCCCTGCAGCCTGAGACCTGGGCCACCACACGACTGGAGCTGGAGGGCCGTGGGGTGAGTTGGTTTGTGCTGAGCCCCAGCACCCTGGGGACCCTTGCACCCAAGATCCTCGAGCTGGGGGGAGGGGGGTGCCTGTGCCGAGCTCTGCCTCGATTCTCAGGGTCTGAGGTGGCCCCATCGCTGCCGCCAGCGGACCCAGGCTGTTGGGGAGACAGCCCCAGCCATACCCCGTTGCGGCCCCAGGATGCACCCGCTCACCCGTGTGCTCCCACCCAGGCCCCCCACACCCGCGCCTCTCTGGACTCAGTCTTCCCGTCTGGACAGTGGCCCTGCAGCCTTCAGAGCATCCTGCCCTCTCACAGGTGGTGTACATGAGCTTCTTTGACATAGTGCTGGACTTCATACTCATGGACGCCTTCGAGGACTTGGAGAACCCCCCGTCCTCGGTGCTTGCCGTCCTGAGGAACCGCTGGCTGTCAGACAGCTTCAAGGAGACGGTGGGTGGCTGCCCTGCCCCCCCCCCCCCACGTCCAGCCCACACTCCCATCACCCCACGCATTGGCCCACACCCTGCTCTCCATCCCTGGCTCCGGGCACCAAGGCTGGGCCGTCCACCCCCTCCGGACAGTCTTCCTTCCCCCGCTCGATGTGGGTCTCTGGGCCAGGCAGACGGGGCATCTGCCCCCGAGCAGCTCCCCAGGGGAGGCCGACGTTCTCTGTGCCTGTTTAGAACCCACGCAATGGTGGGGGGAGAGTTTTCCTTCTGCGTTGTGGTCTCCCTTAGTTAATTCTACTCCGTTTAAAAAACACTTTTTTTTAATGTTTACTTTTTGAGAGACAGAGAGAGAGTACAAGCAGGGGAGAGGCAGAGAGAGAAAGGGAGGCAGAATCCAAAGGAGGCTCCAGGCCCTGAGCTGTCAGCACAGAGCCCAACACGGGGCTGAACTCACGAACTGTGAGACTGTGACCTGAGCCGAAGTCGGATGCTCAACTGACTGAGCCCCCCAGGCGCCCCTTTTCTACTCCCCTTTAATGCATCTTATTAAGTCAAGTTAAGGCAGAGTTGAGTGCAGGGCCCCTCGGGTCAGGCGGGGCCATCAGGCAGCCCTACAAACACCTCCTTCAGAAGGAGGTGGGGGTGGCCAGGTCATGGCCATCTCACAGAGAAGGAAGCTGCGGCCCGGAGAAGTTCCGTGGCTCAGCCAGGGGCCTGCAGTGGTAAGGGTTGGAGTCAAGGGTCAGATTTAGGTGTGACTTGTTCCTAACTGAGGGGAGGGAGGTACAGAGCGTGGGCACCTGGCCCTGTCTTCCTGCTTGGGGCGGGGTGAGCTGGGGCCGGGTAGGGGCTGCCGGCCCAACCTCTCATTCTGAAACCTGGGTGGGGTCCCATCTTTGATTTAGGCCCTGGCCACCGCTTGCTGGTCAGTCTTGAAAGCCAAGAGGAGACTGTTGATGGTGAGTGACCTCGGGGCCCCGGGCACGGCACCCAGCACAGCTGACCCATCGGCTGGAGCTGGCCCCGGTTCTGGGGGTGGGGCAGGGCTGGGCAGGCAGAGAAATGGGGCTGTCACAGGGAGGTCCTGCTGAGTCCCCAGGCCCCGCTGTCCCTTTTGGCCTCTGTCACAGCACTGGCCACCTGTCCTTTTCTCAGCCTTGTACTAGGGGTACCTCAGAGGCACACGTGGGTCTGCTTTATCTCCCTCTAGGACCCAGCACAGCATGGGCCATCGGGAACTGTCGAAGGGGGCTCGGAGGGGAAACGGCATCCTTGAGGGAGGAAGGGCCCACAAAAGGGGTGGGGGTGGTCTTGGCCGAGGCATCTGGGCGGGGCACGCAGAGCAGCCTCCGGCTGCTGCTGTCTGCACTCCCAGGCAGCAACTGGCTGCTCTGATTGGGCTGCGGTCCCTCCCTCTCCTCTGCCAGCCAGGCCCTGATGCCCTGCCAAGTACTCTGGGCATTTCCAGTGCCCAGCCCCGCCCCCCCTTCCTCCCGTAGTCCTCAGAGCAGCCCTGAGGTTATCCCTCCATTCTGCAGAGCAAAAAGCCCCTGTCACTTGCTCGGGGTTAGCCAGCAAGCATGTGACTGAGCTGGGCCCCCAAGGCCCAGCTCTCGATAAGCACCCCACCCCACCCCACCCCCGCCGGCTTGGCCGAGTCCCAGCCCTCAGCCTCGCCTCTTCTGCAGGTGCCTGATGGCTTCATCTCCCATTTCTACTCCGTATCGGAGCACGTTAGCCCTGTCCTAGCCTTTGGCTTCCTCGGACCCAAACCCCAGCTCGCTGAAGTGTGTGCTTTCTTCAAGGTAAACTGAGCGGGCGGCCCGCGTGGGCTGCTTCCCGAGAAGGGGTGTGGGGGGGCCGGAGGGAGCCCGGCCGATGTGGGGGTTCTGGCAGAAGCACCAGGAGGGAGGGAGCCTGTGGATGGGGCGGGGAGGGGTCCCCAGAGGGGCTTTGGGTGATCTGGAGGGTGTCGGTGCAGGGGCGGGGGGAGCGGGGCTCTGCGGCCCAGGCCCGACACCAGCCCCTCCCCCAGCACCAGATCGTGCAGTACCTGAGGGACATGTTTGACCTGGACAACGTGCGCTATACCTCGGTGCCGGCACTGGCAGACGACATCCTGCAGCTGTCGCGGCGCCGCAGCGACATCCTGCTGGGCTACCTGGGGGCGCCGGCAGCCGGCAGCCCTGGCCTGAATGGGGCGCTGCCCCGAGAGAACGGCCCCCCGGACCTGCCGCAGTAGTGGCGGGCGCAGGCTCGGGGAGGGGTGCGGCCTGCGTCTTGTCCACGTGCTGATGGCAGCACGAAGGCTGCCTCCTCCCCTCCTTAGTGTTGGCGTCCAAGGGCCCGGGTGTCCGCGGCCGGCAGCTTCGGCAGAGCCCGGGCCTTGGTGGCCTCGGGCAGTTGTCCCTGACCATTGTCACCACCTGGGAATCCCCACAGACTTCCCTGGAGAGGGCTGGAGCCCCGGGGGCCCACCCGACTGCCCTCGGCTGTCCCTGGATGACGCAGCAGCGGGACCAGTGGCCTTTGGGGCCTGAGGGAGAGGAAGGTGGTCAGAGACAGACCCTGTTGTGAGGAGAGGTGGGACGGGCAGAGCTGGGAGTCCTGGGGGTGGGACCCCAAGACCTCCCCCCATCCCGGGGCTGCTGACGAGGCAGGGCTAGGAAGGTAGAGGTGGAAGATGGGGGGGGGGGGTGCGTGGCTCTGGTGAAGGCCCCGGATGGCCAGAGCTAGAAGGGACCCGGACTTAGACCGAATCTGGCTGCCCAGTCCTGTGGGCCCCCACCCCCGCCCCCACCCTAGAGAGTTTGCAGCCCCGGAGAGGGAGGGTGGGGGCCACAGAGTGCCTGGGGGGGCGTACCTTGGACCTTGGACTGGTGGCAGGCCCGGACCATGCAAAGGTGGGATGGGGTGGGTCTGCCCTCCTTGTGCTCAAGTCTGGGTGGGGACTGGACCCCTGGCAAACCCAAGCAGGAAACCCGGGACGCTGTCTCCGCTGACATTCCCTCGTCCTGCAAAGACTGTCACTTCTCTTCCCCTTTGTCGCCACCAAAGACGGAGCAGGTGGGGCCGGTCCTCCCGCCCCACCCCGCTGCCTCCCTGAGCCCGGACCCCCCTGAGTGGTGCTAGGGCTCCGCTGGAGGCTCTGACCAGGGTTCATTGCAGGCCTGTCACCTGGGACAGTGGCGGGCCCAGGGACCACACCGAGCGGGCCAGAGGAAGTACAGGGCCGGACCGGCTGCCCTGCCCTCAGTAGTACAGGAAAGTTTGCCGGGCGCTTGGCCGTCGGCTCGATGTACAGACGCTCTAGCTGTGCATCAGCTGGTCCTCCGGCCATCCCCACGTCGTCCCCATGTCGTCCCCACATCCGCTGGGAGCTGGGAGCCCTGCAGACTCAGTGTTTTCACCGGAGGCGGGATGTTTTATTTATTGCCTTAACACTTTATTTTGTGATTCTGCCCCTTTCAGGCTGAGAGGCCTCCCAGAGAAACTGAGTCCTCCCTCCTTGTTCTCCGTACTCTGGAGGACTGGCTCCTCAGCCCCTAATGGCAAAGGGGTCCTGGGAGGGAGAGAGAAGGGAAATGGAGAGGGGGGTGCATGGGCCCGGCCCATCATCTCCCTGCACGCTCGCTCCTGCTCCACAGACCGGAGGACCCTGTGTCGAGCCGGGGCTCTGGCCCCAACCCCCCGGCCCCCGCTCTGAGGTTGGTGTCCAGGAAGGAGCAGCCTCCTGTGTGGGAAGGCCCGGGGTGGCCCTCCTCCCGTCCAGCCCCACGTTCCGTTCATTTGCACTTCCCCGGAGCTATGAATGTCCTACTGGGTCCGGGGCCCCGGCCACTCTGGTTTGCTCCCGGATCGCTCAGAGTGGTGTGTTCATTTGTCTTTGTTTACACGTCTGTGCACTGCCTCTGGCACTTGGTTTGTTGCAGCTTCCAACTTTTGTCTGGTAGAGCGTGTGCGCACCAACCTCAAGTTGAATAAATGATTTATTAAACAACGTCCTTCCACGTTGCCGTGCCAATGGATCCGTTTGCTTCCTGGGCCGTCGCTGGGGACTCGGCCTTTGGGGTGCGGTTGGTGGAGTTTCCAGGAGGGCCAAGGTCGAGGGAAGCCTGGTGAGCCCCCCTGGGGCCTCGTGGCAGGCTGGCAGCGTGGATGGGTCCCTTACGCAGGGAGGGCTTCAGGGTTGGGGGCGAAGTGGGGGAGCGGTCAGCACCGTGCTTAAGGCCACAGATGGCGGGCAGCCTGGGTGTGGACCCCGCCCAGGCACCATGTTGCTGAGGTCGCTTCTCCCTGGACCTTAGTGCCCACATGTGTAAGACAGGTGTTGGGCCAGCTGGGGGGCAGGGGAGGCGGGGGGCTGGAACAGGTAGGAAAGGACCAGACTGAAGTCGGCCAGGTCTACAGAGGTTTCCATAGACAGCCAGACCTTGGTAGGTTATTGTTTGTTTTGAGAGTGAGCATGAGCAGAGGAGAGGGAAAGAGAGAATCCCAAGCAGGCTCCACGCTGTCAGCCCAGAGCCCTCCATGGGGCTCTCACCCACGAACTGTGAGATCGTGAACTGAGCTGAAATCAAGAGTCAGATGCTTAACCGACTGAGCCGCCCAGGCGCCTCCCCCTGTCTTTTTAAGTACACTCTATGCCACATGTGGGACTTGAACCCATGACACCAAGATCAAGAGTTGCACGCTCTACCGATCGAGCCAGCCAGGTGCCCTGAGACCTTTTGTTTTTCTAACTGGCATCTTCGGGGTCCAGGAGTTCAGAGACTTGCATTGGAATGCGTTTCCTGAGGGTGGCGCTCCACTGATCCCGCTCATTCTTCATCCCTGATGCCCATTCCTGGCCTGCAACTGCCTGCAAACCGAGTTTCTGAAGTGAACAAATGAACCTCTAATTTAGAGGGCAGCAGCACATTTTGGGGAACCAGGCCCAGAGATGGGGAGTTTCCTAAAGGACTTGGAGCCCAGACCAGCATAGCTGTGGTACGATGCACAGTTAAGACTTTGTGCCTGACTGTCCTGTCTGTGAACTCCCTGCCAGAAGAAAGACGAGCTCTGCCGGGGACGCCTGGGGACTCCGGAAGGGCCTGGGTCTCAGGACTCCCCTGGGGACTCCTCCAGGCAAGTGGGAAGAGGAAGGCAGCAGCTGGGCTCATGGGATGCAGGCTGGTTCCGAACCTGGGCCTGCCCAGCAGACAGACCTGGGTTTGAATCCTGGTTCTGACACACACTAGCCTGGTGACCCGCGCGGGGGGAGACACTCAAGAGCCTCACTGTCCTTGGCTATAAACTGGGCACATTCAGAGCCGCCTCACAGGCTGACAGTGCAAGTGACAAGCGTGGAGCACCTCCCAGTTTGCCAGGACCGACACCAGGGGCCTCCCTGGCCCACCCCTGACCTCAGGGAGGAGGCAGGTGGCTCCTGCAGCGTCTGGGAGTCTCCACGGCATGCACGTCCACACTGCCCAGCCGCTCGTCCACATGGCAGGTTGGACCTGCAGTCTGGGACTCTGCCGTGATGCCTGGGCACATCTCCAACAGAAATGCGTCCTCTGGGACACCAAAGAGCAGCACTATTCGTAAGTCCCCAAACCTGACCCTCCCCAAATGTCCATCAAGAGTCGAATGGAAAAAAAGCGGTGGGGTGTCCGCATCCTGGAATGCCACACGGCAAGAGCGAGCAAATCATAACCAGCGCCCGCAGCCGGATAAATCTCACCAACGCAGTGCTAGTGAGGAAGCCCCATGTAAACGTAGCTGCTGTAGGATCCTGCTAATAGAAAGTACAAAATTCAGACCAACCTGACGTATGGTGTCACCCTGGGGTGACTAGACGGGGTGTCAGGGGCTCCTGGGGCCCTGGGTCTTGATCCGAGAGCTGCTTACACGAGTATGCTTAGTTTATGGGACTTCATCAAGCTGTACACATTTGATTCCCAGAATTTCCCAAATGAATGTTCTGTTTTATTTTTTTAAATTTTTAAATGTTTGTTTATTTTTGAGAGAGAGAGAGACAGAGTGTGAGCAAGGGAGGGGCGGAGAGAGAAGGAGACACAGAATCCGAAGCAGGCTCCAGGCTCTGAGCTGTCAGCACGGGGCCCGATGCAGGGCTTGAACCCACAAACCTCAAGATCATGACCTGAGTGAAGTCAGATGCATAAACGACTAAGCCACGCAGGCGCCCCTAATTTTTAAAAAAATTTTTAAGAAGCAAAGTCCAACCAAACAACGGACCCATCCATCGGAGCTCCCTTCTGCCCTCACCCTCAGTGGTAATCTTCAGAGTTTTAGGTGGCCGGGCCCCCGCCGGTACCCCTCCCCCAACACCTGCCCCGTCCCTCTCTCTTGCCCATTCCGTCCAGCCACACTCTGGGGTCAGGAGGGTTGCTTATGCTGTTCCCTCTGCCAGGAAAATCGCACTTGGGATAACTCCCTCTCAGAGCTCCTCATCCTTGTCACTTCCTCCAGAACACTCCCTGAGGTGGGAGGACTCTGGAGTCAGAGAGGTCTGGCTTTCGGTGGCTTTGCATCTTTGGGCCTATTTGCTCATCAGTGAAATGGCTCCCATCCAGGGAGGAGCGAAGCACCCTGGCTCGGGATGGCTGCCCGGTGCCAGAGAACTATTCTGGGAAGCTCACAGCCCACTCCTCACACCTCCTGCTTCTCACAGACTAATAATGGCAGTGCCCGAGGGAGCTGAGGGCAGGTGACAGGCAGATGGGGCTATCTGACCCAGACAAAGCCAGGCTGGGCCGTGTGGGGGCTGAGTACAGTTGAGGGCATCTGGGGGCCCTCATGGCTTGCTGGTGGGTGGAGTCACCCCCACCCCGACCCCGGACTCCTCAGCCCAGCTCAGCTCAGCCCATGGTCCCCACGAGGGCCCCATGGTCGTGGCAGAGTGAGCCACTCTGGTCAGTGGAACCCTCCACCTTATTCTCCCTTCTCACAAGGGTTTATGCTATTTGTCAGGCATCTCTTCCGGCGCTGGTTGGGGCCAGACTCAAAGCCCTAACAGGCCCTGTCCTCAAGCCGCCCCGGCTTCCCCACGCGTGGCTAGACGCACGTATATCAGAGCCGCCCAGAGCACACAGGAATGCACAGTCCAAGCTCCGGCCCAGATATCCTGGATCAACCCAGGCCCCAGGGGGACCCAGAAGTCTGCATTTCTACAAGTTGATGCTGGTGCCACGTGAAATCAGGGAATCACTGCTTCCTGGGAGGCAGACAAGACCAGTAATGGCCCAGTGTGGTCAGTTCTGAGGGAGAAGAGAGGAGCAACTGTGAACCCAGAGGGGCCTGTCACCTGGCCACGGAAACCTCTAAGTGACGCCAGACACCTGAGCCGGACTTGGCGAGCTCGGCAAAGTCGGGCAAATAGGGTGGTGTTTTCCAGGCAGCGGAACAGCCTGTGCCGAGGCGGGAAGACAGGAGGGGCCGGGCATCTCACTCGGCCTGAATAATTCAATCTAGCCGGAGAGACCGTGGGGGCAGGAGACAGAAAGGTGGGTGGCAAGGTGTGGCTGTTTACGCAGGGCCTTGTGGCCATTGAGAGGAATGTTGCAGGGAAACTGAGCTGTACGGGGGAAACCGGCTTCTTGTTTCAAATGCTCTCAAGATGCCGGAAGCAGAATACGCGTAACTGAATCAAAACGTCTTTATTAACCGAATGGAAGAAGGAAGGAGTCTTTTCTCAACTTCACTTAAGCTTCCTCGCCGAGCATCAGTCAAACTTCCATTCTGTAAAGCATTTAGGGCGCCGAGTGTGCGCCCCACCCCGCGAGTTCCCTCCTCCACTCCACACTTTGAACAGAGGCGCCGCTGGCCAGTACACAGCAGAGAGAAAAGAGTCCCTTCTGGGTCTTTGGCCTCAGTTTACTCATAACTAAAAGTGGGTCGGCTCTGACCCCAACGTGCCGAGGCTGCCGCCCCGCTTCGAGTATGCCTTCTTACGGGAGCCCGGCGCCAGCCAACCCCGGGCGGGCTTGGGGTACGGGGGAAGCCTCCGCTTCACGTACATCCCAGACAAACCAAAGCTCCCACCAAAGTTCAACACGCCCCCCAAGCTGGCGCCTGATTGGCCCGCCCTACTCACATCGTGAGCCCGCTTCACTTTGTGATTGGCTGTTCTCCTTTCTGTTGTGTGCTGGAACCCTCCTCTTCTCTGATTGGTCAGACTCCTACCTGTGCTCGCCCTGGATTGGACGCCGGCTCGGTCGGCTCGCATGCTCCGGGGCCCGGCTCTCTGATTCGCCGCTCGGGTCAGCCTCAGGGCCGGCACGCTAAATGGCTGCGCCGGTACCTGTATCGGCCTCCGATTGGGCACGCGGCGCCTCCCCGGCGTGATAGGTCAGGACCACCGCCCCCCTGGCTCCCCATTGGCTGCTCGGCGAAGCCCGGTCTCCGGGTAAGATGGCAGCGGACGGACAGTGCTCGCTCCCCGCTTCATGGCGGCCGGTGACCCTAACCCACGTCGAATATCCTACAGGTAAAAGGCGGTCCCGCCCTGGAGGACGCCTTCCCCGGGCCGGCCCATCAGCCCCGGGCGCTCCGGCCCGCGCGAGCCCGCGGAGGGGGCGCCGGGGGACCGAGGTGGGAACTGTCAAATAGTGAGCCATGGAGGGGCTCGGCCGGCGCGCGCGCCGCGCAGGCGCAGTGGTGCGGCGATGAGCTGGGCGAAATTGTGAGCAGCTCGCTCGCGCACTCTGCGGCTGCGCTGTCGGGCCGCTTCCCCGGGTCCCGGGACGTGGGTGGGCTGTAATGGGGCTGGGGTCCGCGCGAGGCGGGAAAGGATGACTGGCCTGGACCTGGGTCCTTCCTCCCTGCCCTCCCCGGAGTCAGAGAGGCCAGACTCCCTCCTCGGCGTGCAGGGAGTGCCTGTTTCCTTCAAACAGCGCTTTGGGGCTGCAAAGCGCTCCCCATTGCTGGGAGTGTGCAAACCGAGGCCGGGAAGCTATTCGTTGTTGGGAGTACTTGTGCCTGAGCAGGGCACTGCTCCCGCAACAGACGGAACCGCGTTAGGGGACAGGCGGCCCCTGGGATCTGACTTCTGGAGTTTCCCAATCAGATGCGTCTCTGGAAGTGCAGGGTTTTCTAGGTGAGAGGTCCTTTAGCGACCGTTCTGGAAGCTGGTAGAGTGGTGTAGAGCTCGGGCTCAGAGGCATCTGGGCTCAAGTTCAGGCTGAGGCTTGGTGCAAATGCCTTCACCTCTCCGTGCCTCAGTCAGTTCATCTCTAAAGTGGGAGTGATCACCGTGCCTTCCTGCCGGTGGTGATGAGACAAATAACATGAGGTGTAAGAAGTGCTGAGTACCGTGCCTGGCACACCGTAAGCATTCCGCGTGGAACGGCAGTTAAAATTAGCTTCCCAGGACCCTCAAGCCCGACCCACCCTCCCTGGGTAGGATGACTGGGCGTTGGGTGAGGCTGGGGGCCCCTCATGGAGCCCTGCTTGCCCCCAGGAGGGGGCCTGCTCTCGCTGCTCTCCAGTGTAGAGCTGTGAGAACCTGGCCCTGCTGAGGGCCCCAGGGTGGGATGCCAGGGAACTTTGACCCTAAGTAGGCTGGGTTATACTGGGGGCGGGGCAGCCCTTACAGGCAGGGGACCCTGCCTGCCTGCCTGCCTGCCCACTCACCCACCATTATCCCCAGCACTCATTCAGGAGCTGAGCACATCCTTAGCGCGAGGCCCAGGGCTAGCTCTGCGTTTAGAATGGTGAACAGGCCCATAAACTCCCTGCTGCTATGGACTATGAAGAAAACCCACTTTTTTCTTTTATATGAGGGAAACCGAGGCCTGGAGAGGGGAAGGAACGTGCCTAAGGCCTCAGTACCTTCATGATTTCCCCCTTCCTGGCCTCTGATTAGCTTCTCTGAGTGCTCACAAACGAGAAGAAAGCCTGGTGTTCACGAGCAGCACGACACAGGCTGTGATGAGGGACCCTCTGCGGGGACCGTGGGTGCCTGGAGGAGGGGCCTCGGTGAGCCTGGGGGCCGCCTTCGGGGTCTCGGCCCCTGCTGACTCTTCTCTGGCCCCTTTCGTGCCTTCACCGCACCGATCCTTGCTTCCTTCACCCCTTCTCTACCCATTGAGCATCATTTTTGAGCTAATTAAGTGCCAGATGCTGTACTGGGCTTGGGCGATTGAGCAGGGTGTAGAGACCCCGCCCTGCTCTCCCGGAGCCGACCGCGTAGAGGGACAGACACTGGGCCCGTGTCTACAGTAACGAGTGCATCGTGAACGATGCCCTGGTTACAGATTCCCCCACAGACTTAGAGAGCTCTGCAATGGCAGAAACATTCTCTCTCTCTCTCTCTCTCACCTGTGGTGGGTACTTAATTTATGACGCGTTAACCCAGGCAGCATCTTGACTGGGGGAGCCCGTGTGTGCAAAGGTCAAGTGGGACAGGGCCAGGAGCATTCAGGCAGCTAGAGTCCCATCCTGGGAACTGGGGAGAGGTAGGAGGGAAGCAGGCGGGCTCGGGACTGCAGGGCCTGACGAGCTGAGCGGAGACGGGACTCATCCCAAGGGCAGAGAGAACCACGGAGGGGCTTAGATCAGAGGGCCGCAAGGCCAGAGTGTCCACAGCACCTGCGAGAAGGCCCGAGCGCAGCGCCGGCTGCGGGCCGGGCCGGGCATCGGCTGGGCAGCCGAGAGACCCAGGATCTCAGAGCCAGAAGGGACCAGGCCGTCAGGTGGCTGAGGAGACAAGAGCCTAGACAAGGGGAGGGCCTCACCCAGCGTCACCCAGTGTCATCCAGTGGGCCTGGGGCTGCCCCAGCCCTGGAACAGGCTTGCTGGCCCATCCTCCGCGCCCATGCCTCTTCCAAGCCCGTCCCACCGTGGATAGATATGAGTGAGGCCGGGTGTGTGAGCATCTATCTGTTCAGCCTGGACTCTGGGCTCCGCCCTGCATGGGCACCTTCCTGCTGCCCGTGTGAAGCCAGGCTGGCGGTGCGGGCCGTTTCCCATGCCAGGTTCTCAAAGCTCCCACAGCTGTAAGACGGGCGTCCTAATATCCCTTTTTCTCTGGCGCGGGGACCAAACCCTGAACCACGGCATGCCCTTTGACCCTAGGGTAGCCATGCAGTGCCTGGTCTAATGGCAAGCCTTTGGACTCACTGTCAGCCCTGCCATTAACCAAGGGGGGGAAGTGGCTCTTGTCTCTTGGCTTCAGTGTCCTCAGCTCTCAAAGGGGCTCCCAATCCTTGCACGGCCTCCTTTCCAGGCCTGTCAGGAAGGGAAAAAGCAGAAAGTAGCCAATTTCTTGCCAGTGGTAAGGCTGCCCTGCTGGGCAAAGCAGCCTCTCCCCCTCCTCTCTTGGTCCCTGTCCGACTCTGCAGGGTCCAGGGCGTGCGTGTCCGGAGACGATCCCGAGGGTCCCGAGGCCCAGGGCTCGGCTGGGGCAGCCTCAGTGCGGCCCCGTGTTCCAGAGGCACTTACATGCCTGCCCGGCCGCCTCCAGATCCGAGACCTGGCCTCTTAGTTCAGACCAGGCTGGGTTCTAATTCCCACTTTGGAGGATGAGTTTACTACCTGGACCAGGCCAGAGGCTAGGATTTTAGTCCAGATCTCACCTCCTTCTGGCTGTGTGACTTCAGACAAGTCACACAACCCATATGGGCCTCAGTGTGTTCATCTACAGAATGGGCCCAGCAAAGGCACCTGCTTTAAACTTCTGATCTATGTATGTTAGGGCTCGTGCCCATGCCTGAGTTGGTCTGGTCTGCTAGTTGACTGAGGCGTCCACGGCTGCCTGGTCCCGCCCTTTGGGCCCTCCTGGGGCCTTCTTGGTGGCTCAGGCCCCACTTGACTTGGCTGGGGGCTGGCCCCTCTTCTGACTACTGTTTTTCATTCATCCTGTTCTCCCTGTCTGTCGCCGCCCCCCCCAGGTGATCTCTCTGGCCACCTCCTTGCCTACCTGAGCCTCAGCCCTGTGTTTGTCATTGTTGGTTTCGTGTCCCTCATCATATTCAAGCGGGAGCTGCACACGGTGAGTGAGTCCGTCCCTGCCCGCCCCTCCGCCGCTCCTCCACTGCCCCCTCGCCAGGGAGGAGGGGCTCCGCACCATCTCACCGCCCCGCTTTGCCTTCCCTGCCCTCACCTTTCTTGAGGTGCCCTAGCCGGGTCCGGGTGGTTGACTGGTTGGACTGGGAGGCTCAGTCAGGGGCCACGGTCTCTGGGCCTGGGTGGTGGTCAGTGGGCGCAGGGGCCCAGCTGACCACACGTCTTCCTGGCAGATCTCGTTCCTCGGGGGCCTGGCGCTGAACGAGGGGGTCAACTGGCTGATCAAACACATCATACAAGAGCCACGGCCCTGTGGAGGTAGGGCCTGGGCCGTGGGGTCTGGGGGGGTGGTCCCCCGGTCAGCATGCCCCGGGAGCCCCGCATCCTCCCACCCTGCTCTGTTCTCTTTCTCCCAGGCCCCCACGAGGCAGTGAGCAACAAGTACGGGATGCCCTCCAGCCATTCCCAGTTCATGTGGTTCTTCTCCGTCTACTCCTGCCTTTTCCTGTATTTAAGGTAAGCGTCTGCTCCGGCCGGGGTGGCCCCGCACTGGCCCAGGCCGGCCTCTGCCAGGAACTCCGTCTCAGCTCTTTGGACGCCCCTGGGGCTTGGCCGCTGCCAGGGGTGGGAGGAGCTGCATCAAGGAAGAGATGTCCAAGCAGGATTGGGGGTGAGGGGAGGCCTGGGCTCCAGCCTGTGGGCCGAGGCCGTCTGACAGGCCTGTTTTCCCAGAATGCACCAAACAAACAACGCCAGGTTCCTGGACTTGCTGTGGAGACACGTGCTCTCCCTGGGTCTCGTCACCGCGGCCTTTCTAGTCTCCTATAGCAGGTACGGAGGGAGGGAGAGCCCCTACCCCCCGCCCTGCCCACTGGGGTCTGACTGGATTTGTGGTCCCTGTTGGACCTCCGCGGGGACCGGAGTCCCCACAACCTGTAGAGCAGTGCTGGGAAGGGGGGGTCCCAGGCCCCTCGTTTTAAAGGGCTAGGGCTCCAGCTCCCCCTTCCAGCCCAGGCCTCGCTCTCTTCTCTTGGCTGAGCCCAACGTCCTGGGGACACCTGCACACATCAGCCATCTGGCCCCAGGGTCCCACAGGAGCTTCTTGGAGACAAACTCAGAGCTGAAGGCTGAACAGAAGGCAAATCCCAGCCGATCTGTCCCTTCACTCCTGTGGTCGGGGGAGCAGCCGTTGGGGTCCATCCCCCTGCCTCCTTCTGGAAATAGATTGGAGGCTGTGTGGTCACAGGACGCTGTCTCATCTGCGTGTGGTCCCCCCCCCACCATGTGTGCACATAGGTCCTCGGGAAGCCGGCACTTGGGCAGGGGGCAATCGTGTGGGCCTGTGGCCGGCTGGCTCTCATGAACTTCCCTCTGTCCTTGGCCCAGGGTCTACCTGCTGTACCACACGTGGAGCCAGGTGCTCTATGGGGCCCTTGCTGGGAGCCTCATGGCCGTCGCCTGGTTCGTCTTCACCCAAGAGGTCCTCACCCCGCTGTTCCCTAGGATAGCAGCCTGGTAACTGCCTCCTGGCCCTGTGGCTGCCCGCCCCCCCGCCTCTGCCTCCTGACTCGGCCCCCCACCTCCCCGGGAGGGCCCTAGCGTCCCAGCCTCCGGTGGGCATGGACTGCAGGCCCTGCTTGCCTGGTGCCCTCCTCCCCCAGGGCTTTTCTCAGGCCCATAAGCCAAGGCGCCATTTTCAGTCCCCAGCTAGGCTCTCCGGGACTTAGGAAGCAGCCCGAGGCCTGGCGGGCTGTGCGTGCCGCAGGGCAGTGCCCCTGCCCGAGGTCACACTGGTGACATGTCCCGGTCTCTCAGCAGCTCCTGGGTCTCAGGCCGGCCAGAGGCTCTGTGAGCAGTGGGGGAGGGTGCAGCACCAGCCCCAGGCACCGGCGGGGGGGTCTCGCTTGGCAGTGGCTGGCGTCCTGACGTGGCCCCGGCTCTGCGGGCATCTATCTCTGCAGGCCCATCTCGGAGTTCTTCCTCATCCGGGACACGAGCCTCATTCCCAACGTGCTCTGGTTCGAGTACACAGTAACCCGGGCAGAAGCCAGGTGAGCAGGGGGCAGCAGTCACTGGGTCCTAACTCCGTGGGGCCCCCTATTTTGGGGGGGCTCCCCAGTAGCCAGGCACTTGACTAAGCACTTTGCTTATACTACCTCATTGAACCTCCCCTGGGCCCCACTTTACAGAGGAGAAACTGAGGCTCAGGGGAAGAGAGAGGGAGTCACTTGGCTGGGGACTTGCAGATGGTAGGGTGTGGGGGAGCTTGGCAAGGAACCCAGGCTGTCTGGCCTCGAGCCGTGTTTGTAGCCTCCGTGGTCCAGAACCAGATGGCTGGGCAGCCGAGAGTCTCGGGCTGAATGTGGACACCCTGGGAGTTATTTAGTGTAGACCCTTTCCTATAGGTGGGTAAACCGAGACATAGGAAGTTAGGGACTGCCTGTGAATGCATAGCAAGTGGGGGCAAAGCTGGGCTTTGGAGCCTCTTGACTATCCCTCTCCACTCACCCCAAATCCTGGGCTGGTCTGGGGAAGGCCTGGTTTCTCTCCAGGCGCAGAAGGGAAGCAGAGGTGAGGCCAGGCTCCAGAGTAAGCCTGGAAGGCTTCCTGGAGGAGGCAGAGGGGCGGCCAGGCTGGGGCAGGGTGTCACAGCTCCAGAGAAATGTGTCTGGTGCATCGTGGTTCACATTATCCTAATGAGCTTAAGGGTAAAGTCCTCGATCCACAAGGAAAGGGGATTTGAGGGGGTTAGGGCAGCCAATCCCATTATGGGTGGAAGGGCCCCCGCGGGGGCCTCTCGTGGCCCGGCCCTCCCCCACCTGGCTGGCTGCCACCTGCCTTCATCAACCAGATTTTCTGCGCGCACCTGCTCTGTGCCAGGCTGTTGGGGAGGACAGAGCGAGATGGTCGTGGCAGGCAGGGGGGACACGAGGAATGAAGCACCTGTCTGTGTGATCGGTGCCCTGGGCCTGAGGGCCTGTGATGGGATCCTGATTGGGGGGGGGGGGGGGCGGGGTGGGGGGGCCCACTGCCCAGGGCAGGCGGACCCGAGGGTAGAGACAGAGCAGGCCTGTTGCAGTTGGGTTTGGCAGAGGGGAGAGAGCTCCAAAAAGCCACTGAGGCAGGATGACACTTGGTGAGTCTGCCAGACAGAGGCCGATGTGGCTGGAGCTCAGGGAATGAAGAGACGGGGGCTGGGGCTGGGCATCTGTGGGCACGGTTCATTTTCTGAAATTGAAAAAAACTTTTTTTTAAATTTTTGTTTTTGAGAAACTGTGAGCAGGGGAAGGGGGAGTGTGAGAGAGAGGGGGAGACAGAGGATCTGAAGCGGGCACCGTGCTGACACCAGCGAGCCTTATGCGGGGCCCGAACCCTCGAACCGCGAGATCATGATCTGAGCCGAAGTCAGACGCTCAAGCGACCGAGCCCCCCAGGCGCCCTCGTTTTCTGAATTTTAAATGGGACTCTAGAACAGGTCCATTCATTCTCCGTTCTGAGCCTCGATGAGGCCTGTAGGAAGATGGGGGACACTATCCCTGCTTCCCTCGGGTCACTGGGCCCGTCATGGATGTAGCCTTTCCTCCAGCCAGATAACCCACATTCTCTGCGTAACGTCCCTCAGTCCTTCCGCCTTTGCTTACACACGTCCAGGCGGAGAACTCGCTCTCTTCTGTCTGTTTCAGTTGATAACAGACCCTGGCTTATCTGTCATCCCCAGAATGGGCGGGATTCCAGCCGGGTCCCCCTGGCTTCAGGTCTCTCCTCCGGGGCCCCACCTCTGCCCCAGTCTCCTGGCTCTGTTCCTGAACTCCAGAACCAAGGCGTCACGGGCCGGAGACACTGCTCCTCTGTGGGGGCCACATGCCAGGTCGCAGGGCAGGAGCTGGAGTCAACCACTGGGGCCACCGGGGTGGGCGTTCACCCATTCTGACGGGACTGTGGATGGGGAGGGGACAGCTGAGGGCATGGGTCCCTGAATGCCAGGAGTCCCCTCATTTGACCCCACCCCCCAGGAATCCTCACACTTGGCTCCCCCCGCCCCCCGCTTTGCAGGAACAGACAGCGTAAGCTGGGGACAAAGCTACAGTGACCGTTGAGTGTGGCTGGGTCCAGCCTCTGGATCTGGGCCGCGTGGCACCTTGCAGGATGGCCAGAATGACAGAGGGATGAAGCAGAGACCTCTACAGACCCAAGTCACCAAGTGGAGCCTTTTTTTTCTTCTTTTAATTTTAATGAACAAGGTGGACCAAAGGGCCAAGCCAGCCCCTCAGCCGGGACCCCGGAGGGCCTGCTGCCAGGGGGCCACACGGCCAGAGACCCTCGCTGTGCTGCTGCCGGTCCCTGGTCGGGCGGAGAGCGCCCTCGGCATGGGCCCCAGGGTGTGGCGCGGAGAGGGGGGCTTGCGCCTCTGGTCGCGGGGCCGGGGAACCCAGGGGGTGTGAGAAATACACACTATTTATTTTTTGGTTTTGTCAAAGGCAGACGGGCTTTTGGAGAAGGGCCGGGAAGGGCCCACCTGCTCTGCCCCGGACACCCTGCACACCGAGGAGGGGCCGCAGTCAGCTTCCCGGGGCCCTGGGCCCGGGGGACAGACCGCCGCTCCCTGGGCCCGAGAGGTGGCCTGGGGGCCCAGGAGATGAGCACCCCCATGCCCTCCCTGCCACCAATGCCATTCCAGAACTTCGTTCAGTGTTTCCTCGTCTGGGGGCCAGGGCCCAGAGCGCGCGCATCTGGCGGCTGCTATCATTGTTCTCTACCCCATATCGACCCTGCACCACAAGGGCTTTCTCCGGTCCCCTGTCCCCAAGACAATGGTCCCCTTCTGACAAAAGAGCCTGCACATGTGGGTGAGCAAACCCAGGCTGTTTACAGCTCTTTTTTTTTTTTTTTTTTCCTGTCCTGCCATCCAGCAGCCATTAGTTTTCATCTCCACCCGAACAAAGGGCAGAGGAACCAGGAGCCGGGGGAGGGGAGTGGAGCCGCGGGTGCGTGACGTCCCTGTCCCTCCCCTCCCCTTCCCTTCCCTTCCTTTCCTTCCATGTGCTCTCAACGCTCCCTTGTCCTTCCTGACGTCTTCCCGAGAGCCGGGGCACCTGCTGGGGCACCCCTAAGCCTGTGTCCGGGGTGCCGGTGCCCAGATCCCCACCGTGCAGCGTGGGACCCGATCTCTTAAGCCTAACTCTCAAGGAGAGTTGTGGAGAAGAGATGCTTCCAGACTCTTTGGAAGTTTCGAGAATTGAACCGCGCGGCTCGGACCTGTGTTCTGTGCCCCCACCCCCGCCTTTTTTCTTTGTGGAGGTTCCTAACCTGCTGCTAAAGCACAATATTCCGGTGCTTTCTTTTCTCATTTGTTCAAGACAGTGTCCAAAAGCCATTCCGGATGCCAGGACCAGGGGCCTATTTCTGGGGAAGGTTGGTCAGTCCCCACATTTTCCTCCCCGTCCCCCCTTATTTTTATTTTCTACTTTTTGCCTGAGACAAGCCAAGTGTGAGGTGGTTTGATTTAAGAAAAATCAATGAAATTGTTTACTATTGTTTTAAAATAAAATCTTGAACTCTGGCGGCTTGAGCGCGGTGACTGAGCTCACGAGAGGAAGCCTGGGGTGGGCGGCCTTGGGGACATGTGACCATGAGGGGCAAGGATACGGTGAGCACCATAAAATCACAAGCATCTCCAAGACCTCCAGTCCCTTCCAGGCCCCAGACGTGGGGTTTGAACGGCCTCTGGGACGTTTCCCAGCCGGGTCTGAGGTGACCGCAACGCCTGCCGTTCAGTTACAAGCCTGCCCGTTTCCTAGTCTCTGCCCCGCGGCGCCGTCGCACTCGGTCCGATCCCCCTCGGTGTGACAGCCCTCGAGGACCGGGCCAGCGTGCTCTTCCTAAGCCTCCGTCACCTCCGCTCCCCAGTTAATCCGCTCTTCTCGAGCGCGTGGACGGGTGAGCATCTTCCTTCGCAAGAACGAACTGCACACGGAGCTGGGTGTTTGCGGGGCCGGGGGGGGGGGGGGGGGGGGGGGGGGGGGGGGGGGGGGGGGGGGGGGGGGGGGGGGGGGGAGCATGGGAGTGAGTCGGGTACAAGTCAGACTCCAGGGCTGGTCCCGGGCACGCAGTGTCCTCCTCGGTCCACAGAGCGGAGATGCCACAGGGCAGCGCTGTTCCCCCCTCAGGGTCAGGGCGAACCAGAACCGTCTGTCCTCCCAGCAGCTTGGAGGCGGGGGCGGGGTCCCCACCGGGTTCGCAGAACCTTTAGTTCGGTTCCCGCGGCCTCCCCCGGGTGCGCGGCAGGAGGAAGCAGGTCTCCGGAGGAAGCTTCACCCCAGACTTGCTGGTGGGAATAGTTTTATATCTGTGGTGCACAAGCTCTAGAGCGAGGTGACCCAGGTACAAAAGTCACAGCCCTGTGACTGAGAACCAGCGGGAAGCAGGCCACGGAGGCAGACCCGTAAACACCTGCGTGGCGCTGGAACGAGCAGGCACAGGCTAAATTGTCTTTCCTGTTTTAAGGAAATAAAAGGCTAACTTAAAGTAATCTGTACGGAACAGGAAACTAAAGTGAGCTCTGGCAGATTTTTAAATGAATTTTTAAAAACCTGAAAATAAAAGAAGGGCGCCTGGGTGGCTCAGTCGGTTAAGCGTCCAACCTCGGCTCAGGTCATGATCTCTTGGTTTGTGGGTTCGAGCCCTGCATCCGGCTCTGTGCTGTCAGCTGGGAGCCTGGAGCCTGCTTCAGATTCTCTCTCTCTCTCTCTCTCTCTCTCTCTCTGCCTCCCCCACTTGTGCGTGCGTGCATGCTCTCTCTCTCTCTGTCAAAAATGAAGAAACCTTAAAAAAACTTCTTAAATAAAAAAACACTAGCTGAGAAACAAGAACCCAATAGACGTAGACTCAGTTGAAGAGAACCAAGCTAGAGGACAGGAGTGACATCCAGAGAGAGGAAAGGGGCTGACCAGTCCTGGGGTCCCTGAGTCCCAAGTGGACTTGCTGCCTTCACTCCCCTCGACAGCCCTCCCCACGCCCCGTCTCTGCATACCATCCCCGTCTTCGGGCAGCCCTACCCCTCCTTGTCCCCTTCAGTCCAGTCCCCAAGCCTCACCAACTCTACTCTATTAACATGTTTGAAATGAAATGTCGGTCTCCCGCCACTGGCCGGGCCCTCCCTGGAGGCAGTGAAGCCTCCCCATTCAGCCCCCCCATCCCCAGCCCAGCCAGGCCCCCTCAACCCATTCCTCGGCATCTTCCTAAAACTCCCTCCTTACTGTCTGGGGAGAAAGCCACGTGTTCCCCTGGCCCCCGGACTCGCCTCACCTGGCAGGCTCCAGTCCCCGCCCTTTCCCAGGGAAGAGAGCCCAAACCAAGTTCGTGCCAACCTGGACAAACTTTTAGGGATCTAGGCAGAAAACCAAGTGAGCGTCGTTCATTCATTATCTTCCGTGTTCAAATTTAATGATGTGTTATTGCACAAGATATACTTACAGCTGTCCTTTTTCACTCGTATTTTGCAAATACAAACAAACCACAAAAAGTCCCGCCACCACCCGCAAAGCCAAGTTCTTTATATGCTTCATTAGCCTCAGGGTCTGCTGGCTCCCAGCGTGGGGGGGGGGGGGGGCCCACAGTGCTGTGAGTCTGCTGGCTAAGCGCCTGATGTTGTCCTTGAATTTGTTTCCCAAGATGCGAGTGCCTACTGGTGTAACATCTAGACAGGTGGATTTAACACCTCGATCCTGTAGAAGTGGGTGATTTACCTCCCCCCTCCCCCAGGGGACTTCCATGCGTCCCGCATGACACTGGGGTGGGGTGTCTATGCTAACCGTGTCTTCCCCAACCAGTACTTTTTGGCTCTAGAAAACTGAGGGAGCCTCTGTAGCACGAGGCCTGTAACCTCTCAAACGCAAGGGGATGCCCTCACCCCTGAAGGACAGCTTTGGGGGAGCGAGGTCTTGCTTTATATGCAGTTCTTATTAGCACTTGAGCCTCCGGAGTCCCGGGCGTCTGTCGGGGCGCCATCCTCGGCTTGGCTCACTCCCCCTGCGCCCCTGCCGCCCTGGGCAGGGCTCACCTGGTACTCTCAGCTCCTGCGAGTCCCAGCAGCCCCCAGAGGGAGCAGCACCCCTCCCACTGTATAGATGAGGACGCCCAGGCACAGCAAGGTCAAGGGCCAGCCTAAGCGCCCCAGTGGCAGGGCAGAGGCAGCGTGCTGGGGAATTCTCTCCCAGGTCTTCTAGTTCGGGGCCCTGAGAGGGCACTCCCGCACCCCTTCCCTTGGCATTGCCCCACCTTGCTGGCCCTGGGGGCCTGAGGAGAGGCCAGGCCCAGGGCAACAACCACTCCCATCATCTCGGCCCCCCCCCTCCCCGGGGACTTGGGGCAAAGGAGCATGCCCTCCCTCAGCCTCATCAGAGAACAGGACTCAGTCCCCACCCTTGTGTGGCCGTGAGTTCCACCCAGTCAGTGCCTCAGTCCAGCTGGTGCCTCCCTGTGCCTCCTAGGCCGGGGCCCTCTGTCCTTCACGACTAGCTCATGGGTTCGGGTCTGGGCCGGTTGCCACCCACAGCCTGCTCCTTTCTCCGCCCATGGCCCTGGGTTGTCTGACTGGGTGTGGTGTTGGGGCTGCGGGCTGGGCTAGGCTACAGGGGCTCCCCTGGGAACCTCTGCTCTGCCATTTAGTGGCCTGGTGACCTGAGCCTCTCTGAGCTTCAGTTTCCTCATCTGAAAATGGAGAAGACCACAGGCCTCCACCCTCACGTGACTGTCACAAGTCAGCTGGGTCACCTCATCCCCAGGCTCAGTGGCCTCTCCCATCCTCACCCCCTTGGCCTCCTGCTCTGAGGGTCCCCACGTGCCTTCCTTAGGGCCAGTATCCCCTGGAGGGAGAGACTTCTCTCCACAAATAGCCTACTCGATGGGGGCAGGACACCCCGGGCCTGCTGGGTGTGGGAGGTCAGGGGCACGTACAGGGCTCTGATTGGCTAGACTGTGTGACCTGGTATCCAGGTGGCCCCCCGGGGCAGGACCAGGGTGAGCAAGGCTGCCTGGCCACCACCGTTGGTGGCGCGTGGGGGTGGCAGCCTGGAGAGTCAGCTACACACCGCCTCACCCAACACCCCACGGTTCCTGGGGAGGGTCGTTCTCACTCACAGCCTCTGGGACAGGGAGGCCCACGTCTGTGGAGACTGCAGCCCCGGGTCTGGTGCCCTTCCTGGTCAAGCGCCCTGCGGGTGGCACTGGCCCGTGGCTCCATGGCCTAAGCCCCAGGACCCTCCTCCTGGCCGCTCTGGGAGCCTTTGGACCCACTGGCTGCTTGGACAACGGCTCCCAGATGCAGGGGATGCTGAGAGAAGGCAAAGCCAGGCGTGTGCCCCACGTTGCCTGCCCCCTCGGCTGAAACACCTCTTCGCTGACAAATTCCCCTTTATTAATCACCTCGCGTGTTACTGTGACACAACCATGAAAGTGGCTCAGGAGTCGAGCTGAACGGAAGCGGGCGAGCTGGGGCCCCCGGGCCACACCATCCGAAAGAGTGCGGCAGGGGGAGGTCATGCTGCCGCGCAGGGCGGGCGGAGGCAAGGCCTTGGGCTTCGCTTACCAGCACACCTTGCACCCTGCCCTTGGCCCTGGGGAAGGCTAGAGCCCCCGATAGTCCTGTCTCTAGATCCTTGGGAGCCTGGGGATGGCGATTGGGGTACAGACACCAGCTCAGCAGTGCAGAGGGCAGGGGTGGAGGCTGGCGAGAGCCGAGCTCGCAAGAAAAGGACTTCCCAGTCTTCCCAGTCTGCTAATCTGGGGAGGGACAGGGACAGGCTCTTCTGGTTCCTGTCCCCGCAGGAAGGCTCCTGGGGGGACACACCCGACACCTGGGTCCGATGTCCTGCTTAGGCTCTGAGCTCCACGGAAGGCACTGGCTCGGGCCTGCAGGCCCCGCTGGGGATGCCGTCCATCCCTGGCTCAGGCAGATCTGCGGGGCCCGGGGCAGGGGTGGGGGACGGTAGGGAGCCGGAGGGGTGGAACCCTGGTGGGCTGCCCAGCCCCGGTGGCAGCTGGGCCGGGACACCAGCAGGCCTGAGCACAGGGCGCTCACAGCTTGGCCCGAGGGTGGTGCTGGAGCAGAGCGCGCATGTCCAGGAGAGCCTTCTCCAGGTAGTGCGCCAGGCGGGCGGCGTTTGTCTCCGCGCAGCTGTTGTAGGCCGACACGGAGAAGTTGATGTGAGTCTCCATGGGGTTGTAGCAAACGCCATAGCCGTCGGGGACCACGGGCCCGAAGAACATGACTGTGTCTGTCTTGGCAGGGACCTGGGGACGGCATGGGACTAAGGCTCTTGTCCCACCCCGTGGGGCAGCCAGCCTGCCCTTCCCTGTTTCCGCTGTGCCCCGCCTGAGGTACGCTCTCCCCTTCTCCAGCCGGCAGGTTACTCCTCCTCCTGGGGGTGCAGTTCTGGGACCACCCTCTGGGGGGCCCTCCTCGCCACTCCCGAGGGAGCTTTAGTTGCTCCCCCCTTGAGGCGCCCCTGACCCTGAGTACTCCGCAGCTGGGTCTGTTCTGTCCCACCCTGGGGCACCTGGGCAGGTGGGCAGGGGCAGGAGAAGCCAGATGGCTCCGGGCCAGTGACCCACCTGGCTGGTGGAGAGGTTGAAGTGCATAGCGATGGCGTAGGACGTGTCCATGAAGATGTCAGGCATGCTCACCAGGTCCTCAATGGCCTGCAGCTTCAGGCCCAGCAGGTGCCGGTCAAATGCCTCCCCGCGGATAGCCTGTGGGAGGGGACCGTCAGCCGCAGGGGCTGACGGGGGCGTCCCTGCCTTCCCGAAAAGCCTGCGGCAGCAACCCCCCTTCCATGTAGTGGTGCCTCGGAGTCACGAGACCAGAGGGTCTAGGCAGGAGAGCCCTCACTTCTCAGATGGGGAAACTGAGGCTCGGGGACCTGCCCAGGGAGGGGCAGTGTAGCCTTTAAGAACACAGGCCTGCAGCTGGGTGGCCTGGCCCCATCCTGGCTACGGGGCCTTGGCCGGTCACTTGGGAGTCTCAGGGTCTTCATCTGCAGAATGGGGATGGGTACTGAATTCCCCTCCCGGGGTAGCAGTGACATCAAAACGGACCTCTGTATGTGACATGGGCAGGGCCTGACACACAGGTGCTCAGAGCCAGATGGGAACCTAGACCTCCCGTCCCTGACTGCAGCCCAAGCCGTCAGAGGCCAGGAACCCCGCTGTCGGACAGACCACGCAAACCCTCAGCACCCGGGGCTCTGGGGCCACCGAGGAGAGAGCATGACACACGACGCAGAGGCGAACGTGGGACCACCAAAGCCACTGGGCTCAGTCTCAGTTTCTCCAGCTTTAAAATGGGGATATTCGGCCTTCCTCCGGGTGCCCCATGGTTTGGGGAGGGGTGGCTCGCGCCAAGGGTGAGCGGCTGCTGGGACAGACGGGGAGATGGACGGCTGGGAGACGACAAGGGTCAAGCACACAGGGACAGCAGGGGCTCACTCACCTGGTCTGTGTAGGCTCGGTGGGCTTGCACGGCCTTCCGCAGCAGCTCCACTTTCTGGTGCTCCTAAGAGGGGCGGGGTAGTTGAAGTGTGTGTTCCTTCTCTGTTCCTGCTGCCCGCCCGGGGTGGCCCGCTCTGCCCGGCACTAAGATCCGAACTCTCTGAGAGCAGGAGCCCAAACTGCCGGCCCCCCCATCCGGCCCGCCCATCCCTCCGGTCAGTCCTCAGCCAAGGCCTGAGATGTAGGCAGATGCTCCCTGCTGATGAGTGAACGTCTTTATGCCTTTGGCTGCCAGGAAGCTCAGGGTCAGGGCCAAATTCATGACTCCACGGGGGAATACAGTAGGCGCTCAATCAATGTGCACTGACAGAACACACAGGAAGGGAGATGGCTCAAGGCCAGCTTGCCTGCCCTCACCCCAGCCCTCTCACCGACACGCTGGCGTCATCCATGGCTTTGACGAAGGTCAGGGAGTCTGTGGAAGCGGAGCGGATGGTGTCGGTGCGGCCCAGGTGAAACATACGCAGGGAGGCGCTCTCGTACGTGGCACATGCCTGATTGTAGATCCTGGGTGGGAGAGGGGGCTGAGCGCACCCCTGGGAGGTGCCCCCCCCCTCCAGCCCCAGGTCGTGGGCAGGCGAGGCGGGGCGCACCTGTAGTAGGCCAGCTGTAGTGCCATCTGGATGAAGGCGTCCGGGCTCAGCTTCTCCGACTTGGGGAAGTCCTTCCCAAAATGGTGGAATACCATCACCATGATGTCCAGGTCCTGGATCATGCTGGGGGGTGGGAGAGAGGTGGGTGAGGAGGGGGCACCAGGTGGCCCCAGCCAACCCCTGAAGCAGTCTCAGAGCCAGCCAGGTGCAACGGCAGTCCCCGGGAACAAGGGGCCCGGCTCCTTCCCCCGACTCAACTCGCCCAACTGCACCGCACTTACATGCTGAGATTCTGCTTGGCCTTTTCAATGTCGCTCTTGATCTCAGGGGTGATGTTGAACCGCAGCTTCTTGGGCATGGGCAGGGGCACCATGGGGGACCGCACCAGCTCGGGTTTCTTCCTGCATAGGACATGGGGGCCTCAGGCTTATGCTGGGGCCTCAGGGGTCCCTGGCTCCATCCCCGGGACTGAGGTGCAGGGCACGGGTTCCTGAGGCCAGAGGGAGCCAGCCTGGGGAGACTCTGGGTTTAGAAAACTGCCTTCACTCCAGCCTCTAAGGGACCACACACGGAGGGGGCCTGGAGAGGGAAAGGGACTTGTCCAAGGTCATGGAGCTGGGGAGCGGCAGAGCCAGAACTCAAACCAGGTCAGATGGGCTCTAAACCCCTGCCTTCTTCTGTCTTCCTTTGAAGCCTTCCCTGGCACAAGGGAGAATGGCGTTCCCCCACAACTGTCTCCTGTCACCAGGAGCTCGGGAACCATGTGGAGGGTGGGACAAGCACACTCACGTGAACTCAATGACGTGGTCCACAAGGGCAATGATGGGGGGCCCCTCCGCCGCCGCGTGCTCATAAACAAGCCCGCAGGAGCCGTCTTCGGCCACGATGAACTAGAGAAGGGGACGGGACCCATCAGCCCCCGGTCCCTGGAGCCACACTCTGCTGGTTGGGTCCCGTGGGAAGGGCCTCACCGAAGCCATCTCAGGGGTTATGCTGACTTTATTATTGTTATTATTAATAACAACTAATACTCACCAGGGGCCTCAGGCCCATTTCAGGCCACAGCAAGCACGTCCCATACTCACAGATCTCACTGAGTCCCTGAGTCATTTTACAGGTGCAGAGCGGGAAAGTCAGGGCCACGACCGTGCCGCTCTGCCTGGCCCCGCATCCTAGCTCTCTCTGATGTGCAGAAGAGGTGACAGCGGTTTCTGGGCTGGGCCCAGTAATGACAGGCTGACTGCCTGGTTAATTACAGCCGCGTCCACCTGCTGACTTCCCACCTGCTTTACTAGCTGGGAGGCCAGGGACGCCCGGGCCGGGGGCAGGAAGTCCCAAGTGGGCTAAGTTTGGGTGTGCGTCCTGCGGGGGTGTCAGGTCTCCGCCGGGTCCACACCTGCAGCGTCTTGTCGAACCAGCGATTGCCGCTGTTGAGCTTGCCACCACCCCCGTGCAGCATCTGGCCGGCCACGTGACTGCGGTACACATCGTCTGAGACCCGGGGCATGGGTGCATCCAGGCACACGGTGAAGATGCTCTTCTGGATGGAGCGAACTGACTCCCGGTTCACCTTGTCTGTGGAGGCATGGGGGAGGGGTGCGGGATGGGGGCGAATGTCAAGCCTGGGGAAGCCTCGGATGGAAGCTTCCAGAGCATGCACCTGGTGCTGGGCGAGGGCTTTGGAGCTCTACACTCAACAGGGCCCTGGAGCATTGGTGGCATGGTGGTGAGCATAGCTGCCTTGCAATGGGGGGGGGGGCCTGTACCCCCTAGCGCTCCACGAGCCGGCGCCCAGTAGTGGACCCACGTCAGAAATGAGGAAACAGAGGGGCGCCTGCCTGGCTCAATCGGAAGAGCATGTGACTCCTGATCTCGGGGTTGTGATCCCAAGCCTCACCCTGGGTGTAGAGATTACTAAAAAAAATTCAATAACTCAAAAAAAAAAACCATGAGGAAACTGAAGCCCCAGGTCACATGCAGAGCCAGCACAATGGGCAGGGATCCAGCACAGGGGCTCGGCTCTAGGGGCGATGCCCCTGACCAACAAAGGATCTGGAGGGAATGTAGAGGCAGAGGTGAGGTCCGCAGCCAGAGGGCTTGGACTCTTACTGTAACCTGCTACTTACTACAGGGAAACTAAACCCAACCAAGCCTCAGTTCCCCAATCCGTGAAATGGGCCAACAGCACCCGCTCTGAGCTGAGAGGATTCGGTGAGAAATGTGGCCGCCCGGGGCCTGGTATGGGCAGAGGCCAGGATGTGGGCCTCTCTTCCTTCTTCCACCCCACCCAGGGGCACCTTTGATGAGGGTGCTGTAAGCCTTGGCCCAGGAGTTGCGGTGGTTGGAGGTGAGGATGCCCACGGGCTCTTTGTTGGTCTGCAGTGACGAGTTCCAGATCTTCTCCAGCTGCACAAAGATCTGGTCCGACGTCAGGGGTGTCCCATCGCTGTGGTACACGTCCAGCTCAAAAAACTAGCCGGGCAGGGCAAGCGGAGAGAAGGGAGGCGGGGGGGAGGGGGGGGTGTCTCAGGCAGGCAGCAGTCACCTCCCACCCCAGCCTCCTCCTGGCCCTGGCAGCCCAGAAGTCGCAGCCTGCGTCTGTCCAGGCCCTGCAGAGGGATGAGCCAGGTCACAAGTGCGAGAGGGGAGAGGGTCCGTGCACCGCTCTCCCCAGGCTGGGGAGAGCCTGTGGCCCCTCCGGGCTGCCCTCAGGACTTCAGGACCTCAGTACAGATGCCCTGGGGCCTGGGGCCTGGGGGGGGGGGGCTGACTCTTGGCCCTGCCCCCTCCTCCCCTGCCGAAGTGGGGGGAGGGGGAGGGGCCGGAAGCCCACGCACTTGGTAGTTGTGCACCACGGTGATGTGCATGGGCGGCTTCTTGGTCTTGCTGAAGCTGATGACCGAGTCCTGCTTGGGGCCCGGCACGCGGCAGGAGGACAGGATCTGATAGTACTGGTTCATGCACAGCGGCTTCCCCCCCAGGTACTCCACGGGCAGGGTCTCGCTGCGGGGGCAGAGGGACAGTGAGGGGGCCACCAGGCAGCCAAGCAGGGAGGAGGACAAGACCACCGGGGGGCTGCTGCTGGGCACGGTCGGGGGCCGGGCCAGGTCGAGAAGGGGCTCACGCAAGCAGTGTCCCTACCACGGCACTCAGTGGGGGCCGGGGGGAGGGGGGGCGGTCAGGGCTGGGCTGGGGCCCCCCAGCTTGTGAGTTGCCCTGGAAACTCCCTTCCTCCCCGGAGCTTCAGTTAGCCAAGGAAGAGGGGAGGCAGCGAGTCAGCCCCTGGGGTCGTCTTTGGCTCCGACAGTGTCACCAGGAGGCAGTCCCAGCAGGCAGCTGGAGCAGAGGACCTCGGTGTCCCAATCCCCAGTCTGTCTCCCCAACCCCAACAGAGGCTGGGCCCACAGGAAGGGAAAGCGGCCGGGACCTGGACCTGCCCAACACCTGTGGGCCACAGGGAGACACTGGAAGCCCTGGGCTCAGCCTGGAGTGGCTGCAGTAATGGGGGGGGCGGGGCAGGGGCGGGCCGCCCACCTGTCAATCATGGCTTTGAAATCCAACACGCCCTCAATGAATTTGGCAGCGAACCTGCGGTGGGGGGGGGGGGGGGGGGGGGGGGGGGGGACCAATTAGAGATCAGAACCTGGTGGGACACCCCAAAGGAAGCGCCAGGGTCAGGGACACCGGTGGGGTGAAGGGAAGGACCTAGTCAAGGGAGGAGACCAATTGCTTCACCCGGAACCCACTGCTTGCAGAAAGCCTGAAGGAGTTCAAGCGCAGGACCTGTGTTGAGGCCTGGCTTGCCCTCTGAGCCAGCTTTCTCTTATCTCTAGAGGCTCTGAGAGGGTCCAGGGAGATGCTTTTGGCCAAGTGCTGGTAGGATGTGGGTGTGATGAATGGCAGTGCGATTACAGCTGGTTTACTGGTTGGTACTGGCTGATTTCCCCCACAAAGGGCCTGAGGCCCTGAGCCACAGCCTGGAGCCTGGAAGGAGGTCACCCTTCTCTGAAGCGTCAGTTAGAGAGGGACCTGAGACCTTGGGGGATGGGGAGTATAAAATTGGGAGGGCCATGACTCAGGCTGTTCTCTCTGATTAGGTACCTTCCTGTTTGGGGGCCTCTGTGTCTCCCAGGTCACCTCCCTCAACCTGACCTTCCCGCTTGGGTTGTCTGGACCACACCAATCAGGCTTGGCACCTGGGCTGCCCCCCTGGCTCCCAACATGGGGACCCCCGGCTAGAGCCTGAGCCTCAATTCTTGGATGCCCTGGTCCCTTTAAGAGAAGCAGGTGGCAGCCCTGAGTCGCTGGTCCTTGGGCAGGAGATCCCTGTCACTGGTATTTTTATCCCTGGTAGTACTGGAACAGAGGCCAGGGCAAGTGACATGGCCGAATGTGGAAAAGGGGACTGTGTACAAAGGTCACTCCTGGGGCCAGCGGAACAGAGAGGCGGGGGTGACGTGTCAGAACTGAGGTGAGGGGTAGCTTCAGGCTTACAGAGAGGGAGGGGACACGGTCCACGGTGTGGGTGACAGTTATGAAACTTTCAGGCCAGGAAGACCCTGCTTCCGCCCATCCTGAAAGGTGACCTCGGGCAAGTCTTTTCATTGCTCTGGGCCTTAGTTTCCCTGCCTGTGAAATAGGGATGATGCTCCCTGCTCCATAAGGCTGTGGGGAGGGATGAAAGGTAATGAACAGAACTGGGGGCCCTGCAGTCTCCCAGGGGACTCGACATCAGGGCCCTGGACATGCCCAGAGCCCTGTCCCAGCTGCAGCCACTCACTCACCGGAGCTGTCCCTGCAGGTCCACAAAGTCCTGCTTGGGCAGTGCCACACCAGGGCTGGAGTAGATGACCAGGGGCTGGCGGTACTGGAGGTAGGCTGTTTTGAGCCACCACTCGGACAGCTGGAGAAAGGACCACAGCCTGTGAGTAGTGGGGGTGGGGGGTGGGGGGGAAGGGGCTGGGTCCCCTCTGCCCCCTCCATAGAGCACAGCTTCTCAAAGCGAATGCTCAGAGCAGAGCCTCCCACCCCCTTCAAAATCTTATCACTTCCCTTTACCCTAAGGCAATTAGCATTAGCAAGAGAAATCAGACAACACTGCCAAGTAAGAGATTCCAGAAAGAAAAAGACTGGCAGGAGACCTGGGGGTGGGGGCGGGGTGGGGTGAGAGAAGAGGCAGAAATGTGAATCCCTTTCCTTTATCTTACAAGCTTTTCGGCAATGATTTTATTTTATTTATTTATTTATTTATTTTTTTATGTTTTATTGATTTCTAGGAAAGAGAGAGAGAGAGAGACAGCATGAGCAGGGGAGGGTCAGAGAGAGAGGGAGTCACAGACTGAAACAGGCTCCAGGCTCTGAGCTGGCAGTCAGCACAGAGCCCGACGCGGGGCTCGAACCCGCGAACCGCGAGATCATGACCTAAGCGAAAGTCGGACGCTTAACCGACTAAGCCACCCTGGCGCCCCTCGGCAATGATTTTAGTACTTTTAGAAAGACAAAACATAGGAACGACAGAAAAGGGAAAGACACATCAGGTGAAAGTCTGATGAATGTATATTTGACCTTCCCAGGCAGACACTGTCTGGGGAGGCAGGAGCCCAGGGCTCAGTACAGCTCTTGGGACCCCGGCCCTCCCCTGGCCTTGGTTTCGTTGGCATCAGACTGGGGAGCAGACGCTCCCTCGGATCTCAAGGTCAAGGCCGACTCCGGGAAAGCTCCCTGTGAGGATAAATCACTGCCCTAGTGACAAGATGTGGGTGCCAAATCCATGTCTCCACCTGGTGGTCTGTCCTCTGCCTAAGGGGTCATTTCCATCCGGTGAACAGTCTCTCTGGGGACCAGCCATGGGCAGGCTGTTAAAGACCCCCGTCTCGGGGCTGCGCAGACTCCCAAGTAACTACGACCCTTGAGCCTTACGTGCTGACTGTGATATCCCCCTCACTCTGCCCCTTGCAAGCATGTGCTTGAAACGCCCCTCTCAGGCAGGTCTCTAATCCCGGGGGCGGGGGGGGGGGCCCAGACCCACCCTGTGTTTCTGTCCCATCTCAAGCAGCAATGGGATGCGCCTCTTTGCCACACAGGCTTCCCTTGGGGAACTGCTGGGCTGTGGCCAGGCAACAGGGAAGACGATGGGCCCAGGGTGCATAGCAGGCCAGTGAGCAACCACCATCTGCTGACTTGCGGCCAGAGGACAGGGCTCCTGGTGAGCCAGACCCTCCTGTGTAGCCCGGGGCCTCCCTGAGAGCTGCTGTGTGACTCTGGGCTTTCAATCTACCCCTCTGGGCCTCGGCTTCCTCACCTGTGGATCTGGGAGGGGCAGACAGGAATTCCCTCCACTTGGGGACAGCCTTGGGGATAGCCTGGCTGCCCTTCAGCCAGGAGCCCCCACTCCCTGGGGATGTCAGGGCCTCTGACCAGAGTTTGGGAAACCCAGGAAATCCTTGCAGGCGTGGGCATTCCCCCTACTGAGAATCTGCCGGGCCCTGTGCATGGAGAAGGGGTAGCTCCGCCCCTTTAGCTTGAAGCTTCTGTTGGAAAAAGCAATTCTGGGCTAACAATGCCAGACCACAGACTCTAAGCGCCTGCCCAGGCTCCGTACACGATGCCCCCCCACCCCGTCCCCCGTTGATGACTCCCACCTCCCGTAGGCCCCACTCAGAAGAACATCTCCCACTTTACAGGCCTGAACCTGGCTCTGGTTCTCTCCTGGAGAACCGGCTCCCCCCTCGGCCACCCCCTTTAGGTCTGGACTGCTCTCCGTCAGCATCTACCTGGTGCTGCCTCTAGAACACATCCTGGAGGGAGGGAGGAGCACGGCGCCAGCCTCCTTGAGTGCCTCCCCCCATTCCTGCTTCCCTCCCAGCAGTCAGAGTGGTCCTTTCCAACTAGGTTTAGGTGTAAGACTGCCCACAGGAAAGCGCTTGGAGCATAGGCGTGGACCTGAGTGACAGGTGATTGGATCTGCCACTGAATGCCAGGTTTGAAGCCATCCTGCGGCCGGCCCCCTCCCACGGTGCTCCAGGCCACATTCCCTGCTCTGATGCCCCCGCCCCACCCCCGCCCCAAGCCACTGCACTGAATTCCAGCCTCTGTCTCTGAACGCGCTAGGCCATAGCCACCTTTCCCTGTGTTGTTCCAGATCCAACAGCACCTCCTCCCTGCCCTCCGCGCCCATTCAGCCCCACATCGCTGCCATTCTCCTCTCCTTTCCTCCTGGCAAACTCAGCCGCCCGAAAGACCCTCATCCACTCACTCTGTCCTGTTTCGTCTCCTCGCTCCCCACCCTACTTCAACGTCAGCCCCAAGGGACCGCGGACTGGGTTCTTCTTGCTCACTCGAAGCCCTGCCTGGCGCCAGGCACAGAGCAGGCGCTCAAGAAGCTGCAGGGCGCAAATGGATGCGCCAGAGCAGCCAGTACTGGAAAATTCGGGGGGAGGCCAGCAACACACAGGCCGCAGCGAGGGAGGCTCTCGTAAGCCTCTGCAAGGGCCCTGTGGGCACACCGCCCCCCCCCCCCATCCCCGGCCTTCCCAAGCCCACTCACCCAGTTCTCCATCTTCCTGGCCCTGCGCTCCAGCCCCTTCTGCAGACGCTCCCCTACGCCCCCGGGGGTCTGAAACTCTTCCACCAGCTGCTTGGTGTGGGTCCACTCCTCCTCGCTCACGATGGGCTGCAGCGCCTTGAGGTAACCGTTGAGGGACTGCTGGAGCGCAGGCACAGGCAGCCGCGGCAGCGAATCTTGGTGCGCCTTGAAGCGGCTGGAAACCTTCGCCAAGGAGGAGGGCTTGAGGAAGCCCAAGGGCTTTACCTGCAGACAGCAGAACATCCTGCTCATTCTCTGGCTGGCTCTGGAAGGCCCTCTCAATCCTAAAAAGCTACCGTCCTGGGCACTTATGTACCAATCCTTGGGGTCAGAGCTGGCCTCTTGGGTGGCACCCGCCTGGCTTTTCAGCCCTCAAACTGTACAGTGTCTCCGCCTCTCTGGGGCCTGCAGACACAGGTAGGGCTAGGGGAGGGGGGTGTGGCCACTGGTTCAAGTCGGGATGGATGGCATCTGCTGGGGGCGGCAGAGCGGAGAGTGGCCTCTCACCTGTCTGGAGGCCCACACACCAGACCCCGCCTCTCTCGCCCTGGGACCCTGAGCCAGCCAGCCAGCCAGCAGTGAGGCGACTGCTCCTGCCCGGGGTCCCCACCTCCTTGTCGCCCACCCTTGCTAAGTTGAGAAAAAAGAGGGGGAAAAAGAGGTCAGAAAGAGCCAGATGACAGCCGCTTGGGTTTTTACCTGTCTGCGGGGTGGGGATGGAGGGGACACAGGGGCAAGCAAGAGCTGAATGGCCGGGGGTGAGGGGGCGTGGTGAGAGGTGGCAGAGAGAGTCTGGGAGGCTCTGGAGGTAGGCAGAAAGAGAGACAGGAGATCCAAGGAGCTGGCAGCAGTGGGTAGGCAAGTGGCAGAGGATCGGTTCCGTACCTTCTCTTTCTGCTGCCCGTCCTCCATGGCAGGACTGAGGTTCTGAGCCCTGTCTGTCTGCCTTGGACCGGACCTCTAAGCCTAACTGTGCTACCAAGGGGGTGAGCAGAACCTAGCAAGAGGCAGCCACTTGCCCGGGCTGGAAAGAGAAGACGAGAGCCAAGATTCAGGGGGGTGGCAGAGGTGGCAGTGGCAATGGCTGCGGTGGCCATGATGGGCACCCTCCCTAGCTTCCAGGAGTGGAGGATTAGGGAGCAGGTGAGGGGGCCTGGGAGCAGGTACGGGCACAGGAAGAGAGGTGGAACGCATTCCCCCTTCTTCCCTGCATGGGCCCCGTGCCAGGGAGGCAGGCCAGGAGGGATTAAAAAATCCACCTGTTGGAATCTGTGTAGGTCTGTTTAATGAAAACTTGGCTGGAGGCAGAGACTGTCTGGCCACTGAGGTTATACCACAAGCCTGAGATCAGACCTGAAAACTGGGGGTGGCGCGAGGGAGCGGACGCGGGGAAGGGGCCCTAAGTGGACAGTGGCTGCTAAAACTCCATCCCCTTGTCCTCCGGGGCTCTTGGGAGTCCTTCGGAAGCCGTGGCTTGTCCCGCTGGAGGCCAAGAGTGAAGGACTTGAGGCACTAAAAACATAAACCATAGGAGGATGCAAGTTTTGGGATTCTGCTAGATTTGAGTCACCCGAGCCAGGGGATTCTGGCCAAGTGTCTGCTTTTCCCAGCAGTAAAGCGATCAGGCCACCCAGCAGGTCCTGGAGACTGTCTGTGAGACGGAGGAGAGGACACTGCCCAGGTGTCGGTGGCAAAGGTGAAGTGGAGTCTTCAGGTCGTGGGAGACCTGGAAGAGTCTCTGGGCCAGCGGATGGGTACCCTCAACCCTCTGGACTAAGGAGTAACTAAACATCCTTCCTGACAGACAGGAGATGCAAGCAGAGATATGCTTAGGGTAAACAGAAAAGGTACTCAAATCATAGTGACAGCACTGCCAGCTCCAGGCTGCCCCGGGGGAGCAGATACGGAAAACGGGGGTGGGGGAGGGACTGGTGCAGAAGAAGGGCACCAGGCTGCCACCTGCAGCCTCCAGCCAGTTCAGAGGACTCTGAGAGCAGCCCAGCTTGAGGCTTCCACGTGAATTTCTCTGGCCACACACAATTCCCAAGGGGCCATTTGATAAGCCCAAGGAGACGTGACCAACGGGGTGAGGCTGGAGAGGCGGCTCTGGCCTGGGCAGAGATGGCTCGGGCTGAGCGAGTGACAGGTGTGTGAATCAGAGAACAACCTTCCCAGAGACATTCCTGGCTTCGCGCTCCGTGGCTCTGGGTCTAAGGGTGGAGGTGCAGGCTGAATCTTGGGTCCCCACTCTCTTTCCCGGGTGGCTGTAATTTACCGCCTCGAGATTTGGGTTCGATCTGGTCTCTGACCTTGGGCCTCAGTCTTCTCCTGTTCCAAGCGGGGTTAGGCCACCTGCAGATCCCACCCCAGCAGCTGTTGGCTAGGCAGGACAGTGGCCTCCGGGCCCCGTCGCCTCGACAGCTTGTCACTCCGTTCCGGCGCAGCCGCGTGTCTGGCCCCACTCACCGCCCAACCGCCGCGCCCAGGGCCCGCCAGGCCGGGTTCCCGGCCGAACTCACCACTGTCCTGGACGCGAAAGCCAACATCTTTGCGGCCCTTCCCCGGACACAAAGTCCGCTCGGTTTCTCGCACTGGGCAAAGTCCGCGGCGCCACCGCCGGTGTATCTTGCTACAGTCTCTGGGCCAAGGTCGCCGAGTCACCGCCGCCAGCGGGGAGAAGCGGCCCGGCGCCCACCCACCGGGCCTGGCGGGCCGCGGGCTGGTGGCCCCGGGAAGGAGGACTCTTGGGCGGGGCCACCAGCCGGTCGCGGGCGCGGGCCGCTAGGCGCGAGCCCGGGGCGGGGCCACGGAGCGGGGCGGGGCTGACCGGGGGCGGGGCCAAGTGCGCAGTTAGCGGTCCCGAGACCCCGCGAGGCGGTGGAACCCCGGAAGAGGGGCAAAGCGCAGGCTGCGGTCCGGCTCTCCTTCTCCCACCTCCAGAGGTTCTCTCAGCTGTTGGAGGCGGTAGTGTGCACCCTCAGTCCGTTTGGTGTCCTTGAACGCTACTCTTAGAGTGAAAGGAAAACACAACCATGTCAACAAGGGAATGTCCGCCACTATACTCCGGAATAGGATCAAAGATGACAGGTGGGGAGCGCCCCGCACAAGCATGGCTGCCGCGTTCCCGTCGCCGGGCGGACGGAGGGCTGGTAGGAGGGCGAGCGGGCCTTTGGCGCGCATGCTCCCAGGTGCCCCGCACCAACATGGCCGCTGCCTCCCGGTGAGCGCCCTCGCGCGAGCCGGCCGTTGCTGGGCATGCTCCCTGAGTGCCCCGCACCAGCATGGCGGTCGTCTCCACCCGGGTGACTTTAATTCTCGGTTTTCGGTTCTAGCCGGCCGGTGCTCAGTTCTCTTCAGAAAGCTCTGAGCGCCTGGTGGAGCCGGGGAAAGGAAGGGGGTGCAGGGGTGAAAGGGGAGAGGGGACTGCAGGTATCCGGGCCGGCTCCTGGCGAGAGGAAGATGGCTGAGGGCGAGCGGCAGCCGCCGCCAGGTAGGACGGGCCGGGCCCGGCCTGGGTGGCGGCGCGGGGGCGGCGCCCGGCGCGGGCTCGGGGAAAGGGTGTGGTGGCGGGGGGCTCGGCGGGAGAGGGGGTCGGGAGGTGGAGGAACTCGAGCGGCAGAAGCTGCTGGGCTCCGAGGAGGAGCCGGTTGAGGGGCCCCGAGAGAGAAATGTTGGGACCTGCGGGGCGGCCAAGACCCCGGGGCTGCGAAGGGGCGGTGGGTTGGAGCGCGACACGGGGACTTGGGGCGCCCCGGCTGCCAGAGGGCTGGGAGGGCAGTGATGTGGCCGGAAGGGGAGGCTTTTTCCGCATCTGGGCTGCGCGTGCCCAAGTCCGCTCTGGAGCTGGTGGGGAAACTGCCAGGGCCGGGGGCCAAAGTGATTCTGGTGGCTGCCTTCTTTACTCGCCCCTGCCCAGGGGGCGAGGGGCGGTGCTCTGTGGGCCTGCGCCCGCCTGCACCCGCTCTCCAGACTCTTCCGCACCCTCCTACCCCTCTCTCCCTCTTGCAGCCCGGGCTGTGGAGTTTTCTTCCATTGGCTGCAAATTAATAGAGAGAAACTGCCCTTGGTTGTGTAAACCGCTGATTAAAAAAAGCTGGTTGTGCAACATGAGCCTGGCCTCGCCATCTGTAACTTTTATTGTCACTGTGGCGTCGCTTTAGTTCATCTCCAATAACTGGGATGCAAGTGCTAGGGAAGGAGAGGATCTTCTTAAACCTGCTTTCCTGGAGAAGGGGAAGGCTGGTGGCGGTCCCCTGCCGCCCCCTCCCGAGCTGAGAAGGACTGACCATAGAGAATTTAAAATTCCGACGGGGCGCATAGGTTGGCCAAACACAGCTCATGTTCTTAAATCACCGGATATTCCTTGTCTTGTATTTGGGGATCCCTGGGAAGGTCTCAGGAAGGAGGAATTCTGAAGATGAAAAAAAGGCCTTCCCTTCATCCTCCCTGCTGCCCCCAGTAGATTAACTAAGGGCTGGCCATGGTCTGTTAGGCCATTCGAAACCAGACATTTACTTCCTTTGGTAGAAAACCTCTGTGCCTGTGCCTTTAGAAGTTCCGGTAATGACCATGAGAGATACAAGCCGACCAGAATTCTCAGTGAGATGAGTACATCTCTGAAGTTGGGTGGCTGGGGAGATAACTGATGCACTGACAGAGATAAAGGGAAGGTATCTATGTGGCTGGAAAGAGCCAGGTCCCTGGAGGGTAGTCCTCTTTGAAGTCTGAAACAGGACATTTTGGAACAAGTTAGAAAAAACTACTTCACTCCAACAGTGTAGTGGTGAAAACCTTGGATTTTAAGAGGTGTGCAGACCTGGCTCTGCCTAGCAAATCACATTCTCTCTCTTTTATTTTATTTATTTATTTATTTATTTTTTTTTTACAAAAAATAGAGGGCGCCTCGGTGGCTCAGTCGGTTAAAACCACGTCCGACTTCGGCTCAGGTCATGATCTCATGGTTCGTGGGTTCGAGCCTGTCATCGGGTTCTGAGCTGGCAGCTCAGAGCCTGGAGCCTGTTTCAGATTCTGTGTCTCCCTCTCTCTCTCTTTGCCCCTCCCCTGCTCGTGCTCTGTCTCAAAAATAAATAAAAATTATTAGAAAAAAAAAAGAAAAATGGGCTGTTATACCTTCTGCACAGAGTCGTGGTGTGTGTTCTGTAGACGATATAGACAAAATGTGGCACATGGTGGGCAGTCTGGAAACGTTGATTGCTGTTGGCCTTTTAAATTTTTTTTTTTTAAATGTTTTATTTATTTCTAGGAGAGAGAGGGAGAGACGGCATGAGCAGGGGAGGGTCAGAGAGAGAGGGAGTCACAGACTGAAACAGGCTCCGGGCTCTGAGCTGGCAGTCAGCACAGAGCCCGACGCGGGGCTCGAACCCACGAACCGCGAGATCATGACCTAAGCGAAAGTCGGACGCTTAACCAACTAAGCCACCCAGGCGCCCCTGCTGTTGGCCTTTTAAAAGGTGGGATGGGGCGCCTGGGTGGCTCAGTCGGTTGAACTTCGGACTTCGGCTCCCGTCATGATCTTGTGGTTCGTGGGTTCAAGCCCCACATCGGGCTTTGCGCTGACAGCATGGAGCCCAGAGCCTGCTTCGGATACTGTCTCTCTGCTCCTCCCCTGCTTTGAGTGCCTCACCCCCTCAACTCTGATAAATGAATAAACATTAAAATAAATAAATAAAAGGTAGTACAGGTTGAACACGTAGGCTGGTTCTCAGTGTTAGATGATAGATGATAATACAGTATACTCTTTTGGGGGGTTTTGGGTACATCTCTAAAATTCTAGATCGTTCCACCTTATGTACAGCGAGCTTGTAGGGTACCCATGTGTCCCGTGGCCGCTTTGTCAGAGATGGACTCTGAAGCTGGAGAGACTGTTAACACAGCTCTCAGTTCGAAGCCTTGTTTCTTTGATTTGGGGTTGCGTATTGTGGTGACAACATGTGTGTGTATGTCTTTAGTCCGTGTTGCAATGCTTCCTGCAAGGTAGCCATTCCGCCTGGTATCCGGCCTGGTCTGGAGAGTTTCCCACCTGTGAAATAACTTCCGAAGGGCTCTCCCCTTGAAGGGAACAGTTGTCTCTGAAACTTACAAAAGGGAGTCTCTGTTCCTAAGTTGATTGTTTGGAATGTAGACCACATTTTCCCATAAAAACAATGAGGTTAAGTTTCCAGGCTACCTATAAAGCTTTTTATTTAGCATCTGCAAGTAGTAATTTACTAATAGTAGAGGCCTCAATGTTGGTTTCTGGGTAAAGGGCTTGCAGGCCAGGTGGGAGGAGGAGGAGAATCTGATCTGTTTTTGCGGTTGGAAGTTTGAATTGGGTAGAGGTTTGTCTTGCTCTCCTCTCAGATGTATCCTCCTCCTTAGGTCTCCAGGTATCCTAGTGCTTTATCTTTCCTCAGGGCCTCTCCAGGAATGCTCCATTCTCCCAAATGTCACATGCTCCAGAACCTTCTTAGAGCCTTGTCCTTTTTCTCCATGCAGCTGGTGTCAGCTCGGTTTTAGGAGGAAAGCAAGGGGACAGATTTGTCATACGTTGTGAGTGACTCTTCCTGGAGAGTGTTTTTATTATTATTTTATTATTATTATTATTATTTTTATTTTATTTTATTTATTTATTTTTAATGTTTTATTTATTTCTAGGAGAGAGAGAGAGACAGCGTGAGCAGGGGAGGGTCAGAGAGAGAGGGAGTCACAGACTGAAACAGGCTCCGGGCTCTGAGCTGGCAGTCAGCACAGAGCCTGACGCGGGGCTCGAACCCACGAACCGCGAGATCATGACCTAAGCGAAAGTCGGACGCTTAACCGACTAAGCCACCCAGGCGCCCCTATTTTTAATTTATTTATTTTTAAAAAGTTTTTAATGTTTGTTTATTTTTGAGAGAGAGAGAGAGCAAGCACGCACGCGGGGTAGGAGGGGCGGAGAGAGGGAGACACAGAATCTGAAGCAGGTTCCAAGGCTTCGAGCTATTAGTACAGAGCTCTGCACAGGGGCAGAGCTCGGAACGGGGAGATCATGACCTGAACCAAAGTTGGATACTCAACTGACTCAGCCACCCAGGTGCCCCAAGAGAATTTGTGTTTTCGAAAGAAGGCGTTAACTAATACGTATCACAGATCTTCAACGGTACAGGCACAATCCCTTATCCAGGACCCTTGGCTCCAGGTGTATTTTGGAATTCAGAGTTTCTCCGATTTCAGAAAGCAATGCCCCATAATCAAGCAAAAATACTTTTGCAGCAAAACGTAAATTCTGTAAGAGGGACCTGTGAAGCCTGCAAATGTTCTCATGTTGGTTTCGGCTTCAGTTTTGTACCAAAGGAGTTTGTGCCAAACTTATTTTTAAAACTTTGGGGTTTTAGAACTTTTTGGTTCTGGTTCCAAAATTTGGTTTTGGAATTTTGGAGATTTCAGGCTTATATTCACAGCATCACAAAGTGAAGGGGATCCTGCAGTGTGGGGACGAGATTTGTGGCCAGAGAGGCGGCTCATACAAGCAGTCAGCCTTGGTGCTAGGATTGCCTCTAGGCCAGCGCGTGCAACTGCCCTGTGTCTTCCTTTCCTCAACTTCTGCAAGTATAGAAACTCCATTTAAAATAGTTTTTTTCTTCTGATTACAAAGTACTGTGTGCTGGTTTTTAATAGCACTATGTGGCTTAGAACATGAACATCCTTGATAAATCTTACTCCCTAGAGATGACTATTAACTTTGGTGTTTAATCTTTCCGATTTTTCCAGTGCATGTGCAAATAGATATCTGTTATTGTTATTAGTATATATCATTACTATTATATGCGTATGCGTACTTGTATTTGCAACAATGAGATTATATTGAATACAATAAGTTCAGTTTTCTTTCTTCACTTATTAATATCCAGGCTGCTTTTCTGTTTCAGTACTTAGGGTTTTTTGGGGTTTTTTTAGATTTTTTTTCAATGTTTATTTATTTTTGAGAGAGTGAGAATGCAAGTTGGGGAGGGGCAGAGAGAATCCCAAGCAGGTACGGCACTGTCAGCGCAAAGCCCAACAGGGAGCTTGAACCCATGAACTGTGAGATCATGACCTGAGCCAAAATTGGTCGCTCAACCGACTTAGACACCCAGGCGCCCCAGTGATGTAGATTTTATTCTTTTAAAGAGCTATGAAGATTTCCATTGTCTGGGCATATTATTATTTATACATTGCCTTATCGGTTGATATATGGGCTTTTCTAATTTTTTTCCATGCAACGAGCACATTTATATACTTCTGTGTGCATTTCTGTGAACACCTGAACAGTTGATGCCCACAATTAGAACTGTTGGCTCACATGTGCCTAGGTAGCTCAGTCAGCCTTGATTTTGATTCAGAACATGATCTAATAGTTCATGAGTTCGAGCCCCGCATCGGGTTCTCACTGGCAGTACAGAGCCTGCTTAGAATGCTCTCTCTGTCTCCCTCTTTTTCTCTGGCCCTCCCCCACCCCCCTCAAAATAAATCAATTAACTTAAAAAAATTAAAAAGAAAAAAGAACTGTTGACTCAATAGGTATACGTGGTTTTTTTTAAAGTTTATTTAGTGTTTCTTTTTTTTTTTTTTTTTAATGTTTACTTTGAAAGAAAGAGAGACAGAGCATGAGTTGGGGAGGGGCAGAGAGGGAGAGAGACAGAGAATCTGAAGCAGGCTCCAGGCTCCCAGCTGTCAGCACAGAGCCCAATGCGGGGCTTGAACCCACGAACCCTGAGATCATGACCTGAGCCAAGTCGGCCGCCTGACAGCCAAGCCCCCAGGCGCCCCGCGTGATTTTTCCCTCAGTAGCCCGTGCAGTGTGGAGTCGCCTCCTCGGCAGATTCTACCAGGACTCCCGCCGGCACTTCCCATCTCTCCTTCACAGTCACTGCCCGCTGGTTTCGCTCTGCCAACCTGATTCGGAAAAGCCATCTCATCCAATTTACATTTCTTTGCTTCCTCAGAGCTTGGCAGTGTTTTTTCAAATGTTTATCAGCCATTTGTATTCTCTTCTCGGCTTTGAGTCGCCTGTTTCTGTCTCAGAGGTCGGCTCTGCTTTATTTTTCTAACCATTCTCCAGTTCACTTGTGGGGGCATTGCCAGTACTGTGGGGGGTCCTTGCTGAGTAAGGAAAAGAGGGAGTCCAGTGGGTTTGGCTTAACAAGCCCATTACTCTGTCCCGGGAGCACATGTCTGGTTTACCCTAGGCACTGGGTATTGGAGTCTTGCTTTAAAAGTGTGAAGTGTGTGTGTGTGTGTGTGTGTGTGTGTGTGTGTGTGTGTGTCAGTGTCAGAGGGAGGGAGAGAGGGAGAGGGAGAAGGATGAGATTCTATTTATCTGTCTGCTTGTTCACTTTCTTTGTCAAGACTCTTCGGAGCAGACCCCTGCAGCCGCTCAGAACTTCATCCTTCCGAGAAAGGAGATCCACACGGTCCCAGACATGGGCACCTGGAAGCGCTCTCAGGTACGGGCGGCGTCTGCCCTGTAGGGCCAGAGCTGGCATGACGCCCTTGGGTGGTTTTCAGAGACGGGGAGCTCCCGACCTTTCTTGCTGGTGGAAGCAGAGCAGTTAGAAGCCAGGGGGAGAGGTGACAGGGGAGCCGGCTGTCCCTCTCTCGTGAACGGGAAGGTCTCTGGGGCCTGGGGCCAGGGCAACGCCGGAAAGCTCTGCTCCTGGTTCTCATGAACCATCATCCCTTGAGGGTTGTATTGGCCGAATGTGAGTGTCCTAAATGATGGCCTGGGTCACTGTGAGACTTGGTTGTAGGTTACGGCCAGTCAGGGAGCCAGCGTGTCAAAGAGTCAAAAGAGTCAAAGAGTCAAAAGGTTATCGCATGGAAACCTAGGCCAGGGAGGTGGCTGAGCCTAAAAGTCCAGAGGAGCTGGGACCCAGACGAGGGGAAGTGCAGACCCGTGCTCTGTGCTGCTCAGCCCAAGGGAGCCGGAAATAGCTTCTACCCCGGGGCTTCTGGCACAGGCTGTGTCAAGACTGGGACAAAGACAAAGTCGATTCAGCTCCCCAGGGGAAGCCTGGTGCCCACGCCTGGTCTGCGCAGCGGGGGTGGGTGGGGCAAAGACAAAGTCGATTCAGCTCCCCAGGGGAAGCCTGGTGCCCACACCTGGTCTGCGCAGCGGGGGTGGGGGTGGAGTCACTTCCACAGCGGGGCAGAGTCCCTGCACCGCCCCCCACCCCCCAAGCTGCCGCCTGGGCCCTTCTGGCTCCTCTTTCACAAGCTCGCCCTCTCAGTATTTGGAAATGCTTATCACGTCTTTTCCGAATCATCTTCTCCCACCAGGTCTTAGTTCCTTGGCTGCTCAGAGGGCACAGTTCTAGCCCTTGTGTCCTCCTGATTGTTCCACCTCCGGATTCTAAACCTCTGCACTATTGACATTTTGGAGTGGATAATTCTTTGTGGTAGCAGGCTGTGCTGTGTCTCGTGGCATGTGTAGTAACTTCCCTGGCCTCTGCCTGCTGGATGCCAGCAGCTCCCGTCCCTCTGCTTGTTATAGCCCACACGGCCTCCAGACATCATCTGCAGGTGCCTGGGAGCCAGATCGCCTGGCTTGAGAACCATGAGTTCTCAACTCTGAGCCTGCAGCTTTGCTGAATCCAAATGTGGCTTTAGTTCCCCACCTTCCCCCGGGATGTTTTCCAAGGAGGATTGGGTGTTCATGATGGGCCAGGTATTTTTTTAGCTCCTTTAACCCTCACAAAAAACTCTGGGGAGCGGGCTCTGTGGTCCTCTCCCATTTTGCAGGTGAGAAAACTGAGGCCAGGAGGTAAAGAAATTTAGGGAGGTGGCAGAGCCGGTAAGTGGTTGGGATGAGATTCAGAATTCATGCCCGGGTCCTCTGCCTCTGGAGACCTGGGGGTTGAGAGCCCTGATGCTTTAGGCCACAGACCAGCGAATTATTGCCTGCTCACCTAATCTGGGCCTCGGCCTGTTTTTGTAAATGAAGCTTTATTGAAATACGGCAAGGCTCGCTTGTTTAAGTCCCTGTCCATGGCTGCTTTCCCAGTACAGCAGCAGGTCTGGGCAGAGATGAGAATTTGTGAGCCAGGCTTTGGGGCCCACAGAGCCTAAAATGGTTACGCTCTGGCCCTTTGTAGGTAAAGTTGTTGATCCTGCTGTAGGCACAGCCTTTTTTAGGAAGTATTGGTTACCTTCTAGAGTGCGTGTTGGATGGTACTGGATAGAAGCCTTCCACTTGTGCCAAAGCTGATCGGGTCAAGTTTGTGGGCCTGTTGTAGGTAGATGAATGGGCCTGTGCCATGGCCTACACGAGTTCGCTAGGCCAGCAGAGCACGGCAACCAAGAGTGTGAGCTTGGGGTCAGGGAGGTCAGAGGTTGAAGCCCAGGGCTGCCATCCCCTTTTCTTGTGACTTAGGCAACTTGCACAGCCCAGCCAGGCCTGTTTTCTCTGTTGTCAAATGGGCTTATTCAGAGGCCATGATGACACAGAGCCCCGAAAGTGGCTGGCTCAGTGCTAGGCATCCGCGAGCTTTACGAGCACCAGGCAGGGCTGTTACTGATGCAATGACGGGGATGATCATGTTGGTAGAGACCTTGACCAGTCACGTTTATAACAAGGACCCGGAGCTTTAGTCGAGAGACCCGCACCCATGTGGGAGCCGGGGCCACGGAGGGCCACACTGCCCCTTGCTGCTTCCGGCCTTTGCGTCCCAGTGTAGTTTGTAGCGATGGCGGTGAACACTGGCTGCAGGCAGGCCGCGGGCTCAGACCTGCCCCACAACCCCTCATCTCCGCTCATTGCAGTTCCTCGGGCTGTGGTGCGGTAGTGCTCCCTTCCAGATACTGCCCCCAGCGCTCAGGGCTTGCTGTGGCTGCTTCTGGCATCCTTAAGGCTTGGATAAGGAGGGAGGAAGGAAGGAAGTGAGAGGCAAAAGAGATGAAGAAGGAACAAGTCCAAAGCGAAGTCACTTGCTCTCAGAGCTCCCTCTCCAGGGGCCTGCACGGCAGTGCCTCTCCGCTGCGGGGCTGCCTGCAGCAGGGATGCGAGTGCCCAGTGGCAGCGGGGACGGTGGCACTGGGAGCCCCGGCCATGGGCAGGAAGCAGCTTCTTCTCCCGGGGGCAGGGGGTCTGTACTGCAGACGGACAGCCTGGCCTGTCTGGTGGGGGAAACTTCTGGAGGACCTCGCCCCAGATGGCAGAGGGTAATCATTGAGCACTCGGCCACGCCGCTCTGGAGTGGCCGGCCACTCCACTCATTAGCTCCACGTCTAATGAGATCTTGGTCTTAGGGAACCCTGGGCAAGTCACCTCTCCTGAAGCCTTGGGTTCCTCATCTGTCAAATGGGGGCAGTGACAGTGTCCGTGCTGTGGGGCGGTGTGAAGGAACTACTGGCAGTGGTAGTGAGCACACGGTAAACTGTGGCCGCAGGTGCAGGCATCACTGGTCACCGGCCTGCCAGGCCTGTGGGAGGGAGGGTAGTGGCGGCGAATTGGGCCTTATCTTTCAGCTTCTCCCGCTGGCAGGCTGGGGGCCGGGACAGCTCGGAGCGCTTCGGCAGCTGGGTGGGGCTGGGGGCCGGGCCGGGTCTGACACCCCTCTCCCTGTCCCCAACCCCCACTTTGTTTGGTAGGCGTACGCCGACTACATCGGATTCATCCTCACCCTCAACGAAGGTGTGAAGGGGAAGAAGCTGAGCTTCGAGTACAAAGTCTCTGAGGTAGGTGCCGCCGGGGGTGGGGGTGGGGGTGCAGAACAGCCCCAGAGAGTCGGGAGTGCCCACTGCCCGCAGCCGGCCAGGGCAGGAGATGGCGCACTTGCCGTTGGCAATTTGGTGTCTGTATTTCTGACCTTTTGTGTTGCATTTTTTTCATTAAAAAAAAAATTTTTTTTACATTTATTTATTTATTTATTTTTTAATTTTTCTTTAAATGTTTTATTTATTTCTAGGAGAGAGAGAGAGACAGCGTGAGCAGGGGAGGGTCAGAGAGAGAGGGAGTGACAGACTCTGAAACAGGCTCCAGGCTCTGAGCTGTCAGTGCAGAACCTGACACGGGGCTCGAACCCACGAACCTTGAGATCATGACCTAAGCTGAAGTCGGATGCTTAACCGACTGAACCACCCAGGCGCCCCTTGTTGTGTTTTTTCCAACCTGTGAATTGATGGATGTTTATAAAATTGGGATCAAGGCAAATGTGCTGCTTTATAGCCTGCATTCTCGCTAACTGGTGTTTTTATGTAACTTTTTAAATGAAAAACAATCACAAATGAAGTAAGCATCCTCACCGAAAGGGTCACTAATAGAAGCGTATTGACAGCCAGCTGACCTCCACCTGTGTTGCGGCTCCTACCCAACTTCCTGGGGCTGCCCTGGGCACAGGTCCGGGAACGTCACCCAGACCTGCCCCCTGAGCTCCTCTTTAACCGCTGCCGCCATGGAGACAGCTGCCCTGGGGAGCCGGCCCTTGTTTGTTTAAACGGCCCCTCACTGTGGACTTCCAGGTTGTGTCCCTAAGTGTCGCTGCTCTGAATGTCTCTGCGTAGAGATCTGTGGACGCTCTTTCGTGATGAGTCCTTCCCGAAGTGGGGATGTTGAACTGAGGGGGCACACTGCAGGCGGGGGGCGGGGGGTGCTCCCTGGCTGCTGCTTCGGAGACAGGTGTCCGTGGAGCCGAGGGCTTTGGGGAGGCGTGGGGCCTGCAGGCTGTTCGCTCTTGCCCGAAGCCGTCTCCCAGGGCCGGGCCCCCAGGCCTCCAGTGGCCTCTTGGGTTCCCATCCCAGTCGGCCCACACAGTCACCTTGAGACTCTTATCTCAGACGCCAGGTGGCCTCTCAGTGTCCCACCCTGGCGGGCGAGGCCCGGCCCCCTCACTCCCGGGTCTGTCCACCTGTCCCGAGGCCGGCATCCCCCGCTAGCCCTCACGCCCTGCCCCGTGTGGGCCGCCCCTTCCCGGGCCCTAGCGGGCTGCTGGGTGGCTGAGGTCTCGTCCCGTGCCTGGAGGGGAGTCAGGCTGGCGCTGGGGGTAGACGGCCTTCTCTTGGGAGCTGGCTCACCAGTGACTTCGTGGGTTGGGAGAGCGAAGGCTGGAGCCTGCGGGGAGGGAAGCTGGGCCGAGCTCAGTGGGTGGGGAGTGTGGTAGGGGGAGTCTAGTGACAGGGGCATGTTCTGATCCCCTGGCAGGTCCCCAGCTGCCCAGCCCCCTGGGGTCCCCTAATCGCCCCTGACTCTCTGACAGCAGACTCCATGCCGGCCGGGTGTCTCTTAGCTCAGGCCCTGGGTTCCGTTGGCAGGATCGCAGCACGGTTAAGCGCATGGGCTTTGGATGAGGGCCGACTGTTGTGATAACCTCTCCCTTCCAAGCTGAGTGGCTGTGTCCCCTCTGACACTGTCTCTTCATCTGTAGGTGGAAGAGCCAGCAGACCTACTTACGGCCCCTGGGGCGACTTGCCGAGATCGCCGCGCAGGGTTGTTAGTACAGAACTTGGTACATATTGCACACGGGGGGTGACATTGTCATTCTCAGGTCTTATCAGCAGCTGTCCTTCAGGCCTGAGCTTGAGGAGTGATGCCATCGCTTTGTTTGGAGGCTCTTCCCGAGCTGGGCTTCATCTGAGTGCCAGGGCCGTGGGCTCCTTCTCACTTGCTGGGCACAGGTGACTGGTTTGGTCCGCAGGGGACTCCCGGCTTCTGCCCTCAGCCAGCAGGGCCGCGGAAGGCTCGTCTCACAGCACGTGGTCCCAGCGCACAGATGGCGGGCCCAGTGCCTGGCCGCTCGGGACTCCTGCTGCCATCGCGGCGGCCGAGAGGAGGGCAGAGCAGCCTTGGCTGCTGGCCTCCAGACCGGCAGCAGCAGAGGGAACGAGCAAGGGCGATGTCGTGAGACCGTCTAGCCCGGCATTGAGAAGGCTTCCATCAAGTTTGAGATTCTATCTGTCCGAATCTTCCGGGGTTCAGATTTTTGACTTTTGTAAAATGTGAGTAGATAAGAGGCTTAGTTCTGCCATTGTTCTGGTTGATTTTTAAGTTGGAGGCAAAGGAGAAAAAACCAACAGCATTGGCAGGGATTATTTGGGAGAAAATTTTACTGTTCCGTGAAATCCAAAAGGAAGCATTGGTTTGGGGAGACAGAGGGTAGCTCAGATTATTGTTTGTGCTTCCTGGGGGTTCTGGCCCACAGAGCCCCCCCCCCCCCCCCCCCCCCCCCCCCCCCCCCCCCCCCCGCCTTCAGCCCCTCTGCCTCAGTCGGCCAGACAATAGAAGCAGCCCTTGTGTTCTGAAAGGCTTCTTCAGAAAGAGGAGCTAGGAGCCTTTTAATTATTCATCGCCACAGCCGAGCTGGCAGCTGGGGCCTGGCTTCCGCAGCCGCCCAGCACCTTCTTTATCCCCTTCGGTGCCTTGCCCGAGACCCAGATCACCAGGGAGCTGGCCTTGCTCGTGCCTCCCCGGGGCCGGGATTACTGAGCCATCGCTAGGCCCCAGCGGCCGCACGGGGTCAGCTTTGCTCTGGTCTTACAGGTTCCTGGTGGCCTGGGTCTCTGTGGAGCTGCCTTTGGCCGCACTTTGGCCCATTTCAGCTGGGCAGCTCCATGTCACCCTGGCCGTCTGCCTCAACCAGGTGTGCGGGGAACTTTCCCCTCTCGCAGGCAACTTTTCCTCTCCCCTGTGCTCTGAGCATAGAGAAAGGGAGGTGAGGGATGGCGGCGTTCAGGCCCAGGCCGTGTTGCATGGTGCCAGGGGTCGCTATTTCCATGGACCGCAGTGTGATTTGTGCGTCCTGGAACTGAGGGGCTGGGTGGGGGGTGTGCAGCCTCTGGCTGACATGTATTCCGTTAGCTCAAGTCCACTTTCCCCTTCCCCTGTGTGCGCGTGCACACACACGCACACACACACGCACACACACGGCTCTCGGACTGTTCCTTGGCAGAGCCGTGCAGTGCAACCTCCGTCCTGCCTGTGCCTGCCTCCCCCTCACGGCTTCTCCTGTGGGCCCCGCCCCAGCAGCACCTACCCAGGGTCAGGGGTCAGGGGTTCCTGTGTGTGCCCAGCAGACACAGGCAAGACCTGCTTAATTCTTTTTTTATAAATTTAAAAAAAATTTACATTTATTTATTTTTAAGAGACAGAGGCAGAGCATGAGCTGGGCGGGGGCAGAGACAGAGGGAGACACAGAATCGGAAGCAGGTTCCAGGCTCTGAGCTGTCAGCACAGAGCCTGATGTGGGGCTTGAACCCATGAGCCGTGAGATCATTACCTGAGCCGAAGTCGGATGCTTAACCGACTGAGCCACCCAGGTGGCCCAGGCAAGACCTGCTTCTTGGCAAGGTCTGCTGTCCCAGGGCCGCCTGCCTCCCAACCCGCTCTGCCTTGTGCCATCCGCTAGCCTTTCCGTGTGGCATATATATATATATATATGTGTATATATATATTTATATATATATATATATGTGTATATATATATTTATATATATATATATGTGTATATATATATTTATATATATATATATATATGTGTGTATATATATATACATAAATGTGGCATATATACATATATATATATATTTGTGTGTGTGTGTGTGTGTGTGCAAGCCACACCCAAGAAGGAGCCCTTTTCTCGCCAACCCTCCTGGACCTCTGTCTTAGATAGCCATCCTCACCCGATTTCCTCATTGAGTAACGTTGTGTGGGCCAATGCCGCCCTTGTGCACGGCACCCATTTACTCCTTGTTCTGCCTGCTGTGGGAAAGGTGTGGGGCAACGGGCTCCCAGATACCGCGGCCCTCCGGGGCATCGCAGAGGTTCTTACCGGTGACCCAGCAGCCCCACGGAGCGGGCCTTACCGCATTGTGTATGGTGGTGAGTGTATATTTGGAAATAACCCAAACATTTAACAGTGAGGGGCTCAGTGAGAAAATTCTAGTACGTTGGTGCAGTGAAGTACTATTTGCTTATTAAAGGCTGTCATGAGTTTGAGTTTACGTGTTGCTGCGGAATGAGGCCCATGAGGAGATCGATAAGGCTACGAAGCAGCGGGTGTCCTGTGACCTGTGTTTTATTTTTCCTTTTTATAAAAACTGGTAGACCTCTTTGTGAGTGCGCGACCTATGTTTAGTGCCCGTGTGCCTATGAAGGCATGCCTCCCCTGCTGGGTACTGTGCTGGCTGCCTCCATGGATTGCATTTGAGTCCTGTCCCAACCTCAGGAGGTATTTATCATCTGCCCAGTTCTGAGATGAAGAAACAGGCTTTGAAATCTGTGGAGTTGTCGGATCGTTGTGTCGTGCACCCGAGACTAATGGAATAGTGCACGGCAGCGTCACGTCACTAAACAAAAAAACAAAACAAAAACCCCCAAAACAGGCTCTGAGAGTTCAAGCCACTTTCTCAAGTTCTCGCAGCCACTAATGTTGTCTTCAGGGGGCTTTGAACCCAGGTCTTCCGTCTGGTAAATCGTTGCCACGAGAAACTGCAGAAAACACTATAAAAAAATAAATTGGAGACTGTGTTCTACTATGTTAAAATAGCATTTATTTCTGGTGGCGGGATTAACTGGTCACGTCCGTTTCCTTCTGTTGACGTGCCTGTTTTCGGTGATGAGTTGGTGTTGTGTACCCGACACTAGAAGGTACGAAAGAAGATCAGGACTGGGGTTCCTGCTTACCCAGCACCCCCCCACCCCCGTGATGGGCTGGCTCTAGGAGACCCGGTGGTGAGGCCACACCTGTCCCTTCAGCCTCGTGCGGGTCCCTTTCTGGTGAGTTTACTGTGCGCCCCCGGCCTTCATATTCAGCGTGGATGAGAAGAAAGGGGGACGGCAAGGAGAATGCCACTTAGCGCTGTGCCTCGGGGTCATTGTCGAGCAGCAGTTGACTTCGCCGTGTGGCTGTAGCTGGAGGCCACTAGTGATGGTGGCTTGGCCCCCTCTGTTCTGTCCATTACAGGCCATTGAGAAGCTGGTCGCCCTCCTCAACACGCTGGACCGGTGGATTGACGAGACCCCTCCAGTGGACCAGCCCTCACGATTTGGGAACAAGGCCTACAGGACCTGGTACGCCAAGCTCGACGAGGTGAGGCTGCTGCAGTGCAGGCTTGGGGGCTGGGCCGGGGCCGCGGGAGACTTCGGGCACCTCGGCCTCCCCGGGGAGTTTGTTAAAACGGCAATTCCCTTTGCCAAAAATACAAATGCATTTACCCTCTACCCCAGCCATCTTCCGGGGCTCTCTCCTGTGGATGTCCGGGCCTTGGCGCGGCGCTGTCACTTAGGTCAGCGTTTGCGCTAGCAGCGGAGTCAGGTGTCCCTGGGGTCCCCTGTGCAGGGCGTCAGCTGAATAAGCCTGTAGATCTACCTGGAGTATGTTGCGGCTGGGGGAAGGACGAGGAGGCCGGCCAGGGAGTTCAGGGGAAGGTGCTCGGGACCTGGGGCCTGACGTGTGTGTGAGCTACTTTTTGGTAGGAAAGAGAAAAATAAAAAGATATGCTTGTGCTGCTCAGTTTGCATAAAGAAATCACTGGAAGGATGTACAGGAGGCTAATGAAGCTTCCGTTTCTCTGAGGGCAGGGGAGAGTGAGGAGGGGGACAGAAACTTCTATTTTATAATGTGTTTATTTTTATTTTTATTTATTTTTTAAATGTTTTATTTATTTCTAGGAGAGAGAGAGAGAGACAGCGTGAGCAGGGGAGGGTCAGAGAGAGAGGGAGTCACAGACTGAAACAGGCTCCAGGCTCTGAGCTGGCAGTCAGCACAGAGCCCGACGCGGGGCTCGAACCCACGAACCGCGGTATCATGACCTAAGCGAAAGTCGGCCGCTCAACTGACTAAGCCACCCAGGTGCCCCTAATGTGTTTATTTTTAAATCACAAAGCGGTGACGCTGGTTCAAAGCAAGCAAGCAAATGCAGTGCAGGGTCCTGGGGCCCCTCTGCCCTTGGAAAAGCAGCCTGTAGGGTAGAGACTGGGAAGCCAGACTTTCCTCAGATCTCCCAGAGATTTTCCTGCCTGTGTCTACAGACTGAACTTGGAGAGAATTGGGTCCTAATTTGTCTGGGCCGGAGTTTTTGCTTGGAGCAGAGGGGAGTCCCACAGACTCAGCGAGGTACTGTTCCCGCCTGAGGGCAGCTTGGAGCTGCCCCTGGACTCTAAGAGGGGCACATGGTCTTTGTTTTTGGTTTTTGGGGTTTTTTTGAGATTTTTATGGACTTACAGTTTAAAGGAAAGTTAATACATCATAGCTCTACAGCTTGATAGATCTTTCTTTTTTTTAATGTTTTATTCATTTCTGAGAGAGAGAGAGAGAGACAGTGTGAGCAGGGGAGGGTCAGAGAGAGAGGAAGACACAGAATCGGAAACAGGTTCCAGGCTCTGAGCTGTCAGCACAGAGCCCGACGCGGGGCTCGAACCCATGAACCGTGAGATCACGACCTGAGCCGAAGTCGGACGCTTAACCGACTGAGCCCCCCAGGTACCCCTGTTTTGGTTTTTTTTTGTTTTGTTTTGTTTTGTTTTTTTTAAAGGAGATGGAAGTTTATGGAGAACACCGCAAGGGAGTGGCGGGCAGGACAGCAGAGGAGAGTCTGTCTGTAGCCTAGATAGATCCTAACATGTGTTTTCACTCCCGCACCCACCACCTGTATCAAGCAATAAAACATCCCAGCCCTCTAGCAGGGCCCTTGTGCCCCCTTTGACTTGCTATCCCCCCACCCTCTTCGGATTTCTGTCCTTAGATCAGTTTTACCTGTTTTGGAACTGCTCATAAACATGACTTCTTTGGGCCAGTGCCGTCTCTGACAGCCCACATGTTGTGCGGGGCAGTGACTCTTTTCCACTGCGGTGTGGCCTCCTGTGTGGCATCCCGCCGCACAGCCAGCCCGCGTCCGCTGCCGATGGACGTTGCAGTGGAGGGCTCTTCCCACATTTGGGCTGTAAGTGCTGTTGCTGTGACCATTGTCGCATGCGTGTTTTGTTGGACGGATGGCACACGTTCTTGCTACCCTGGGGACATCAGTGAGTTACCAGATTGGGGGTGGGGGGGGTCGAATGGCTTCTTTTCCGTTCCCTCCTATCTTGTTCCAGACCCTTGTCCCCTGGAGGAAGGCTCCGCAGACTAAAAGCCGGCCTGGGGCGTGTCTCTGTAGTGTAAGGGGGTTAGAGGATGTGCCTCCCTCTTCTGCTTTCCGCAGCTGCTCAGAGCAGGGAGCCAGGCCAGCCTGGCGTGGCCAGCGGGGCCCCCCGCCAATGCCGCCCCTGGGTGCCTGCCACCAGGGAGGCCGCCTAATCTGCTGCCACCACTTTGTGTCTCTTGTGTTATCAGGAAGCAGAAAACTTGGTGGCCACAGTGGTTCCCGCCCACCTGGCAGCTGCCGTGCCCGAGGTAGCCGTGTACCTGAAGGAGTCGGTGGGGAACTCCACGCGCATCGACTATGGCACAGGTACCCGCCACCCCCTGGGCTTCCTTCCTTCACTGTAGCCTTTTGGGGCGGCTGGGCCCGCCCCCCGGCTCAGGGTGCAGGGAGGCCCGGGACTGCCCCTGCGGCTCTGTCTCAGTCCGCCAGGGGGCGCCGCTGCCACATGCCTGGTGCCTGTGCCGCACCGACTCTGTTCTTTGTCGAGGCCATCTCTGCGCACTCATCACCATCAGAGAAATGACTTACCTAGCGGAGCGCTTGCTGTATCTCGGGGCGAGCCCTTCCCGGAGCCTGAGAAATGACAGAGCTCAGCAGCCTTTGGCAGTGTGGTGGTGCACCGGCTCCCGGCCCCATGTGTGTGCTGTTGAGTTCTCCAGAAGAGGGCGCAAGCAGGTGCTGCGGAAGGGGTGGGGGGGGGCAGCTGAGGGGGACTCCGCCTCCGGCAGCCCACCTTTCTGACCTGACCCAAAGCAGCAGCACAAGAACGACTGCTCTCTTAGGCCTTCCCCTCCCCTGGGGCCTGGGTTCCTCAAGAGGAGCACAGGCCGCAGAGGCAGAAGGGCGCCCTTGGACCTGGGTCTGCGGAGGTTTTATTTTCAGCTCCCTCTTTTGCTGGGGAACAGGTTTATCAAGTGTTTGGGGACTTTCACCAGGCTCGACTCAGAGCAACAGGAAAGGAGCCTGAGGGGGGATTGGCCAGGTCAGCAGGGGGTGGGTTTTTCTTTCTTCTCAGAGGTCAAGATGGGAAAGAATTGGGAAACTGTGCAGGTAACAGGGACAGCTCACAAGCTTCCCAGGCCCCGAAGCACCTTCATTCTACAGAGATGGGACAGGAAGTCGCTGAAATACTCTCTCTCTGTCTCCCTCTCTCTAAATATATATATAATTTATTTATTTATGAGACAGCGACACACAGCATGAACAGGGAGGGTCAGAGAGAGAGGGAGACACAGAATCTGAAACAGGCTCCAGGCTCTGAGCTGTCAGCACAGAGCCCGATGCGGGGCTCGAACCCACGAACCATGAGATCATGAACTGAGCTGAGGTCAGACGCTTAACCGACTGAGCCACCCAAGCACCCTCCAAATATATTTCCAAATAACATTTTTTTATAGCACTAGGAACCACGGCATTTAGCCCAGAGTCCAGTCAGTGGTTTCTGTGGTACTGTCCACTCCCTTTTGACATGACTGGGAAAGGAAGGGAGTGCCTTTTGACCCTGTGATGTGACCGTGCGTTCCCTGCTTGGTAGCCTTCAGTGGCTCCCATTGCTCCTAGGATAAAGTCTGAGCTGCAGACTGTCGCAGTGAAAGCCTCTCTGGTCGCCAGCCTCGTCCTGTCCTACTTTCTCCCTCGCCCTCTCTGCTTTAGCCACACTGGCCTCCTTAGTGTTCTTCGAACTTACCTGTTCTTTTTCTTACCTCAGGACCTTCGCACTTGCTGTTTCTTCTTGGCTTGGTTGCTCTTCTTGCTTCCCTCACAGCCAGTGCCTTGCCAGCTCTTACTCCTCTTTCAGATTAAATTTTGCTTCCTTGGGGAAACCTTCTTGAATCCTATGTCAGGGTTCCCCTGTGATGCCCTCCAATTAGCACCCCGTCCTCCTTCAGAGCTAGAATTATGGAAGTGATTGTCTATTTAAGTTTCGTCATCCTGATCATAACCTATCAAACAAGGGCAGGGACTTAGTCTCCCTAGTGCCTGATATGGACAGTGGCTGCCGTTTCGGTTGGTGCTCAGTAGGTAGTGCAGAACTGATGAGTGAGTCAAGTCCTCAGCCTCGGCCCTTTAGGAGTAGAATTACGGTGGTGGTAGCTCTCAAAGGGGCAGGGTCTTTCTAGAAAGGGAGGTGGCCCCATTATCTCCGTGTTGACCTCCCTCCGCAGAGGGGCAGGTATCAGTGATGTGGACTCCGGTGAGACCGAGAACAGTCCCCCTGCTTTTTCCGGACGACTGTCGACCTCGGCTGTGTTTTCTTCCCCAGGACACGAGGCGGCCTTCGCTGCTTTCCTCTGCTGCCTCTGCAAGATCGGGGTGCTCCGGGTAGACGACCAGATAGCTATCGTCTTCAGGGTGTTCAATCGGTGAGTGGAGGGGGCGCGGGGATCCCCTCCCTCCTTGCCCCTGTCGCACTGAGGACAGGGCGCTGGAGGCCTCTCCTGAGTGCCTGTTGCTTTTTTCGGCCCGTCCTCAAGTGGCTGTGGACGGGGCGTCCCAGACGGAAGGACTGACAGGTTCAGATTCGAGTAGGAACAAGCGAAGTAGGCGGCAGGCACCGGCTGCTAACGCTTCCGTGGCGTTGGCCGTGAAGCCCCCTCCCCTGAGGTCCCCAGCGGCTCCGGGGAGCAGCGGCCCCCATTCCCGTTGGGTAGCTGAGGAAACAGAGGCACAGGGAAATCAGCTACCTTCTGATCACTGAGGTCACACAGCCAGCTGAACCCAGGCAGTCGAGCTCTGACGCCCCCTCCCACCCCCCCACCTGGCAGCACGGGTGTGGTATGGTCACCCCAGCGCCCTGACAGCGCCTGCTCTGGGCCCCGCTCCGGCGACGCTGACACAGCCCCTGAGCACCGGGAGGTGATCCGCTGCGTCTCCCGGCGGGGCCTTCCTCCTGGGGAGTCCAAGGCTCCTGCCCACGTCTCACGTCGTCCCGAGTCGATGGTGCTAAAACCCCCTTTCCTGGGCCCAAAGGAGGCTGAACGTGGGAGAAGAAAACAAAGCAACGTTATTTTGAGAGGACCAGCTGATGCATAACTTACGCATGTGGATTTTAATTGAAATAGAGACTAGTTATACTCTCGGGTGGTTATTTCTGGCCTCCGTGAGCTCCCAATGGCAGGAGGGTTGAGGCCGGCTTTTTACTTTCCGCTGCCCTTTTCCTCCCCTCCTGCGCAGGTACCTCGAGGTCATGCGGAAGCTCCAGAAGACGTACCGGATGGAGCCAGCCGGCAGCCAGGGAGTGTGGGGCCTGGATGACTTTCAGTTTCTGCCCTTCATCTGGGGCAGCTCGCAGTTGATAGGTACTGAAGGGGGCGCCTACCCGCCCCCCAGGGTGTGTCCTCTGTCGTCCGTCCCCCCGCACCCCCCCTCCCCAGGCTCCTTACTCTGCTCAGGGCAGACGGTGACAGCTTGTAAAGCAGGCATTAACCCGGCTGTTGACGGAGGCTGTTTGCTGCCGACCTTCTGCTGGGAACCTGCGAGGCAGGCTGAGGGCGGGGGCACAAGGTGCCGAGATAGTGGGAAGTGGCACGGGCTCGGGCGCTCGCCTGGCGCATAATGGGCTGGTGGGAAACACACCCCAGCTCCTGGCAGCAGCTGCAGGGTTTTATGTTGAAAATGAGGGGGTCTTTTGACCCACTGTCTGCTGTTATTGAGCCGTGTTCACGGGGGTGCGTCAGGGACCGGCTGCCACGTGCTGGGCAGTGAGCCGCTTCCGGTGGCCCCGTCCAGTGGTCCCCCCAACTCTGAAACTGCTTTCCAGGCTCGGGCGGCGCGCCGGGATCTGCCACGGGTGTGGGTTGGGTGGTAGCTCCTGCTTCAGTGTAGGATTCACTGCCCACGAGAATAACATCAATAAGTGGCCCTCGTTGAGTATTTTGCCCTGTGCCAGGCACTGCTCTAAGCACACTAGGTAGCTTTTTTCCCAGAACCTTCTCAGCAACCCCGGGAAGGGTCTTTGCCGGCGCGAGACCAGCCGCCTTTGACTAACACTTAACCTGTGCAGGCACCATGGCGAGTGCTTTACTGTGACCCCTGGTCATGCAGGGTGACGGAGGGGCTGTTCATGTCCCCACCGCACAGAAGAGGAAACCGGGCCTCCGAGGGCTGAAGTCACTGGTCCGAGGTCACAGGGCTAGAAAAAGGCAGAGCCAGAGCTTGTTCCACTAGAGCACGCACACAGGTCTTTCATGGCTCCCACAAGGTCAAGTGTTGAGGGCACACGGCAGGACTGTGGCCCCGGGGCGGGTGTGAGCACCTGGTTCTGAACCCCGCGGCTCTCTGCCGTCCCCAGACCACCCGTATTTGGAGCCCAGGCACTTTGTGGATGAGAAGGCCGTGAATGAGAACCACAAGGACTACATGTTCCTGGAATGCATCCTGTTTATCACTGAGGTGAGGGGCCGGCGGGGAGGGGAGCCCGTGGCAACGTGCAGGCTGGGGTGCACTGAGGCCGGTGGCTTCGGAGCGAGACCGAGGAGCCAGGGCCCTCCCCCTCCCCTGAAGATAGCAGGGTTGGCCCCAGAAGGTGGGTGACTGAAAAGGCAGCCACACGAGGCTCTGAAAGGTGGCGAGCCAGCTTCTGACTGTCCAGGACCTCCTCCCCCAGATCGGTGGTCCGGGGGTGACTCCTGAGCCCCATGGGACTTCTGAGCTGCGGGACTGAGACTCGGTCACTAGCTGGGTGTGGTGGCCAGTGCGGCGGGTCTGGAGGGGCGGGTGGGGGCGGGTGGGGCCCCCAAGGTCTGCCTGTGTGGCTCTGTGGGACGAAGCCGTTGCAGGAGGACCACAGGCTAGACTTCCGGGGACACACCTCTGTCGGAACCTGAGGACAGGGGCCAGATGAAGTGCTGGGACCCCTAGCACGTCTGGCAGGGCCGCGTGTAACTGGGTGCCGTTGCCCGCTGGGGCGGGGTCTCCTATTTCCTCAAGATCACCGGGGAGCTGATTAAAATGCACGTTCCTGGGTCCAACCCCAGCTTTCTGAATCCAGAATCTTGGGGGACAAGAACCAGGAACCTGTATTTAAATACACCTGCCAGTGGCTTTGTGTGGAATTTGGGGACTCACTGCCCTGGGGGCCTTTATCCTCCCTGCTGCCTCCACGTCCCCCTCACCCCCAGACTTTCAAAGGTGCCCTGATTCTGCTGTCCGGAGAGGGTCTGGCCACCGCTCTCTTTTCTGATACCCACAAGTGCATCTGGCCGCTGTGATGCCCCGGGCACGGCCGCAGGCTCCTCCCCACTGGGGCTGCTCTCTGAGCCCCCTGGGCCCCCTGAACGGAGGAGGGGCCTGGTGAAGCAGCCGTAGCCCCAGGCTGCTCATGGTCAGCATTCGGCTCAGGCCGCTGCCAAACTCCAGAGGCCAGAGGGAAATGACACGTTTTTCCAAGTCAGCAAATGGAGCTGGGACTGACGGCTAGGCGGCCACCGCTTCAGTCTCAGATCTGCTGCCTTCAGCACTGCGGCAGGCCCAAGGTCAGAAGGACTCAGGCAGCCTGGCTCATGGCCTCTCGAGCCAGCCACGTGCTGCTCTTTCCAGAGTGGAATGTGAGGGTCTGGGGGGCTCTGGGAGACCCCAGGAGGAGCAGTGGAGAGAGAAGGGGTGAACAAACCAGGCTGAGCCATGCTCTGCTCGCTTGGGGGTGAACGACTAAGCTGTTCTGGCTCCCTCTGGTGGCTTGCCAAGCCCCCGGGTCCCTGTCAGTGACTAGCAAGGAAGGAGGTCAGGCTGGGCCTCAGGGGATATGGGAATTGATTCCAGGTTAAAATTTTGTATTGTTATTTGGTTGGTTATTCTGGTATAAAAACCTTCCTGAAGTTTGGGACCCAGTTCCTCTGCGGGAGAAAACCCTACAGTGGCCACTAGGTGGCACTAGCGGCACGAACTTTGAGAACGTTTTCGGAACTTAATTGGCGGAGAGACAGACCCTAGAGTTTTTGCTTGTTCGGCACCCCCTCCTCGAGGCCTGTTTTTCACTTCGGGTCTAGGTGCTGGGGCGTGGTGGTAAACACTGGGTGCTAGCGGGACTGAGGGCTCCCCTTCGTCCACCTGGCCGAGCGGGCCAATGCCCACGCGGCCGCGCTGTGCTAGTTCTCTGGGAGCTTGGGCCTGGGCTATGCCCTGGCCACCCCCTTCCACCCCACACCAGTGTGTTCCAGCTGCTGGCTCGCCAACGAGTGGCCCGCCCTGGCTCACCCTGGCCAAGGGAGCCCGAAGGCCTGTGCTGGGACCCCGGGACCTGGAGGCCTGTGCAGAGTTCCGTCTGGAAGGGACGGTGTTTCCTCCGGAGACCCAGGGATGGGGATCAGACGGCTGGCACAACTAGGAGCAAAAACCGCAGCAGCCAGAAGTGGGGAAGTGGGCCCGGGCGTCTCCTCCCCGCCTCCCCAGGACCTGCCCTGCTCGCCCTGGGCATCCGGGATGAGGGACCCCACCTCGCGGGGCTTCTGCTGTCTCAGGAAATGCAGCCCTGGCGCCTTTAAGAGCCCAGCGCAGGCAGGAAAAGAATTTCAGTTTCAATCTGGCTTCTAAATTTGGAGTTTTGGGAAGGGAGGGATCAGATTTCAGCTGGAAGGGAAGGAGCTGACAGGAAGGCGCTGTGCAGAGCCTCCCCCCATCCCCCCTCAGTTACTGACAGAGGAACCATTTACAAAAGGCCGATTCTCTTGGGAGTGGAGAGGCAGGAACGCAGCGGCTGTGAGTAATTTCCTGCTCAATATGGCTGCTCTGACTCACACGATTCCCCTGGGGTCACTGCGGGACTGCAGCTCGCTTGCTCGTTCTCGCTCTTTCTCTTCTCCCTTTGTGGCTAGAATGAGCTAGGTTTTTTTTGTTTTTGTTTTTGTCTTCTCGCCCCCGATTCTTTTCCCCCCTTGTCTCTTTTCCTTTCCCAGAGTTGCAGAGTCCCCTTCTGAAGGACTTAGGGAGGCCTTGGGACATTGAAGGCCTGGGGGGTGGGGGGTGGGGCTGCCCTCCTAGGGAAATAGCGTCTCTGGCCTTTCCACGGGGAGGGGCAGGGCCACTGGGGCTCTGCCAGCAGGCCAGAGAGGCCTTCTGGGGTGGCCTCCTGTGCCCCTAGTGGTTGAGGCCAGCCCACGAAGCTGCTGGCCCTGGCCTCGGGGCCCTTGCTGAGCAGGCTTCTGGAGCTGTGCTGTGGGACGAAGCCGGCAGGGTGGCCCTGGGGTGGTTGGGTCACGGGGCCTGGTTCCACATCTCCCGCGTTCCCTGAGCTGCTCAGGCCCGGAAGAAGACTGGAGCCCGGCGCTGGCCCCCACGGGGCAGAGAGCCGAGGGGAAGGGGCGGGGCGAGGGGAAGGGCGGGGCGGCGGGGGCGGAGCCTGCCTGAGTAGGATGGCTGGAACAAAGCTTGAAGGCCGGGCCCCTTAGGCTGGGGGCACCAGCAGCCACCCTGGAGGAGGGGGCATTAGAAAGAAAGGGGAGGAGAAAGAAAGTGGGTGTAGACCCCAGAAAAGCCCCAGGGGCACCAGGGTGGATGTCTTCTTTCTGTCTTAGCAGCTTGGGCCACGGCCTCCCTCCTGGAGGAAGGCTGTTGTCCTTGCGACTGAGCCTAGGGGTTGAGACAAGCTTTTGGGGAACTTGGGTCAGGGGAGGGAGGTGACGGCACTGAATAGCAGTTTTTTGGACTTAAATCTTAGGTTTTGGTGTGAGGCCCTCACTGGAGAAGCGAGGGGCGTGTGGGAGCAGGTCACCCATGAGCCTGCAGCCAAGCTTTGGGGGTGTCTCGTGCTCCTGAGCCTTTATTCTTATACCCAATATGGAGAGGGAGCTTTGGGCCCATCCCTTCTCCCAGAACAGCTCTCCCCCAGCCCCACCTTCACTCCCAGCCTCTTCTGGAACCTTCTACCCCCTCAGGGTCCAAGTCTCTGCTTCCTTGCCAGCTCAGCCTTTTTGTTTTTCAAACTCTTTCTTCTGAAGGCTGGGGCTCATGGTGCTGAACCCCATTCCCCCAGGCAGCACCGTGAAGCGGCCGATAACAACTGTACTGGCCTTGTGTGGAGGGGGGGGCATGCGTGGGCACACAGGCCTCCCTGTGTCGGTGCTGTGGTTTCTGATGTCATGGAAACTTCACTGGGCTTGGGTCAGAACTCTGGGCAAGAGGAGGGACAGGAATGGAGCTGTCCTTGCTCCTGCCTGTCCCTTGCTGCTGTCGTGGCCATCCCTTCTCTCCCTCCCCGCGGGGGCAGGCTGACTGTCTAAACAGACCTTCCTCCCTGGTCCGCTGCAGGTGCTCCTGGCTCCCGGCTGCCCCCCCCCCCTTTTCCTCCCTCCCTTCTGCCTGCTATTCAGAAGGCAGTGGATGCCTGGGTTTGGCCTTCCCCCAGACTGATCCCTCCCCCGCCTGAGTACCTAGTGGTAGAGTGTGGAGGGCTGGGCCGGGGAGGGTCAGGGAGGCTGCTGTTGTTTATCTGAATGGGGGAGCAGCTCCCCGGTGGGGGTGCTCTATGGCTGGGGGGAAATTGGTGGGAGTCTCAGCAGGGGCTTGGGTTGGGATTTTCTTTTTCTGAGGCTGCTGAATGTGGTGAGTGGCAGGAATCAGGCTTCCTTTTTTTGGCTGTGGAAGAAAGTGGATGACTCGGGGTTATATTTTCCCAGTGGGTCTTGCAGGGCAAGAGAGACCCTGTCTCTGGGACTTATATGTGTTGTGGGTGGGTGTGTGCACATGTGTGCATACACACGTACTTGCTTGTGCATGTGTGAGTGTGCTTGCCTCCCGCCTGTGGATGATGCAGCTGGTCCTTAAGCACACACGTGTACTGTGTGAACACATATGTATGCGCATGCATATACACACGTCTGTGCTTTAACGCGTGTGCATATATGTGCGTGCGTGCATATACACACATACGCGTATGCAGCCTGGCTGCGGGCTAGTGGCGTGAGCTCCCAGGCGGCTCGCCTCTCCAGCTGCGGATTCTTGTTTTTAGATGAAGACCGGCCCCTTCGCGGAGCACTCCAACCAGCTGTGGAACATCAGTGCCGTCCCCTCCTGGTCCAAAGTGAACCAGGGTCTGATCCGCATGTATAAGGCCGAGGTGAGCTGGGGCTGGCTGACACTCTTGGTCCTGCTGATCCCCCCCACCCCCCATTCTACTGCTTTGCTCCAAAGCTGGAGCCAGCCCCTCTGACCCTAGTGGCCTCAGTCTCCGTCTGCGGAATGGGCAGATGAAGAATCGCTATACTGAGGCCCAGCTCTGCCCAGTGACTGAGGCAAGGCCCTGCTGCCCAGGGTCTGTCAAAAGGGCCAGAAGCCCCTCCCAGCTGTGTGTCACATGGGGATACGAAAGTGAAGACGTGCTTTGGAGCCATCATCCAAATTAGTGTGCTTTGGAGCCATCATCCAAATTAGTGCTTCTCACACTTCGGTGGGTCTGGTCCCTGGGCAGGTAGGAGGTCTCCAGGGAGGCCCAGAGCTGACGTTTCTCGCAGCCACTTCAGGTGGTACTATGCTGCTCAGATCTGTGAATCAGGGCGCGGTGTGGTCCCCCTGAGCTCCCCCTGCTGGGAGTTGGCTGCCCAGCTCTTGAGGGTGTCCCCTGCCTTCTCTCTTCCGCCTCTTTGGCACCTTTTCCAAACCAAGGAGGTAGCCTTTTTTTCTTACAGGGAGAGAGGAGACATTTTCTTTCCATCCTGTCCCTTGTGCTAGCTTCTTTCCCATCTGTGCACACCGGTCCTAGAGCTGTTTGACCTTGGCCAGGGAAGGACCCAAGTGTAAAGTCCCTCACGGTCGAGTAATGAGTCCCCAAAGTCCCCTCTTTTCGCCCTCAGGCTGGTGGTCTTCGATGTTGTCCCATGGGTGCTCTCGACCCTTTTTCTCTTGACCCTTGGCCACCCCTCTCCCATGGAGAGGTTGCTTCTCTGAGTCGGCTTCATTACACGCAAAGCTTGCTCACATCCCGCCGGTGGAGGCAGGGGGAGCAGGGAGGAGACGATGTTAGAGGCCAGGGTGTGGTTTGGGAGTACAGCCCTGTCCAGTTGTCCCTGTTCCCTCTGCACGGCCCCGAAGGGGTTAATGGCACTGGAACTGACCGGGCCTGGCCCTCTCTCTCTCCCTTCCGCCCCCTCCCCCGCCCCCTCCCCCTCCGGTTCCCTTCCTCTGGGCTTCACATCCTGTGTTTAGGTTCCAGCCCACATACCTCTCTAATCTGAGAGGGGCGTTCGCTGGGGCTGCGTAGGCCCCTTCCGGGCAGCCCGCTGGCCCCTCCAGTCTGGCTGTCCCCTGCCTGGAGAGCACCCGGGTCACTGCCCTCCTGGGGTCCTGTTGTTTCTGACACACACCCCATCCGCCCCCGCCAGTCCCACAATGGGCACTGCTGGGGACCCCGTCACCCTGCAGGGGCCCTCCCCACCGCCTGGGTGGGGGTGCTGTATGCAGCGTATGAGGAGTGTGGGGGGCCCCTCCAGCCTCCCACCCCCGCTCCCGGCCAGTCCCCAAGGGCAAGACTCTCATGCCTTTCCTGCTTGGGGTCTGGAGGGCAGAGCAGGAGTCCCGCCCCCCTTCCCCTACCTGCCCCCCTCCCCTGCCTGCCCCCCTCCCGTGCCCGCCCCCCTCCCCTACCTGCCCCCTCCCCTACCTGCCCCCTCCCGTGCCTGGCCCCTTCCAGGGGAGGAGCCCCAGGCTCGCAGGATGAGGGAGGAGCTAGCTAAGATGGCAGTGGTGCGGCACACCCAGAAGTCCGCGTAGCAGTTGGTGGATTTCTGCGGGTGTGGGAAGACCGGGGCCACAGCTCAGGCCCAGACAGAGGGGCCGCGTGTGGATCCCAGAGTGCCCCTCCCGAAACGCCAGCTCTGGGTGCGTGCAGGCGCCGTGTGGCGGCCAGACCTCCCTCCCGGCCAGTACGGGGGCCTACTGACTTGTCATTCAGCACCATGTCTGTGCTGGGTGGCACTGTTTAAACACAGCTGGCAAGTAACCCTCAGCGTTCGCTCCCCAAGAGCCTGTGGGATTGCACGCTCCCTTCCCAGAGGTCCGAGGAGGAGAACTTGTTTTTTCAGGGCAGCTCTTGGTCCATGGGGAGGCCCAGCGAGGCCCACCAGGCCTGAAGTCCAGAACAGGGTTCGCAAGTCCAGGGCCACTGATCCAAGTTGGCTCCTGGAGGCGAGCTGGTCTGGAGAGGCTGGGCCAGGCCTGGCATTTCAGCGCCGCAGGATTCGGGGACACATACAGTTGGCCCTGCCCGTGCCTCTCAGAACTCGAGAACCACGTGCTGTCAGTGTCCTTGAGGGCAGCGGGGCTTGTCCTTCCCCAGGGCTGTCACTGTGTTGGGGCTCCCTTTGGGAGGACCTTGTCAGGGCTTGGAGCGCCCCTTTTCCCCCTTGCATCACCGGGGCGTCCCACTGAGGGATCCCTGAGAGGCCAGGTGAGCTGAAGATGCTGCTCTGTCACTGTCTCTCTGCCCAGAACCGGGGGGGGGGGGGGGGGGGGGGGGGGGGGGGGGGGAGTCACAGTTAGCTTCGAGAAGGCCTGACAGAGCCCCCCTCCTGCTGTTGTCCCGAAGCCTCAGATTTCCTTTGCCCCAAGCAGCCTCTGGCCTTCAGCCCAGCGCCTCCCCTGTCCCCCAGGAAGCGTGATCTGCGTGATCTGTCTTCTGGGTCCCTGAAGGCAGAGTGCAGAGAGCCGCCCCTGCCCCTCCTGCTGAGCCTCTTGCCTTTGCAGCTTCTCTGGAGGAGGGCTAGAAACAGGTTGACCTTTGACCCTTTCTGGAATTCCAGGGCCCTGGGGGCTCCCTTTTACAAACTCCTACCACTTCCTCCATGACCTAAGCACACTGGCAGCTGCCTTCGCCTCTGGCCTAGAGCTGCCTAGAGCTGCCGGCTCTTCCTCCTCCCCCTGTGGGAGCACCCCTGGCTGCACACTCCCCACTTTCTCTGCTTGGGGCCCAGCAGCGCAGCAACCTGGCTGCGGCCTGGAGCTCTGCCCCCATGCTCAGCCTCGCTCCCCATCCTCCTTCTGCTGCGCGAAAGGATTTCCCTTTTCCTGCTCGCCTCCTGGGCCCCCTGTAGGCCTGGATCAGCCCCCACCTGACACACACACACACAGCTGGTCCGAGACGTCCTCATTTCTGTGCCTGGTCATTGAGGTGAGGGGACCTGGGTCAGTCGTGGCACACCTTTCTCCCCCTAAGTTGGGTGGAGGTTGAGGCCACAGTCACAGAACAAGCCTCACCTTATCGGAAGCCCTACGTCGTGTTTCAGCCCAGCCATCCTGGTGGTTTCCATGGTCAAAGGTGTGAGAGAAGGCAAATCCTCACACGCCTAGAGCTGCTGCCTGAGAGAGCTCGCCAGTGACGAGGGCCAGCGTGGGGAGGCTGGGAGCTGTCCCCCCCGCACCCCAACACCACCCCTTCCTGGACCTGTGTGGTGCTAAGCGGTGCCCAGGCCAGAGGCCAGAGTTGCGTGTGGCCTGGGGCCCGGCTGCCTGTGGACCAGACCAGCTTCTGTGGTGGGCCCTGCCGATCTCCCCGTCTCCGCCAGAGCCCTGGGCTGAGGTCCCGGCTGGGCTGGGTTCAGGGAGGAGGCCCTGCCTCTGTCCAGTGATCCTGTCCTCCTGTCCCCTGCCCCCGGCCCAGGGCTGCTGGGAATTGCCCTGGGCATGTGCAGACTACTGATTCTTAGTGTCTTGTTCTCAAGTGTCAGGATGCCTTTTTTCAGTCCAGAGAACTGCAAATTGGAGAAAAATGGGCCCTGGACCCTCGTCAGGCTTGTGTCCAAGTGTCCCTGCACTGCTGCTCCAGGGCTGGGGCCTGGACTGGGGGCTCCCCAGTGGTCTGGAGGCTTCTTTTCGTCTCTGGTGCCCAGTTCCCCCCTCCCCGCAGTGAGGTTGGGCTGCTGGCTCTCCTTCCCTTCCTTTCTCCCTCTCCCTCACGCGTTATTTGGTGGGTTTGTCACGGAGTGGGGGGGTCTTTGGATGTGAGGGGGGGTCGGGAAGGGGTAGGAAGTCTTGCCTCTCCCTGAAGGCCCAGGAGCCCTTCTGAGCTCATCCCTTTCCTGGGCGCTGCGTGGACACTTTCTGGGAACCGTGCTCATCCGAGCCTCTAGTGTCGTCCAGGGTCCCCTGGAGGCCCGAGAAGCTGGGTGGGCCCCGGCAGGGGTGCGGTGTGGTCCTCACCTCTGCTCTCCCCCCTCCCCCTCACAGTGCCTGGAGAAGTTCCCTGTGATCCAGCACTTCAAGTTCGGGAGCCTGCTGCCCATCCATCCGGTCACCTCGTGCTAGGGGCTGAGCCATTCCTGTGCCTGCCCCCCACCCCTGCCCCAGCTCCAGCCTCCCCCAACCCCTCCCTCTGTTCTTTCTGTTTGCCGAGAGGCTGTCTACTGGGGCGAGTGGTGAGCGTGGGGTTGAGGGAGGCTCAGGGCATGAGGCTGAAGGACACAAAGTGAAGGGAGAAGTGACCGACGTGGGCCCTGTCTCCCTGCAGGGGGTGGGGGGCATGCTCGGGCCCTGGTCCCGCTCTTGGCCTCCCTCTCCTCCTCCCTCTTCTGTCCGGGCCCGTTGGGGACCCAGGCTGTTCTGCACCCCTGGGAAGGGGAGGAGTACGCACTTCCCATTGCTTTCCTTTCCCAAGTCCTGTTGCCTTTCTAGGGGTTGGAGCGGTTGCTCCCTGTGGGTGGGTCAGTTCCTTAAGCCATGTTTGGGTGGGCGTCCGGGGGTCCTGAAGGCTGGAGGCAGCTGGCGGCCAGCCCGGGGTGGGGTCAGGGACTGAGAGGCGTCGGCTCTGCTGTCCAGGGACCCTCCCAGCGGCTGCTCGTGGCTGCCCCCCCGGGCCTGCGGCACTTGTGTCCGGTGCCTCTTCCTGGCTGCTCTGTTCTTTGGCCCTTGGCTTTGTGGGGTTTCCTGTCCGGACCCACTCCTGTCCCCCTCTACAAGGGTAGCCCTTGGAGGTGCCGTCTGGGTAGGCCCTGGGCATTCAGAGGGCCCCGGCCAGGCTTGCTCTGGCTGATTGGGTGAGGCCTGCCTTCCCAAAGTCTCGGGCTGGGAGGGGGTGGCTGAGATGCAGGGAGGGGCTCGGGACCTGCTCTGCTTGCGGGCAGCCTGGATTCTTCTCAAGTCATACCTTCTGCTCCTCACCCCCTGCTGCTTGCTTCTCCAGGGCCCCGTGGCCCTGGCCCTCTCTGCTTGCTCTTCGGGACCAAGGGCCTGGGGCCACCGGAGCACTCAGCAGCGCCCCTTCCTTGTCGTCCCCTCTCCCCGAACCTACCCAACTGGTTCTTCAGGATGAGGCAGAGATGGCCCCCCAGCCCGGGCTTTGGCTCTGAGGATGGGCAGGGGCTTGCTGGGGGATGGGGCGCTGGCATGACAGGTCCTGGGTTTTCTTGCAGGGCTGCTCCGGGGCCGGGCTCTTCCAGGCTCTTCCCTGGCCAAAGCCCAGGCCTGCCCTACTCCAAAGCCCCGCCCGCTGTCTGGGTCCACACCCCCTTTGGGAAGGGGGAGCTGCCAAGAAGCACAATTCAGGGGCTCGACCCTCACACCTGGGCCGGTGGCCTGGGCAGAGGCCGGGATGGGAAGCACAGGGGTCACAGAAATAGTTTTTCTCCGAGAGGCCCGGTGCCGGCCTCCCTCCCGGGCCCAGACCGCCGCCTGCCTGGCTCCTCTCGCCCTGCCCTCTTCAGCTGCCCCGGCCCCACACACCTTCACTGCTGTTCAGATTAAAGCCTCTGTTTTGCACCTGTCACCTGAGTGAGGTGTGTCTTTTCGTGCCCCGTGTTTATTCTTTCTCCACACGCCTGTCTGGCTCCCCATCAGGTCCCCTTCCCTCGGGCCACGGAGTCCGGGGCTGGGACTGTTTCAGCTGATGTCGGGGCTGAGCCTCTCCCGGGCAGCCAGTGAGCGTGCACCAGCCACCCAGGCGGGCTCTGGCGAGTCCTGGCTGTCCCCACCCCAGCTGCAAGGTCTTGGGTAGGCTACTGAATCTCTCTGAGCCTCAGTTTCCCCATCTGCAAAATGGGGACCATCACAGGGTGACTGCCGGGAGTGAATGAGGGATGTGAAGTCGTCAGCCCAGGACCTGGCACAGAGCCAATGCCCGTGGTCACCATGGCCCTTCTAGATGAAGGCAGCCCCTCTGGACTCCAGGCTTGGTGGGGGAGCCTTTGGACTGGACTTGGTTGTAAAACATACACCTGTAGCTTTTAGGGGTGCATCCCACCCCTCTGTCCTTGTGCTGGAGGTGGGATTTGGGGGGCCATGGTACCCAAGGCTTTGGACATACGTGTTTCCGGGCTTCTGGGCTCGATGTGTAGATGAGCCTCCTCAGAGAACGAGCCCTGGCCTTGGCGGCCTTGCCCAGGAGAGCCTGGTGCCTGGGGGCCGACACCAGCCAGCCCGAGGCCCAGCTTTCTAGCTGGGAGACCCTCGTGATGGAGTTCATCTCCGAGCCTGGCTTCCTAATCTGAAAAATGGGCATAAATGTACTCTCAGGCCATGGATTGTGAGGACCCAGTCATTTCACAAATGATTAGTGGCCGAATATTCCTTGTCTAGCATGGATGACAGCAGCCGACCCCAGAATACCAGAGCGTTAGGCAGTGGTGGGTATCACGAAGCGAATACCACAGCTCATGAGAGAGGGCGGCAGGCGTGGTTTACCGGAGCTGCAGGGTTGGGAAGGACACCTTGGAGGAGGCGTGAGCCTGAGTCCTGGAAAGAGAGAGCTGCCGGCTGAAGGGGGTCCCGGGGGAGCAGCTGGGAGCCCAGCGCCGCAGTGGGGTTGGGGAGGGTGGGGACATGGGTCCGGGAGGAACAGAGTCCTTGCGGGCTCTGCCTACAGAATCGGAATCTAGTCTTGAGTATCCTCCGGGAGGCTGCTTGGAGGGCTTTGCCAGTGACAAGGGCCTGGGGTACGTAGGGCAGGAGACAGGATGGTGGTGGTCGGCATGGAGGTGGTGAGAAGTCCTGTTTGGGCTGTGTTTAGAGCTATCGCTGACAGTTGGGAAGGTGTGAGAAGGCAAAGAGAAGCCCTAAGCAGCCCCAATTCTGTGTAGCTTGATGCCATTGACTGAGGCGGTGCAGATGTGGGAAGAGGGATTTGCTGTCGGGGGCCTGGCAGATGCCTGTTAGCCTCTAAGAGGAGGCCTGGAGTAGGCGTCTGGGTCTGAGCATCTAGAGCCGGGGGCGGGGCCTGACTGCTGAAATAGACCAGGGAGTGGTCAGCACGCGATGGGTCCACCCTGGGTCACCAAGGCAGGAGTGTGGGTGAAGGCGAGAAAAGAGGGCTGGCTGGTTCTGGGCAGACCAGCAGGGGTTGGCGGCGGGGGGGGGGGGGGGGGGGGGGGTTGGCGGGAGGCCCTGAAGGTCAGAGCCCTGGCCATGTGGCTAAGAGGACGGAATGGGCCCCGGGTCTTTGTGCCTTGCTCAGGGCTGCTTCAGTGGGGTGGGTGGCGGGTCGCCAGGGCTGGAGAAGGAATGGGAATCCGATGTGGAGGTGGCCCATGAGGGGCTCACGGAAGCACAGAGGTGGGGTCCCCGGTCCGAGCCCCCCAGCCCGGAGGGAAGGGTGTGGAGCTGCACCGTCTGGTTGCTGAGCCGCACGCAGCACCTCCCTTCCCTCTTTCAGAGTGTTGCGGCGAAGGGAGCCGAGATGGGGAGAGCGGGCGGGGGCTCGACATCAGGGAAGGCTCGAGAAGAGGAAGATCAGTCTGGTTTGCGCCCCGTGTCTCTCGTGAGCTGGAAATGGTCCCAGAGAGGGAGGCTGACAGCAGTGAGGGCCTTGACAAGGTGCCAGGCTGCTTGTCCCTTATCAGAGAAGGCGGGCCCTCTCCCGACTCGTGTGTCGTTCTGGATCTACTTCTGCGAGGAAGTGCGCACAAGGCCATCAGCTGCCCGTGGGGTGGGATGGGCGCGAGATGGGGATGTGCGGGGTGTAGCTGGACGCCGAGCACGTGGGCAGGGTCTTCAGTGCAGGGTGGGAAGCCCGCTCAGGACCTGGGTGACGGGGTGGCTGCCCAGCAGAGGACGGCTGCATTTCTGTCCCCCCTTGAGGGCCGGCGGGTTCGAAGGGAGCCTGAGTGGGGCTGGCTCCCAGAGCTGGGGAAGGGGGTGTCGCCTTCCCACCATCCTGGGCCAGAGAGGCCCCAGAGACCAAGTAGAGCTCTGCACCTGTGTTCCTGGCTCACGGGGGCCGAAGCCAGGCTGTGGCCATGGGGGTGGGTGGGGGGTGGGAACAGAGAGGCCCTCACTACCAAGAGCCCCTGGCAGGAGCTGTGGATGGAAGGAGAGCACAGGTGTGCCCTAGACCTGCCCCAACTGTTTAACAAGCAGTAAGCACCTGCTAAGTACACGGCATTTGCAGGAATGGGGAGATGAAAAAGGCAAGACGCTTCCCTTTAGGAAACTTCCAGAGGCGCCTGGGTGGCTCAGTCGTTAAACGTCCAGCTCTTGATTTCTTTGGCTCAGGTCATGATCTCATGGTTCGTGCATTTGAGCCCTACATGGGGCTCTGCACTAATCGTGAGGGGCCTGCTTGGGATTCTCTCTCTCTCTCTCTCTCTCTCTGCCCCTCCCCTGATTGCTCTCTCTCAAAATAAATATATAAACTTAAAAAAAAGAACTTCCAACCTGAGGCACCTGGCTGCCTTAGTGGAATGTGCAACTCTTGAGCTTGGGGTTGTGAGTTCGAGTCCCAGCCTGGGTGTAAAGATGACTTTAAAAAGTCTTTTTAAAAAAAGAAGAAAAGAAAGAAAGAAACTTCAACCTAGTGGGGGAAACAGGGATCTCGGGCCAGCTGTCAGAGGAAGCCCAGGAGAGACTCCAGGGGGAGCTCAGGTAAGGCTCCAGGGAGGAGATGGCATTGGAGTGGGGCCTTGAATGATGGGCAGAGGACAAAGGGCGTTTTGGTGGGGCCTGCTGTGAGCAGAGGTGTGGAGGTATGGGTCACAGGAGGAGGGGCTGGAAGAGCAGGCGGCGGGGGGCGGGGGCTGGTCTGCAGAAGGCTCTGAGCGACTCCACTCTGTAACGCTGCACGTCCCCTCGACGCGACACAACTGCATGTAATTATCTGCAAAATGTATGCTTCGCGTCTGTCTGCTCTGCTAGTAGATGGGCCCCCGGAAGACAGGGACCCGCTCGATGCTGCATCCCTGTGCCAGTGAGACTGGCGTGCAGCAGGCACCCTGTAAACGTGGCATCAGTTGCCAGGAAAGATGCTTAATTGGTGCCTCTGTGTGTGTGTCGGAGAGACAGAGAGACACAGAGATAGCCAGATTGGGTTTTAGGAAACGCAGACAGCTGTCTGGGTGCTGGGTCAGAAGCTGGGTGCCAGTGATAGGGCTGGGGCCGTGGCCCAGGTCAGAAATGTGGGATGCCCTCTGCGGGGCAGAGAGAGACCCTGGGCTGGGAAGGGCGTGATCCAGGCAGGACCTGGTGCCAAGGGAGAGGGATGAGTTCTCAGCGACCCGGGGGAGGGACCGCCGCTCTGTGCCCGGGGCAGGTGTGCGTGTGCTCAGCCGTGGGTGCTGAGTTTGCGGGGCTCTGCAGGGCAGACATTTGCACCTGGCTGGTGGCAAGCCTGGCAGGGCTGCTGGCACCCAGTCCCAGTGGAGTGGGGGAGCCTGGGCTGCGGGGACCTCCAGAAACCCTTGTTCGCGGGCCCCGGTGCTCCAGCCCCAAGCTCCCTTCCTTCCGTGCTCTGCGTTCCAGCTGCGCTGGCCTTTCCGGTCCTCAGGCTCCCTGGACCACTGAACTGTAGGATCTGGCCCTCCTCCCAGAACCCTGTTCCCCAGTGGGAATCCCTGATTCCCACTTCCTCTGAGAGCCCTCCCCCGGCCCCTGGACCTGCCAGGGCCCCCCCGGTGCTCTGAGCACTCAGCGTCCCCTGGCCGTGGGGGCTACACGTATGACAGCAGCAGCCCCAGATCGTTAGATGGGGGGACGTTAGGGGGGCAGCCACTATATTGGAAGGTGGGGTGCCAAGGGACTGTTTGCAGACACAGCTTCTCTTCACGTGGGGCTCCTTGGTGGGGGCCGAGGCCTGCCTCTACACACGGCACTCGCCATTGCTGCTCCTTGCGTGTCCGCCCTGTCCCCTGGCACCCCTAGAAGGGTGCCGCAGGCTGCGGGGCCTGGGATGCATCTGGGAATGGCTGCCACGAGTTCGAGGCCTCCCTGTGGAGGGATAGCGTTGATGCGGAAGCAGGCCACGGCTCCCGAGAGAGTCTGGTGGGGGCCGAGGGGAGGCTGGGATGCAGAGAGGCCGGATGGCTGGGATGGGGACCTCGGAGCAGTTTTGAGGGCACTGGGGCCAGGACAGAAGTGTGGAGACGATGTGGAGGAGAGGGAAAGGAGGGTGTGGTTAGGGTGGCCGAGAACCAAGGGAGAGAGGGAAGCCCTGGGAAACCCGAAAACAGCTGCAGCTGAGGACCCGGCGTCCTCGTGGGGCCGGCGAGGCCCAGATCGGGGCTGGGCTGCAAGGCTGCTCGCCGTGGCCTGTGTTGGTCACTCGTTCGGCAGACGTCACCGGAGCCTTCTGTGCTCCCAAGCCCTGTGCCGGGCGCCGGGGTGCTCCAGTGAGCAAGACAGAACTGGGCCCTTCGTCCTGGAGCGTGTCCTGGCACGACCGACCCTGATGAAACATTCGAACGACCCTGTGTGTCCAGCGGTTGGGGACTGCGAGAAGCAGGATGGAACAGCCAGCCATACAGTGAATCAGTGATGCGCTTCGTTTATTCTTCGAAAGAGACGCTTACGACCTGTTGGTTGCGAAGCAGGTAGCACGGCTCCGGTGGCTGTCGGAAAAATCTACCTCCTTTTTGTAAGGAAGCAAAGATCGACATCTTTGATCCCTCCGTCTCTCTGTCCGTCTGCACAGACACAGGGCCAGGAGGCTGTTTTTCCAGGTGCTCATCCCCGCGTGGTGGGGATGTGAGGGTTATCGCGAAGTCCTTACTGCTTTCCCCGCTCCCCAAAAAACAGTTGTGAAAATGTTAAGCACTGGTGAACCACAAAAGAAAGAGAAAGTGATTGTGGTTAAGATTTCACTTTGCCTTTTGGTTTTCATTTTTGACTTTTAAATCCTTCTACAGCGTCCACATACTATTTTGTAGTAAGAAAAAAAAAAGAAACTGGTAAAGGGTTTCCCCTGAAGAGCACCGAGTCCCATGTACCTCTGGCACAGAGGCAAGAGGGAGAGAAGGGAGGAGGGGACCTACTGAGACATGTCGGACAAAGGACGCAAGGGGAGCTCTCAGCACAGGGTATGGCTCAGAGTCCCCCCCCAAACCCCCTCCCCCCCCCCCCCCCCGAGGGAGGCGGCAGGTGGCAGGCTTCCCGAAGGAAGAGAGCTAACGGAACACCAGAAGGCTGGGGATGGATGATGAGGACTCCGCAGGCTGGACTCCGTGAGGGAAGGCTGTGGGGTTCCCTGGTGGGCATCTGGGCATCCACAGTCTCCCTGGGCCAGTGGTGACCCCTGGGAACCAGGTCCTGCTCCTAGGACCCCATCGGACACAGTTTGGGTCTAGAATTCAACCCCAGAGTTGAGGTGCCCTTTCTCCCACCCGCAGCCTGGGATGGGGGTACCGCTGGTGATAAGCAGGAACGGTCCCCAGGGCTTGTGACGCTGCGAAGGCCGTTCCCCTACTCGACAAAGGGGCAGAGCCCGGAGCCCCAGCTTCACCCGCCACCCCCTCTGAGCAAGGGGTTTGGGGGGCACTGTGCCCAGCACCAGAGGGGCCCAGGACAGGACAGGGTCTCTAGGGAACACAGGGGCAGCGAGGACTCGGGAATCAGGCAGATCTGTGTGACCGTGGACAACGGTCTTCACCTCTCCAACCCCCTCCCGTCTCGCCCCTGTGCGTGTGGCTGGCAGCCCGGGACCGCGGCAGTGAGAAACCGTGCCTGGCGGGAAGTTGGCGCTCCACGAACAGAAAGAAGGGGGAGGTGCATCCCCCTCACAGGACAGCCAGCCGTCCCCCTGGCTCTGGTCTCGGCTCTCTCCCCTCCATCCGCTGCCACCGCTCGGGGACACGGAGCACCCTGTCCAGCGGGACCTTTGCTGACCTCTAGGGATGGGTGTGGACAAGTCCCTTTTCCCTCCGTATTTGCTTGGGACTAGGGTGGGGCTTTTCAGAAGGGACACTGGCAAGGCAGGCGGAGGGCAGGCGGCCCATCCCCAGATAACCAGAGCCCAGCCTCAGTTGGACCAGGCTGCTCAGACCTCCACCTGGGGGCTTAGGGGTTGGTCTGATCTCTGGGCAGACCCTTCTCGGATCTCTGCCAGGGGTGGGGAGCGGGGTGGTCCAAGTGCATGGGCTCTGGAGTCCACTCTTCTCGCCATTGTGTGACCTTGAGCCAGTTGCTTGACCTGTCTGAGCCTCCGTTTCCTCCGGTATAAATTGGGGACAAGCAAACTCTGGTCTCACAGGGGTGACCTCCCAGTCCTTTGAAGGGGAGCCACTCGGTGCAGGGCTCTGCCTCCATTATCTCATTCAGTCTTCACCAGCCACCCACGGGGAGCATGCGCAGTGACGGAGGCGCAGAGGGTGAGGCCTCGGCAGGGGGAGCGCGCCCCCAGGCTGTCAGGCCCCAGCACGGACCGTGTCCTCACCGCTGAGCTCGGCGATGGCGTCCGTTCCTGGTGGAGGTTTTAGGAGCACACAGGAGAGCCTTTAGGAACCTGCCGAGGACAGGGTGGGGGGGCCTTGCCGGTGGGGTGACGAGGGCCCCTGGGAAGGCTCTGAGGGGGTGAGGGGCTCGTCCCATTGCTGCCAGCTGACCCCAGGCCCGGCCTCCAGCCTGGACCACACTGGCCTGGTGAGTCCTCCTTGCACCTTCCTGACCCCCGCACCCACCCTGCCATCTCCTCATCTGCTCCAGGTCCCAGAAGCTGCCTGCACCCCGACCCTTCGGGGTGTCCCCAAGAGTCCTTGGAGCTGGTGGTTCCTGAGCCCAGCCTGTGTGTCTGTGTGAAGTACTTAAAAGCATGTCTCGCTTCATCCTCACCATGGGCCAACTATGTCCCCATTTCACAGAGGAGGAAACTGAGACCCTGGTGGGTGACGACACTGGCCAGACAGGGAGGTGCTGGTCTCTTCCCGCTGAAGCTCACACTCCTGTGGCCCCTCCCTGAGGCCTTACCTGAAACCTCAGGGCGGCCCTGGCTGCCTTGTGCTGTCGCCACTCGGGTGGCCGGAGAGCCCTCCCTCTCCGGCGTCAGAGTCCGTCTCTCCAGCACTGGCCCCCGGCCCTGGCCCTGCGTCAGAGGCACCCACTTCCAGAGCCCCGTTTCTGTCCGGGAGGCAGGGCAAAGTCCAGGCAGAGGCAGCATCGCAAGGACATTAATGACAGTTCTGGCTCACAGCCATGTGCCAGCCTGCAGGACAGCTATCCACGCACCCTCGGAGTCCCCAGGGTGAGCTGAGAAAGTGACATCGCCCCTCATCGTAGGGATGAGGAAATGGGGGGAGGGGACGTGCGCAAGGTCCCCGGCTCACCTCGTGAGTCAGGATGGAACCGGAGTTGATGTGACGCGGGTGCTACGCTGTCAGCATGACGAGGCACTTCCTGCTGGGCTAGAGAAAGGCTTCTCTGCCATAGTGGGAGTTGCTTGTGGCCAGTGGGCTCACGACTGTCCTCTGTGTCTGGGCAGCGCATCTCAGTGACGGGCAGCCTCAGGCCCCAAATCCACGCATTAGCCTCTCTTCCATTCCCCAAATCCAACCCGCAGACAGGTCCTGTTGGGTCCCTCTCCAGATTATATATAACCCCGATCTGTCCACTTCTCCCCTACCTGCTCTGTGGCCGCCTCGTCTCAGCCACTCTCAGCTCGTACCGGACCAGTGTGGCAGCCTCCCCTCTGGTCTCTCGACTCCACTCTGCCCTCCAAACCCCGGTTGCACGCTGAGCTGATCCAGGGTAAGTCCCATCATATTCTCCAAGAGGCTTCTTGCTACTAGCGGGTCAGTCCACCACGTGATCCGACTCCTCTGATCCCAGTCACGCTGCCCTCCCCGCTGGCCCTCTAAGACGACAAACTCATTCCTGCCCCAGGGCCTTTGTACCTGCTGTTTCCTCTGCTTGGACTTCTGGGGCTCCAGGCTGAGCGGTGGCTCTGTCTGGTAGTTCAGGGCTCAGCTCAAATGACGCCACCTCCACCGAGCCCTCCCTGCTTTCTCTGAGTTGCTGCTGCGGGAAGTGTCCACCAGGCCAGCTCTTCTCCATCCTGCCTTCTGTGCTAGTTGCCTGTAGGACACTCATCAGGATCTGAATTTATTATCTATTGATTTGTTTACTTGGTTATCATCTCTCTCAGGAGAATGTAAGCTCGGCTGGAGGGCAGGAAGCAGGTTTATTGTGATCCCCACCGAACCTCCAGGGTCTGGAATAGTGACTGCCCCAGAGTAGGGAGGTGCCCGATACCTATTTGTTGAGTGAACCAATGAATAAAACTCCCTGTCCCTGGAGTCATCCTAGAAAAATCTGGATAACAGGTGCTGGATGGAGCCCTGGGTGCTGGGTTTTCCCTCCCCCAACTCTAATGCAGGAGCTCTGGGGCCCCGTGAAGGGCCACCCTGGCGGGATGACGTCCCAGAGCCCCAGGTTCTGAGGTTTTGTGGTTCTGTGGCTCACTCGGCACCCTCGAGGCAGACTGTGTGAACTTGACCTTGAGCAGCCTGGGTTTAAGGGAGATTCCCAAAGGGCAGAGAGGCAGAGCAGGAAGGAAAGACCCGGAGCAGGCGCTGCCTTGCGTTTGCTAACACAGAGATGCCACCCTCTGGGGCGGGACAAGTGTCCTTCCTGGCACTGAAGCCCCTCCCGGAAACAGAACCCACCCACCCCTTTGCCAGGCTCCTCTCCACATCTGAGCACCCCCCCCCCCGGGCCTCCTCTGTTTCATTGATGGGGGTTAGGGTTCAGTCACAGCCGCCTTCCCCATGCCTACAGAATCCACAGGAAGTGGGGCCATTGAGCCAACAGAATGTGCCTTCCGTGAGCGAGGCACTGTTCTCTCCAGATGCTGATGAGCTCCCTGCCCTTATGGAGTTTACAGTCGGGCTAGGAGACAGCTGAGTGAACAAACAGATGTGCGCTGAGAACCAGCCAGCCATAAGGGTTCTGAAAGAAGTGAGGGCGAGTGTGATACAGCGAGACTAGTCTACGGGGTAGTTGGGGTTGACATTGGGGCAAGACCCGAGGGAGAGGGAGGCAGCCAGGGAAGAGCTGAGAGAACGCCCCGGCAGAGGGCACAGCAAGGGCCCGCCCCTGGGGCGGGCACAGCCTGGCTGCTTAGGGGGCGGGAGCACACAGAGAAATGAATGGAGAGTGGGGGGCTGAGATGGGGGTAGGGCGGAAGCTAAAGTAAGCACTTTTTTAAAAAGTTTGTTTATTTATGAGAGTGAGCTGGGGAGGGGCAGAGAGAGAGAGAGGGAGGGAGGGAGGGAGGGAAGGAGGGAGGGAATCCTAAGCGGGCTCTGTGCTTGACAGCTCAGAGCCTGATGTGGGGCTCAGTCTCATGAACTGTGAGATCAGGACCTGAGCAGAGATCAAGAGTTAAGACGTTTAACTCACTGGGCCACCCAGGAACCCCCCAAAATTCTGTTTGTTTTTTTAATTTAAGAAAAATGTTTATTTTTGAGAGACAGAGTGCAAGTAGCGGATGGGCAGAGAGAGAGACACACACACACACAGAATCTGAAGCAGGTTCCAGGCTCTGAGCTGTTAGCACAGAGCTCAGTGCGAGGCTCGAACTCACAAACTGCAGCTCATGAGCTGTGCAGAAGTTGGATGCTTCACCGACTGAGCCACCCAGGCGCCCCTCAAAATTCTGTTTTTTAAGTGATCTCTCCACCCAAAGCAGGGTTCAAATTCACAACCCTGAGATCGAGAGTCATACGCTGTACCCAGTGAGCCAGCCAGATGACCCTGTTCTCTATTTTAAACTAAGCATGAGGCCTATGCAGAGGAAGGGCAGCGTTGAGGGGAGGAGGGCTGGTGGCTGGGCAGCCCCCATTCCTCTGGGAATAGAATCCCTCCTCCCCATGGAGCACCCACTGGGAACCACTGAGGTGGGCTGACCAATCCCCTGGTCTTAGGGATGGACACATGCCCAGACCTGGCCAATCAGAAGGCTCCTGCCTCCTTGTCTGCTGTGATTGGTTCAGGAACGAGCATGTGACCCAGGCTGTGCAGGTGAGTGTGACCTGGGTACTTCCTGTTGTCACTATTGGGTAGATAGTCCTTCTGCCAGGCTTCTGGGACAGTGTTGTCCTGGGGAGGCTAGTGGCAGGGCCAGCTGTGTCATTATAGGGCCCAGCACCAAATGCGGGGCCCTCTGCTTGAAAAGCAGGGAAAAGTGCCATTAAAAGTACACAGAACGCTTTTACGTCTTTTTAAAAAAATTTTTTTAAAATATTTTATTTATTTCTGAGAGAGAGAGAGACAGCGTGAGCAGGGGAGGGTCAGAGAGAGAGGGAGACTCACAGAATCTGAAACAGACTCCAGACTCTGAGCTGTCAGCACAGAGCCCAACTCCAGGCTCGAACCCACCAACCATGAGATCATGACCTGAGCCGAAGTCAGACGCTTAACCGACTGAGCCACCCAGGCGCCTCAGAATGCTTCTACTTCTACAGGCTCTCTCCCAACTTGTCGTGGTGTTTTTTATTTGCTGCTTAATGTTCTAAGTAAAGAAAACTAAAAATTTTAAATGAGTCGCAGGAATTTTACCGTTCATCTCTATATTGTGCAGTAGTGGTTTGAAAGGCAAAATCAGAGCGTCTCGTCCCTGTGCAGAATCACCAAAATTATACAATTCTTTTATTTTGTGGCTTGTCCCTGAGGGTGCCTTGAGCTGGCCGGAGAAGACAGACACAAGGCAGTCCCGGGGAGGGTTACAGGTGGAGGAAGAAGGTTCTCGGCCACACAGAGCTGACTCAGGGAGTGCTTTTGGGCTTGGGGATACTGCACACGCTCCCAGGCAGGCACCCCGCTACCCCTGCTGTGTGTGAGTGCCCAAGTGCACAGCCCCTAAGGGGGCCTAAGGGTTGCTGACTTACCCCTCCCACTACCCCCCACCCCGGTCTTGAGCCCCGGCCTAGCGGTGGGGTCTGGGGAAGTTGACCACACCCCATCTTTTCCCCGTAGGCCCTTACTTCCACCTACAGCAGAGGGGTGATCCAAGGATCTCAGGCCCCAGATGGGGCAGGTGACGGGCTCACTCCTGCTTCGACCGGGTCTCTGCCTGCCAGACGGCAGTGGTGCTGCCAATCTGGGGTGGCGATGGCCGCTGACGCACCCTGTGATACCTGACCCCAACCTTGCCCGTGCCCGTGCCCGGGGTGGAGGGTGGCAGTGGAGGGGGAGGCCAGGCAGGGCCACGGTGCCAGGGGGTAGGGGGCAGCTGAGAACATGTCCCAGGGAGGCAGGGAGGTGGCGGGAGGCAGGACAGCCCTTGGCTTGAAGCTCCAAGTCCTTGGCGCGGGCTCCATTGTCCCATTAGACGTCACTTAGAAAACACAGATTCAAAGACAAATGGTTATGAATTTCAAGGCAGCAGCTGCAGAACGTTAAACCCCAAGCATGGGGTCCTTTGAACGTGAGGCCCTGTGTGACCACACTCAGTGGCCCCAGGCCTGTGAAGCTGGGTCTGGCCGGTGGCCGTCTTGCTCACGCTCCCAGAGCCAAGTTAAGGAGAGACAGGAAGTACCAAGGGACAGCGAGCAAGCAGTGGTGTGGCGTCACGTGAGCCTCTGGGTCCAGTTGTGTCTGTAGCTCAGACACCCCATGGACTTCCCAGGTCCTGAGCCAGCGAATTCCTTCTCTGCTCAAGCCAGCTCTGGTTGGGTTTCCGAGGCCTGGGCGCCACAAGACCCACGGAGGTGAGGATCCAGGCCTGGCCTTCTGGATACCTGGCTTCCTTTCTGACTTAAAAGGGTTTTGTAACCGTCCATCCAGCCGGAGTGTCTGCAGGCCAGGGATCTAACCGCCCTCCCCGCGTGGACCTGTTCTGTTCTGAGCCGGGTCCTTTATCTGTCTCAGACCTCCAGTTCTTTCTCGGGAGAAAGGGAGGCTTTATTCCTGAGCCTTCCCAGCATTCCCCAGGCTGTGGGTGTTGATGTGGGTGTTGAAGGAGAATCTCCAGTTCCGCGCTGGGGTGTGTGTGTGTGTGTGTGTGTGTGTGTGTGTGTGGAGGGCGACTGTGGCGGGGGGAGGGAATAACCCTGGGAAGGGTGCATGGGAATGTTCAAGAAACTTCAGGAAATGACTGTGGTGGGGGCAAGAGGGGGAGGGGTTAGAGATGGAGGGGCCTGGGGGTGGGAAGGGCCTGAGTAGGGGAAGGCAGGCAAGCAATCTCTCACCAACTATTTTGCCTTTAAACCAGTCCTTAGGGGCGCCGGGGTGCCTCAGTGGGTCAAGGGTCAGATTGTTGATCTCAGCTCAGGTCACGATCTCACAGGTTGTGGGATCGAGCCCCACACTGGGCTCTGCGCTGACAGAACAGCCTGCTGGGAATTCTCTGTCTCTCCCTCTCTGCCCCTCCCCAACTTGTGTGCACACGCTCTCTCAATCTCTCTCTCTCAAAACAAATAAATAAACAAACATTAAAGAAATTAAAAATAAGGACGCCTGGGTGGCTCAGTCAGTTAAACATTCGGCTTTGGCTCCGGTCATGATCTCATGGTCTGTGAGTTCAAGCCCCACATCAGGCTCTGTGCTGATAGCTCAGAGCCTGGAGCCTGCCTCAGATTCTGCGTCCCCCTCTCTCTACCCCTCCTCCACTCATGCTCTGTCTCTCTCCTTCTCCCTCAAAAATAAACAATAAAATTTTTTTTTCAAAAAATAAAATAAACCACTCCTTAGAATGGACGAACAGCCAGCCCATTCAGTCATCCATCCGTCCATCCATCCATTCATTCAATCACCTCCTGAATGAAATTGGTAAACACACCTTGAGTAAATGTTGGCTGTCGGGCATAGCCAGGCCTTGAAGATACCCAGGCACCTTCCCAGAGATTAACATATTTGAAAACATGACTGCCAATGATGGAGAGACTAAAAAAAAAAAAAATCCAACCAAGTTTAAAGTTTATGGGGCACTCGCTCTGCCCTCCTTCCCCAGCCTCAGAGTAAAAAGATCTCCATGTGGGTCTGGAAAAGGGTACATCTTCGTAATTCTTCGGCCATCAATTTTGTTCAACAGGAGAGAGTCAGTAGAAAAACCTATCTTGCATTTTGCAGTGAAGGCTTATCATCTGGGCAGAGCTGACTTGTGACAAGGAACCTCCTGGATACCAGGGGTGGGGTTCTAGAAGGCTCACCGCACAGGTGAGTGCTCATGGGCATCCAATTTTGTGGACAAGGTCCCGGAGACTTGGAGAGGGGAAGTGAAGAGCATATGGCTCCCTAGAAAGTGACAGAACCCGGTTGGCACTCAGGTCTGTGTGGGGCCCGTGAGGCGGGGCTTCGGACAGGCGCCCCCACTGGGGATGGCTGCGGGAAGCCCTCGTTGCCAGGCCTTAGGTGTGCTGGTCCACCTCTGCTCATCTGGTATCACAACTTCCAGGGAGGGGATGTCACACAAGGAACACCCTTCCCCGCCCCCCCGGACAACGCTGCCACCGTCCCTCTTTGCTGAGCATCCTTGGATGCCTGGCTCTGGGGTTCAGGCCATTAGGAAGAGGGACGGAGCTCCAATTGGCCTGGGGCCTCAGCCTGCCCAGTTTGACTGGGGAAACTGGTCCGGGCAGCTGACCCAGACTGTGGTTGTACTGGTTTATCTCCTCCCTCTTCCCACCCCCCTCAGGGGTGGGGGGGTGCTCCTCCCTCCTCCCACTGACCTGGGGGAAGGAAGGAAGGTCCTACACCAGTAATCATACCATTGCTTGAGTGCTTGCTGTGTGCCAGACACCGCTCAGAGTTCCCTCGTGGGTCGTAACCACATCCTTCTGTCCCCGCCTGCTTTTCTGGTCCCCTCTCTGGCCACCATCCTGCTTGGCCCCTGCCTCAGGCATGCGAGTTGTCTTCTTGGTCCTTGAACACATCAAAGTAGTTCCTGTGTGTTCCGCCGCTGCCCAGACTGCTCTTCCACTGTCGTTTGTCCGGCTGGCGTGGTAGAAACTTCTAGTGCCCTGCCACCTGTGCTTTATCTTTCCTTCCAAGGCCCCCAAGAGCACTGCCCTGGAGGGTCCCCTTGCCGTTAGTCAATATCATGCGATGAATTCTGGCCAATGGGCTGTGAGTTTAGGGGAGGCAAATCACCTCCTCTTTTTTTTTTTTTTAATGTTTTTTATTTATTTTTTTAAAAATTTTTTTAATTTTTTTTTTTTTTAATTTTTATTTCTAGGAAAGAGAGAGAGAGACAGCATGAGCAGGGGAGGGTCAGAGAGAGAGGGAGTCACAGACTGAAACAGGCTCCAGGCTCTGAGCTGGCAGTCAGCACAGAGCCCGACGCGGGGCTCGAACCCACGAATCGCGAGATCATGACCTAAGCGAAAGTCGGATGCTTAACCGACTAAGCCACCCAGGCGCCCCTGTTTTTTATTTATTCTTGAGAGAGAGAGCACGCCAGCAGGGAAGGGGCAGAGAAAGAGGGAGACAGAGGGTATAAAGCAGGCTCTGCACTGACAGGGGCGAGCCCGGGGCTTGAATCCACAAACCAGGAGATCGTGACCTGAGCCGAAGTGGGACCCACAACTGACTGAGGCCCCCAGGCACCCTGAAGGGAATCGCTTCCTGACTGAGTGATGAAGGGCTATTGAGGGACTCTGTGCTCCTGAATCACTGAGTCACCTCGTGGAGGACAGCAGCCTGGGAGAATTGTCAGTTTAGCTGGATTTTGCATAGTCAAGAAATCCATTTTTTGGGCCACCTGGATGGCTCAGTTGGTTAAGCATCCGACTTCGGCTCAGGTCATGATCTCGTTGTTTGTGGGTTCGAGCCCTGCATCAGGCCCTGTGCTGACAGCTCAGAGCCTGGAGCCTGCTTCGTATTCTCTCTCTCTCTCTCTCTCTCTCTCTCTCTGACCCTCCCCTACTCACGCTGTCTCTCTCTCTCTCTCAGAAATAAATAAAAAAACATTAAAAAAAGAAATGCATTTTTGTTGTGTTAAGTCTCTGACATGGGGGATTGATTTGTTACCACTGCATAGCCTCTTCTATACTGACTAATCTAGCTGACCCATCTGGGTCTCGGCACAAACATCAGTGTGACACCAGCTCTGAAGTGGTGCCACCCCTTTCTCTCTAGTCCTGTCTAGCCCTGTTTTGTTTTTCTGTAACATGTAACTTAATGCATGTGGGTTTCATTGCTCATTGTCTGTTTCCCTTACTAAAGTGTAAGCTCCATGACCACAGGGCCCTTGACTGTCTTGTTCCCGGCTGCATCTTTGGTGCTGAGCACAGTGTCTGGCACCTAGATGTACTTGATAAATATATGAATGGCTGAACACATGGGTTTTTTGAATGACTGAGCAAAACAGGCAGGTGACTGTGCTTATAGGTCGATGTGGAATCTGATATTGCCTCTGCATTTTTCTTTAAAATATGTATTTTTAAATGTTTATTCTTATTTTTGAGAGAGAGAGAGAGAGAGAGTGTGAGCAGGGGAGGACCACAGAGAAAGGGAGGCACAGAATTCTGAAACAGGCTCCAGGCTCCGAGCTGTCAGAGCCTGATGTGGGGCTCAAGCTCATGAACCGCAGGATCATGACCTGAGCCGAAGTCAGACGCTTAACGGGCTGAGCCCCCCAGACTCCCCTACTCCTCTCCTCTTAAATCTATCTTTACAGGTGAGGGAATATGGGCTTCCTGGGAGAGTGACTCAGTCCAGGTCTCAACGTAAGCCTGGGGCTGACCCAGAGCCTGCCCCTCGGTCTCCAGACTCCTGGTCCAGTGCTCTTTGGGCCGGGCTTTGCCACTTGCTCTTTGGTTTCAGCCTAAGTTGCTGAAAATGTTTCTCAAGCACATTTGCCTGTTAGTACCCTCCTCCAAGTCATGTAGAAACTCTGAGCAAATCGTTCCGGCGATGATTGATGGGTAGGATGGGGCGGAGCCGGGCCAGGGGTCAAGGAGGAGCCGGGGAACAAGGCTCCTGCCAGAAGGAGCATCCTTGAGATGAGCTGTCGTTTTTGTCTCACGCTTCTTTTAACCAAGACAGAGCGCAGGAGGGTGAATTCTGGCGAACCCAGGCTTCGGGGTGCGTGTTCTGTGTGTCAGGGGGTGAGCCTGCCCCAGACAGGCTGACGACAGCGGCTCCCTGTCTCTGCTCTGTAGCCTGCCGGACGTACATCGATTACAGCACCTGTCACGTCACATTCTCTGACAAGTGTCGTGTTAGTGTTTTCTTCTAAATGTATAAAAGTGATCATTGCAGAAAATCTGGAAAATCTAGAAATGTATGAAGGATCAAGCAAAGGTTATCCGTGGAATCCTCACCTAGTAATAATCACTTAAGCACTTTAGAGCCTTTTTTTTTTTTTTACCTGTATGTAAGAAAAGCTCATGTTATCTGTACCCCCGATGTCCCCAGACCCCACCAGCTGCGTGTCTGAAGGTGGGCATGATAACCTCAGCCTCCGCCCCCTCCATCCCACCGGCCAGCACCCCTTCATCATCCCAGCTTCCCCTCAAAGTCTTTGCAGTTGTAACTGAGAGTGCCTCAAGGGGCCACATATGAGCTCCAGCCAAGTTCTTCTCCAGCCAAGGCTGGCCTCCTTGCGGCTGTCCGCTGCCCTTAATCCCGCCAACGGTGGCCCATGTCACTATCCTGCCGCAGAGCCTGCTGGGAGAACCCCGCCCCCTGCCCTGGGGGCTGCAGCCTCCCCTCCCCTGGGGATTCCCAAGTGGCAAAACTTCGAGGCACCAGATGGCCCTGGAGCCTGCTTATCCCAGCTAGGCGCTAGGAGGAAGGAGAATGTCCCTTCTTGAGGGCTGTGTGGCTGCACTTAGTCACCAAGCCCTGAAGCAGGGTCTCCCCAAGTCCCACATCTAAAAGCTTCCTTTAGCTTGGCTTGCAGCCCCTCTCTCTGATCTGCCACCCTCCTCTGAGAAGGGCGCCCCTTCTCTGCCCAGGAGCTCCCCACGGGGACTACCAACCCCCCTCCAGCCCTGGCCACAGCTTGGGGACAGAACACAGGCTTGGGATATGACAGGGTCCCTCCTTGAGATTTTCTGCGTTGAAATAAGAGGACAGTCTCTGTTGGGTGGCAAAGTTATGAGGCGGAAAGCCAGGAGCTGCCGTCGGTAGCTGTAGGGAGAAGTGGGTCCTCAGTCGGGCAGTGGGAGCCTCAAGTGCAGAGAAGAAAGTCACAGGATAGGGGCGCTTGGGTGGCTCAGTCAGTTGAGAGTCCCACTTTAGCTCAGGTCATGATCTCACGGCTCGTGGGTTCAAGCCCTGCATCGGGCTGTGTGCTGACAGCTCACAGCCTGGAGCCTGCTTCGGATTCTGTGTCTCCCTCTCTCTCTGCCCCTCCCCCGCTCGTGCTTTGTCTCGCTCTCAAAAATAAACAAACTTTTAAAAATATTAAAAAAGATACAAAGTCACAGCACACACACACACATTCACACGCAGATTGAGAGAGAGAGAAAGAGAGAGGTGGCCATCCAGACGATGTGCTCCTGGATCCAGCTGTACCTGAAGCCGGAGATACTCCTGCCCCCCGCACAGTTTAGTTCCAGGAGCCAAGAAATCCCACCTTTTGCCCAAGCTGGTTCCAGTGAGGTTGCTCTCTCCTACCAAGAGTCCTGAAGAATACCGGGAATAGGTTAATCCCTGCCTCGGGTTGGGTGGGATACAACACAGACACCACTGTCCTGTGTGTCTCGCTATCCACTGTCCCAGGGTCCCAGAGCACGAAGCAGTGAAGTGGGGGGAGAGGGGTGCTCCCAACCTGCTAGTTTGGGTCCAGCTGGAAAGTATCAATATAGCCGTTTAGACAACACGGGGGCCCTCTGCCAGCTCGCGCCCCAGCGTGTTATAAATTCTCCTCCGCTAGACATTACGCTCCAATAGGAAGACTGGCCACTTCTTCATCGTGTGACTTTGGGCAAGTTTTCTCATTTCTTTTTTTTTTTTTTAAACGTTTTATTTATTTCTGAGAGAAAGAGAGAGCACACGCAGGGGAGGGTCAGAGAGAGAGAGGGAGACACAGAATCTGAAGCAGGCTCCAGGCTCTGAGCTAGCTGCCAGCACAGAGCCTGATGTGGGGCTCGAACCCACGAACTGTGAGATCATGACCTGAATGGAAATCGGCCGCTTAACTGACTGAGCCACCCAGGTGCCCCAAGTTTTCTCATTTCTGAAACAAATGGATGCTAATAGTCTATCGCAGAGAAAATTAAACGAGTGAACCCAGAGAGAGGGATTCGCCCTTCTTTTATTTGCTGTATTTTTCGCGGTGGTCGGCTCCGTGCGCTGCACAGTCTAGGCACCAGGCGGGTGTTCTGTAAATGTGTGGCCAGTGAGTGGAGATGCAGCAAGGCAGAGCTCTTGGCGTGTGTGCCCTGCATGGGAGGGACACATACACACACGCACTCACACACACATGCACACTCAATAAAAGCACTCAGATCTCAGCGCCCTGCACAGCGGCTCTCATGGGACCTCAGGGCGTCCCCAGCCACTGGCTTCTCTGGAGGGCAGCCCGCAGCTCCCTGAGGATCTGGGCTGTCATCCCAGCAGCTCCACATTGCTGGGAGCGCAGCTTGGAGCCTGGCTCAACCCTACACCACGTATCAAGGGCAGCAGGATCTAGGAGCTGGGGGAAGTGTGTGTGTGTGTGTGTGTGTGTGTGTGTGTGTGTGTGTGTGTGCGCGCGCGTGCGCGCGCACGTATCCGTGTGTGGCGGTGGTGGTGGTGAACCTGGGGGAATGCAGCGAGAGGTTTGCTGGAGTTCTGGCTTCCGGAGCTGCTGGTCTCTGGAAGCTCTCCCACATCACTCCCTGAGTCTCCCTACCTCCCCAAGCAGCACCCCAACTCCTGCGAGGGGGGGGGTGTCTCTTGTGGGGTCTGGCTTGGCTTTTTATTTATTTA